CAAAGTGCACCTATATAGTAAGTGGAGCTGATAAAATGGACAATGAGCGTAGAAACAAGGAGGTGGCCTTGATGAAGTGGTCAGTTGGTGTAGTTCTCCACTGACCAAAATGTCTTTATTAAACAGAATCCATCTTGTAGTTATAAAGTGTTATAAAACATTATCATCTCAAAACTGCACTGATATAAGTTACTGTAGGAATTTAAAGGGGAATACCACTGATTTTTCAAAATTTCAGCATAATTAAGTGGTTAAGATGTAAACAGAGTGGTTCAGAGTGGTTTGGTGTGAAACGCTCTGTTCTAGATAAACTTACCGAGTCAGAACTGTTCACAGTGGTGGTGATAGGAACCAGACGTCCACCTCTAAAAGCTCCCTCACAGAAAGTTACTACATCAAATGGTTATGAATTCACTGCCTGATGACTGAGACACTGTTTTACGATGGTTTTGAGAAGCTCTGTATGACTTTGTTTACATCTTAGCCATTTAATTATACAGAAGTATTAAAAAAATCAAAGGAATTTCCACTTTAAACTTCAGCACTGTTATATAGATGATGCTACTGAGCTGGTTCAGAGTCAGAGCTGAAACACATTTGGGATTTTAACTGATTTAGACTTTAGACTAAAATCCTTTTGCTCTGAGTGACTCTAAACCTTAATTATGATTATTTTACTAAAACTAATAACTGAACATCCCATGTTCTCACCACCAAAACAAACAATGTGTCAGTTGTGAGTGTTTCAGTGAACATTTTAGCTCATTTTGAGCTCAAAAACGCAGCCAGTAAACCAGCAAACACAGCTCTGAACAGCTGTTCACACAGAAAATCATCATATTTTACATTAAAACACTAAAAAGTGCTGAACTGCAGAAAATATGATGATTCTTAATGTTCCACACTGATTTTCAGACACATTTACTTCAAAACAATGGGATCTAACTGCTCACCATGTGGCCATGAGGGATGATGCAGCCTCACTTCCTGCTCTAAAATGCAGGGGCGTGGCTAAAATAAGGCCCCTCCCACATAGTAAAACCCTGTGTTTCGGTTGTGACATGAAAACTTGAGACAGCGTTTTGAAAATAAAACTCATGATACATCTAAACATTTCAACTTCACTTTAAAAAGAAACTGAAATATCTTAAAAATGATAAAAATTACATGAGTAATATTTTGGCAAGTGTAAATTTAGGGGTTAGGGGTCGGGGACAGACTCCTCCCAATAGAAATTACCCTATAAATGATTTTGTACATATTTAGATTACTGTCTCTTTTAATGCTTTGGGTTTAAATAGATCAGAATATAATTCTTGTAAATATCTAAGCTCTGAATATTTCTTTGATTTTTTTAATAATTCATATAAACACTCCATATTACCAGCACCAGGTGACTGGAGATTTGGGCAAAAACTGACAAAGTCTCTAAACTACCAGGCTGGACAAAGCCTGCTGGATTGTGTGGAGGGTTTTGGTGAGGTCAGTCTCATGATGTCAGCTCAGTGCACAGCAGTGCTGAGTTTAACATATGAGGAAAAAATAAACATGATGAAGAAAAATTGTGCTTCCACCAACTAAAGAGGAGGCACTACCGAAATTCAAAAAAGGGCTTCTCAGCTGGAAAGGTGCAACACTCACTCTGTCCTCAGGAAAAGGATCACTTTATCTAAAACCTCATTTCCTAAAAGTTGGGACGCTGTGCAGAATGTAAATAAAAATAGAATGCAATGATGTGCAAATCATGTAAACCATATTTTTAAAGGAAAATACTACAAAGACAACATATCAAATGTTGAAACTGAGAAATTTTAGTGTTTTTTGAAAAATATATGCCCATTTTGAATTTGATGCCAACAACATGTTCCAAAAAAAGTTGGGACGGGGGCCTGTTTACCACTGAGTCTCATCACCTCTTCTTTAACAACACTCTGTAAGTGTTTGGGAACTGAGGAGACACTGCTGTAGTTTTGAAAGTGAAATGTTTTCCATTCTTGTTTGATACAGGATTTCAGCTGCTCATCAGCTCAGGGTCTCATTTGTTGTATTTTTCATTTCAAATGTTATCAGTGGTGACAGGTCTGGGCTGCAGACAGGCCAGTTTAGCACCCGGACTCTTAATACGGAGCCATGCTGCTGTAATACATGCAGAATGTGGTTTTACATCGTCTTGCTGAAATAATCAAGGCCTTCCCTGAAAAAGACATCGTCTGGATGGCAGCATGTGTTGCCAAAACATGTATATATCATTCAGCATTAATGGTGCCTTCACAGATGAGCACGTCACCCATGCCATGTGCACTAATGCACCCCTACACCATCATGAATACTGGCTTTTGAACTGTGCACTGATAACAAGCTGAGTGGTATTTAGCCTGGAGGACCAGTGTCCATGATTTCCAAAACAAATGTCAAATGTTGATTCATTAAACCACAGGACACTTTTTCACTTCCTCTCAGTCCATTTTAAATGAGCTCAGGCCCAGAGAAGGTGGCAGTGTTTCTGGATCTTGTTTATGTACAGTTTCTTCTTTGCATTTTAGAGTTTTAACTGGCATTTGTGGATACAGTGATGAACTGTTTTCACAGACAGTGGTTTTTAGAAGTGTTTCTAAGCCCATGCAGTGATTTCCACTACAGAATCATGTCTGTTTTTAATGCAGTACTGCCTGAGGGCCCAAATATCACGGCCAGCAAATACTGGTTTTTGGCCTTGTCCCTTACATACAGAGATTTCTCACATTTAATCACATCTGATGAAGGCCTTGCACGTAGGCCGAAATGTTTCTAACCAAATAGAGTGACGCTTTTTCTCATGATAGTGTTTAATAGTACTACAAACAAAAAACATGAATATGAGCAAAACTATTAACATATTGTAATGTGGAATACAGTTGATGTGTTTGTTGTTTTTTTATCTAGTTAATTGTCTGTTTTTATTTTATTATTATTACTAATTTTATTTATTTTATTTTTAGTATTCATTTAAAAAAATATATTTTCTTTTGGTGATGTTAAGGTAAATGAAATATGACAGAAATACAATAAAATTCCTTCATGATTTTTGTCCTATTGATCACAAATCCTGGTTGAATATATTAAAGAATGTCTTTAGTGTTGCAATTTTTATTATGAGAGTTTCAGTATTCAGTATATTGTGTATAATTTTGGATGCGTAACAACTTTTTTTGTATTTTAATGTTGATCATTATAGAGACCCATTCCCGCCACTTAAAATTTCTGACTGAATTGCTATGCTATTACTTTTAGATATTTTCTACACTCATTAGATTTTATATACTTTTTATAAACTTTCTATATACTTTCTATACATTAGTTTTAAATACCTTCTTATTTTGAGATGCTAAGTCAAGACTTTGAAGTACTATCTCATGGATTTGAGATGCTTTCTCATTATTTTGAGAAATTCTCTCATTATTTTGAGAAATTCTCTCGTTATTTTGAGAAATTCTCTCGTTATTTTGAGATGCTTTATGCTTTTGAGAAGAATATATATATATAGACATATGTATTCTTCTCAAAAGCAGAAACCATCTCAAAATAATGACTTAGCATCTCAACATTACAGTGGCATACTGCTGCCAGGAAGAATAAAACAATAAACGCTTCAACATATAATGAGATGTTATGTAGTTATTATGAAAAAAAACAACTCATATTCATGAGAAAGTATCTCATTATTATGAGAAAATATGTCATAAAAAGATGTTTTGTCATAATTGAAGACTATCTGATAATTACAAAAAAATATCTTATTCCTACAAATATGAAATATCTAATGTTTGTGAAATAAGTTAATGCCATAATATCTGTTGGCTAGTAAACAGGCTAGCTGCTGTTCTGTTTTTAACTTAATATATAACATTAATACACTTAATATATATAACATCTTGTTTTTACGACATACTTTCTTGTAATAACAATTTCTTGCAATGATGATGCTGTTTCATAATTATGACCTTACATCTCATAATAAAGACGTGCTGAAGGGTTTATTTTTAATTCTGCTTGGTAGCAATATGCCACTGTACACAATAATGACATAGTATCTCAAAATAATGAGATAGTGTCTCAAAATAATGACACCATCTCAAAATAATGAGAGTATCTAAAATTAATGAGATAGTATCTCAAAATAATGAGTTAGCATCTCAAAATAATGATAGTATCTAAAAGTAATGAGATAGTACCTCAAAATGACTTAGTATCGCAAAATAATGAGATCATATCTCAAAATAATGAACTTATGTCAAAATAATGATTTAGCATATCAAAACAATGAGATAGTATCTCAAAATAATGACTTAGCATCTCAAAATGAGATGGTATCTTAAAATAATGACTTAGCATCTCAAAAGAATGAGATAGTATCTTAAACTAATGACTTAGCATCTCAAAATAATGAAATAGTATCTCAAAATAATGACTTAGCATCTCAAAATAATGAGATAGTATCTTAAAATAATGAGATAGTATCTCAAAATAATGACTGAGCATCTCAAAATAATGAGACAGTATCTCAGAACAAGTCATGACTTAGCATCACTCAGAAACGAGATAGTATCTCAAAATAATGACTTAGTATCGCAAAATATTGACTTCATCTAATAATGAAAAAAATATAATTATGTGCTGTTTTTTAAATATTATTCTAAGTGGTGGGAAATGATTTCCGTAGATCTCCTCAGTTCAATGTAAGCGAAGGCGGTTTATGTCCAGCCGTCCGCTGTGAGTCTGATTTTAACTCCGGCTGTGAGTCTGACTTTAACTCCGGCTGTGAATCTGACTTTGTCTCCGGCTGTGAGTCTGACTTTAACTCCGGCTGTGAATCTGACTTTGTCTCCGGCTGTGAGTCTGACTTTGTCTCCGGCTGTGAGTCTGATTTTAACTTCTGCTGTGTGTCTGACTTTAACTCCGGCTGTGAGTCTGACTTTAACTCCGGCTGTGAGTCTGATTTTAACTTCTGCTGTGAGTCTGACTTTAACTCCGGCTGTGAGTCTGATTTTAACTCCTGCTGCCGGTTGAACGCAGCCTGTCGCTGCTGCATCGCTCTGAAAATGGCGGACAAAACGCCAGGCGGGGCTCATAAGGCCAACTCGAAGGTAATTTATCATATTTTAGCACCAGAATCGACTCTAAACCTGCTTTCGGGGGAACCAACTCGTGTTTATGTTGTGTTTTTGTTGCCCTAACAGTGCTGATTCACCGCCGCCTGTCCGCTTTTAACCTGACCAGGCCGGCGGTGTACACTGCTAACCGAACGCTAGCCTGCCAGCTAAAGCTAACTGGCTAACTTCATCTGTTTGGCCACAGAGCGGTTTATATAAAACCTATCCCGCGTTCAAAACATGCCCGGTTAACCTATCTGGTGATATAATATCGAATGCGGCGCATAAATGTGGCTCTAAACGCTGTTTTTGTGGACGTTGAGCAGAGATCGGATCAAGCTAACAGGCTAACGCGCTAGCTCGCCCCGCACGGCTGTAGTGCTGTTTCTCCTTATCTGTTTCATAATTGTTCTGTTTTTCTCTCGTCTTTGTCTCATTGGACTGAATGTACATGTTATGCTGAATCACTGGGGTTGGTAGATGAAGCAAATAAAACCAAAACTTTGCTCAGACACGTGAGTGAGTAAACAGTACTGGCTTTCCTTTTCGTCCGCGTCTTGTACGAATTTCCCCATTCCACCTTAAATGGTGCAGCGGTCACAATCGCGTTTAAGGTGGACCGGGGAAATTCGAACAAGGTGGCGGCGAGTAGGAAGCCAACTTCAGCCTCGTATAGCCAGTTGGGTTCTCTGGCTAAGCTAACGTTAGCCTACACACTTTAAAAAAGGGTTCTCTGGTAAAGGAAATGGTTCGATCTAGAACCTTTTGCATGCCTAAATGGCTCTTTGCATGGTAAATTGGTTCTTGAGATAGATGGAGAGTGTGTTGTAAATGGTTCTATGTAGAGCCTTTTTTAAAAAATTGGCTCTATATGGCACCAAAAAGGGTTCTTCCATTGTTACAAGCTTGACATCTTAACAAAAGCAGAACCATTTTTGGTTCTACACAGAACCACAAAAAGTTGTCAATACATTCTTCGTCAATCTTAAGAGCTAAAGCATGAACTGGTTCCATGTAGAAGCTTCTTGGTGCTATTATAGATATTTTTTCGAAAAAGGTTCTATGTAGAACCTTATACAACACGTTCTCCATCAGTCTGAGGGGTCATTTCACCACGCGAAGAACTACTTAAGCATGCAGATGATTGTAGATAGAACCCATGATTCTAAATGGAACCTTTGGGCCTCATTCACCAGATTTATTTCTCAAGAACAAACTTAGGAAAAAGCTTAGGATGGTGTTGGTTGGTATATATGAGGCCTGTAGTCTTTGCTAAAGAACCCTGGAAGAACCAGCTTTTCTTTAAGGTGTGTTTGTCCATGTTTTAGCTGATAGAACATCTGCTGCTCGATTTTATCCACATCCTGTGAGTTTATCACGCGTACGGATAAATTAAGAACGTGTCCCGAAATTGGTGAGCTGAAGATCTGGAGCTGCACGAAGTGACGCTTTTAACCAAACACTTAATTATTTAAACCTGTTTGACTTGAATCCCTCTAACGTTTAGAGTTCTGGGCACTGATGTTGCTGCAGGGTTTCATTTTCGAAAAAGTCAGACGAGATTAAGGCTGAATTCAGTGCTTTACATCAACAAAAGCAAAAAGGAACATCAAAAGGAAAAATAAAGACAAAAGTGTTCGAGTGAAAATCAGTGAAAGATAAAAACACGATTTAAAAGAAAGTACAAAGTGCTTAGAGCAGAATAAAAACCTAAAAGGGATTTAAAACAAAGAGCTTAAGTGTTATTGAAATAATAAAATAATCAAAGGTAAAGTGCACTAAAAATAGTGTGCAGGTTTTGGAGCTCAGAGACACAGGAAAAGAAATGTTTTTAACCTGGATTTAAAAATTGCTACTTTTGGGGATCATCTAAGATCTTCTGGCTGTTTGTTCCAGTTGTAGCAGCTTAACCTCTTCAACTCCTTGAGACCACCGGTGGTTCATATTTCATAAGCTACATTCTAAAGGTGGGGGTCGTATGAGGCTGTAACTGTCTTCTTTCCAGTCAAATAGATGGGTGATGTAATTTTAAACCCTTATAATAAAAGAAGCTGAACTTTTCTACTGAAAGTCGACCCATTTTTCCACAAATCTGGGCTATAAACTATAAACAGATGGCGTCTCTTCAGTGATCTGCTCTGTAAACATTATTTTTAATAGAATAATACAGAGCGTCTAAGATTTTTGGCTTTCAGCAGTAAATTGTAAGCATACAGCAATATGTGTGATCATAAAACACATGTTCTGTTAATTTGAGCATCTTTTGAACTTTTACAAAAAATAAAAAAAATAAAAATTAGCATTTATTTCATGCAGTTACTGAATAATTTGCCTTACAGTTTGGTCATGTAAATTCAGATGGACAAACCAAAAGTATACCCTGGAGAATAAGAGGTTAAAGGTAAAGTGCACTGGAAATAGAGTGCAGGTTTTAGAGCTCAAAGAGGGAAAAGAGAAATGTTTTTAACCTGCTTTTTAAAATTGCTGCATTTTGGGTTCATCTAAGATCTTCTGGCTGTCTGTTCCAGTTGTAGCAGCTTAACAGCTGATGTTGCTTCACCATGTGTAGTTCGGACTCTGGGCTCGACTAGCTAACCTGAGTCCACAGGTCTAAGACCTCGTTTACATCTGGTCACTTCATGCGTCTTGAGTATCAGGGGCCGTATTACAGAAACTTCCTGTCTTTTTGTCTTAACCTAAGATCTGACAGGTCAAGATAAGATTTTCCCAAAAAAATCGTATTACAGAAGCAAATCTGATCTTAATTTAGGAATCTAATCTTACAGCATCTTATCTTATCTCAAGTTAAGAAATCTTAACTTAGTCGATCGAAGTCGATAATCAACTGTCATGTCTGTTGCCTAGCAACCAAACATATGCGCACAGCTGAAACGTAAACATGTAATCAAAGTAATAAAGTTAGTTAGTTAGACAGCTAACGTTAGCTACTGTTACTGATGTACAAAAAAGGTCAAACTGAACTAAAGTGTGATAAACTGTAAGGTGTGAATACTGTGAGAGCGCCCCCTGCTGTTTATCAGAGTCGCCGTCTCCCCAGTTTCAGTTCCCAAACGCTTTAGCCGAGCGCGCTAACGTTACTCCTCCTAATAAACAGACACACGTTCAGCTCCGTCTCCTCATTATTCACCACCATCACTGTAATATTTCATCATCAACATTAACACACGAAGGTGATCAGAGGGGCGGTGGAGATCGAGTCTGCAGCGTCTGAGATCTTTAAAATGCAGAGTTAGAAAAGAAAATCATCTCACAGTGAAAGCAGCGTTTTACAGTAGAAATAAATGGAGCTCATTATGCTGGTAGTGAACTATGCTGCTGACTCAGCTGCCTAAAAACCATAGAAACGGACCTTAAACAGAAGTGAGGACCCTGTTGGGGTTCATCCTAAAGTTAGGACTGGGGCTAAACCTCCTAAATCCTGTCCTGTTTCTTCTTTTTACCCCTACCCCATGTTTTCGAGTGTCACCCTAACCCTTGGAACTGAGTTACAGGGTAGTGGTTGAACTCTTCCCTCTGAAATGAGACCCTCAAATAAAAAGAGCATCACTTCATTAACAGCTACCAGCGCTGCTCTGTAGGCGACCCTGCCAGTCTGCAGTGACAGCAGAGGAGGGTAAAGTTCAGCTCCTCACTGCTGGGCTTTAGTTACATTTAGGGCATCATATGCCTTCAAAGAGGGGGGCAATTATTTATTATCACCCACCCCTAATTCTTCAGTGATATGAAGCTGAAGGCAGATATTCACCAGATTCTTGTTCGAATTTTCCCGTTCCACCTTAAATGGAGCAGCAGTTACATTCTGGCTCTTCAGGCGTCAGAACTGCTGGACTATTTAAGGTGGAACAGGAAAGTTAGCTAACTAGCTACCGAGACATCAGCATACTATTAGAGATTTTTTTATGCTTGTTATGAAGAAAACAACCATAATACACTGAAACAACATTAAGATAATACAGTGATTATTGTAATTTTTAATAGAGAAAATTCTCACATTTGTGTGTTTCTTTGGTCTCTTGTTCTCCATCTTGCCGGTTTTTCTTTTTTTCTCATAACTCTCTGTTTGGAGTCTCTGAAAATCCTCCGTTTGGAGGGTCATGTAGCCCCAACACTTCATCCTCCCCCTCTATCTCAACAAGAATCGGGACACCCTACCCCTAGACGAGAACGCGCAAATCAGAGGGCTAAGGGCTCAGTGGTAGGGCCGAGGGGTGAAATGGGACGGGGCCTAAATCTAGTCAGGATGTTTGTGTGATGCTGTTTTCTTATCTGGAGTTAATGATGAGATTATGAAGTCATGAACTGTTTCTGTAACAGCTACTGTCTTAAATTCTGTCCGGACTGAAGTCGTCATGGAGACCAAACAGATAAGATAAGATTTCAGACTCAGGAAGTTTCTGTAACGCGGCCCCAGGATTATATCTGGAGGCCGAACCACACAAACATGCGTTTAAAGCGGATACAGATCTGATCACCTAAACCACTTCAGGAGGTGAACTGAGACTCATCTGAGCCACGTTGTAGCAGCGTAAACACGTCCATCTCTCCGAGACACGTTCTGCACACTTAAAGACGGTTCTTTAGTGAAGAAAATAGTTCTTCATAGAACCATGATAGATCGAAGAACCCTTTGCATGATTAAAGGGTTCTTTGCATGGTGAAACGGTTCTTCAGAATGTGCTGTAGACGGTTCTGTATATAACCTTTTTGAAAAGGGTTCCTCTGTTGCTAGGATGTCAAGCTTGTAACAATAGAGGAACCCTTTTCATAAAGGTTCTCTATAGAAGAATCCACAGCACATTCTCCATCAATCTGAAGAGCGCTTTCATTCTGCAAAGAACAGTTTAATCATGCAAAGCGTTCTTTCAGTGTCCATGGTTCTTTATAGAACCATTTTTCTTTACTAAAGAACCCTTGAAGAACCATCTTTTTTAAAAGTGTACTGTTCTAAGATTTGTTAGAAGCGAACAGGTTCCTGAAGAGAGCATTTCACATGCATTTATAATGTCTTAAAAGAAACAGTTCTTCTTCACTAAAGAACACTTAAAGAACCTTTTTTTAAAGTGCTACTGCTACTGTGTACTACTGCTCTTCCATTGTTACAAGCTTGACATCTTAACAAAAGCAGAACCATTTTTGGTTCTACACAGAACCGCAAAAAGTTGTCAATACATTCTTCTTCAATCTTAAGAACTAAAGCATGAACTGGTTCCATGTAGAAGCTTCTTGGTGCTATTATATAGAACCTTTTTCGGAAAGGTTCTATATAGAACCATATACAACACGTTCTCCATCTCCACCACTTGAGCATGCAGATGGTTGTAGATAGAACTCATGATTCTAAATGGAACCATTGGGCCTCATTCACCAAACTTATTTCTCAAGAACGAACAAGCGAATAGGATCCTAAAGAGAGCATTTCACATACGTTTATAATGTCTTAAAAGAAACAGTCTTTCTTCACTAAAGAACACTTAAAGAACCTTTTTTTAAAGTGCTACTGCTGCTGTGTCAACTACATGCCAGAAACAGTGTGCTTTTAACCTCATATTCTCCAGGGTATATTTTGGTTTGTCTGTCTTAATTTACATGACCAAATCATAAGGCTAATTATTCAGTAACTGCATGAAATAATTTTTTTTTATTTATTTGTTTTTTTGTAAAAAAAAATAATAAATTAACAGAACATGTTTTATGATCACCACATATTGCTATATGCTTACAATTTACTACTGAAAGCCAAAAATCTTAGACGCTCTTTGTATTATTTTATAAAAATAATGTTTACAGAGCAGATCACTGAAGAGACGCCATCTGTTTATAGTTTATAGCCCAGATTTGTGGAAAAATGGGTCGACTTTCAGTAGAAAAGTTCAGCTTCTTTTATTATAAGGGGTTTAAAATGACATCACCCATCTATTTGACTGGAGAGAAGACAGTTACAGCTCTCATACGACCCCCACCTTTAGAATGGAGCTTATGAAATATGAAAGTTATGAAGAATATGACGAAATGCATTTTGGAACCACCACTGGTCCCAAGGAGTTGAAGAGGCTAGGGTGGACGACTGTAATGGCCTCTTAACTGGACTTTCCAAAAAGACCGCTAAAGAGCTGCAGCTCTTTCAGAATCCTTCTGCTGGAGTTTGAACCAGGAGTGTTCATAATTCTTCATAGAACCATTTTTCTTTACTGAAGAACCCTTGAAGAACCATCTTTAAGAGTGTACGGTGTGAAGACTTCTTAGGCGCTCTGTAGATCAGGGATGGTTAAAACAGTTTAGCCTCAAAAAATAAGAAAAAAAAAATGAACCGATGCTGCTGTTTCCTGTTTTTCAGATGCTCCAGGTGGTTTCAGACACTGTCTGACTCTTAGGGAAAGAGAATAGAGTGTGTGTCTCAGCCTGCTTTGTTCCTGTTTTCTATAGTGAATACCGTAAATGTTGTAATATACTTTGGTTTTTCTTTCTTTCAGGCTTTGCTGGAAAGCAAGTTGAAAGCCTTCAGCATTGGCAAGATGGCTGTGGCTAAAAGAACCCTGAGCAAAAAGGAGCAAGATGAGCTCAAGAAGAAGGTGAGTGTGTTAAATCTTTAAATCTAATATATTTCATAGGATTTTGCTTGTAATTCTAGTATTACTTGGTCAGTTCTGGGTAGATTGCTAGTCACATAGGAGGTCTAAAGCATGGCTGCCTAAAACCTTTAAATAAAATTTAGTGTAACATAAGAAAATGCATAAAAAATGTAGAACTACCGTTTTTAGTTATATAGTATCTTGTCTTTTTGGCCTTTAGCTCACATATTACCACAAACATTATCAAACAAAAAAGTTAAATGCGTGAAACTCGGTGCGTAGTTCAGTGTGTGAGATGTAATCAGAGAGATTCAGGGTGGTTTGGTGTGAAATGGTTCAGATGTCTTTACAGTGGTGGTGATAGGAACCAGGGGTCGCCATGACTACAACACAGATATAGACATTTTATTTACTATCCAGAACCACCAGTGAACCTACACGAGTCTTCTGAGTTTATATGGAATGTTGATGATGGAAAATAGTGGAAAATCTGACATAATAAGTTTTCTTTTGGATCTATTTTACCTCACAACAGCCTGCACGTATCCCTCCACCATGGATGAGTTTTAAAAAATATGTTTCCAGACAAAAACCGTCTCAAAACTGTCGTAAAAGAGGGAGTGCACTTAATTATCCGATAACTGAAGGAAATCAGATTTTGTCAGCAATACGTTTTCGTGCACTTGAGTAATCAGATAAAGGGGAAACTCCAGGTCTACATGAGTCAGACAGTAATCAGATTTCTGCTCCAGTAAACTCACAGAAGAAGACGTGACGTAAACGTAACGTGAACTCAGACTTCATGCTGCAGCTTTTCTTTAAACCTTGCGCCACTTTTCCTGAAAATATGAACATAGATCATCTGGAAGATGAAGAACATTTAAATCCTTCATTTCGTGTTTGGTTTCAGCGCCGCTCCGAAAGTGTTTTGCTGCGTCTCGCGGCGACGCTGATGCTTATTTCTGGTACCGCAGTCTGTGTTCACTCATGCGCAGACTGAAATCCGAAAGAAATCAGAGTAAGAGTTACAAGCACTGAGAAATCTGATCACTGAGCTAAAATCCCGCCTCTCTATCAGATTTCTTAATCAGATTTCTAGATTTGAGTGTGGTGTTTACGTGACCATTTGAATAATCAGATCCAACTGCAGAGATCTGATTATGATTGGATTATTGAGTGCATGTAAACACACTTATTGTCTCAGACATCCGGCAGTGTAGTGATTATCATCTCATGTAGTAACTTTCTGTGAGGGAGCTTTTAGAGGTGGACGTCTGGTTCCTATCACCACCACTGTGAACAATTCTTTTAAAGAACTTCATTAACCATTTAATTAGGCACAAATGCCACAACATAGATAGTTGGAGTTCCCCTTTAAGGATCTACAGTGTATTGGCATTTTTTGAAGACAAGAAAATGTGGCTTTAATTGATTGTTGTTTCTGATGTAGCTTTTTCATCATACGGATCATGTGGGTTTTACCATGACAGCTAAATATTCATTAGCTTTTGTTTGTTTATGCACATTCATGTTGAGTTTTTGAATTAAATGCGCATTCTGTAATGGGAACAGTTAGAAGAATACTTTGAATACTTAGAATATTTATTTATTTATTTATTTATTTATTTTTACTACATGTAAATGTCTGTCTGATACTGAGCACTGTGAGCTCCTGTAACCAAAACCAAATTCCTTGTATGTGTCAGCAAACCTGGCCAGTAAAGCTTGATTCTGATTCTGATTCTGAAGAATGTGCAGCGTGGAGTTTCTCTGGATACGTCCAAATTAAAACAGTAATACAAAGCGAATGTTGTGGTTCTCAAACCAGACCCCCAGACAGCCCAGGTTTTCGCTCCAACCCAACTCGCTGCACGTGCGGTAGAGCAAAAATGTGGACCGTCTAGTGTCCCTGAGGACCGGTTTGAGAACCACTGCCTTCAAGATGGTTTATTTGTCTTCAGTAGATTATTTAGTTAAATACGATGTTGTGCTGAACGTTAACAGGAGGATGAAAAAGCAGCTGCAGAAATCTATGAGGAATTCCTCGCTGCCTTTGAAGGAGGTGAAGGCAGAGTCAAGACGTTTGTCCGAGGGGGCATCGCTAATGCCAGCAAAGGTAAACTGCATCCTGAATTTGTCATTTCACGGTTGCCAATCAATTGCATGTGACCGTATGTTTGGTCACTGCAACTTGCATTTATCCTAGAGTAGCAGCATGTGTTGTGCACTTGTTTGCACGTGTTTCTCCTTCTCACTCGCAGAGGAAGCTGCAGCTGATGATAAGAGAGGAAAGCTCTACAAACCAAAATCAAGAGTTTTGGAGGCCAAAAGTTTTCTGCCCCTGGAAACACCTCCACAGTTTCTTGCGTTAGACAAACGTAACGTAAGTATTCATTTTTTGTGCTTTTTAAATACAAACCGATCAGGAATAACATTCTGACCACCTCCTTGTTTCTACACTGACTGGCCATTTTATCAGCTCCACTTACTATATAGGTGCACTTTGTAGTTCTACAGTTACAGACTGTAGTCCATCTGTTTCTCTGATACTTTGTTAGCCCCCTTTTACCCTGTTCTTCAGTGGTCAGGACCCCCATGGACCCTCACAGAGCAGGTACTATTTGGGTGGTGGATCATTCTCAGCACTGCAGTAACACTGACGTGGTGGTGGTGTGTTAGTGTGTGTTGCGCTGGTCTGAGTGGATCAGACACAGCAGTGCTGCTGGAGTTTTTAAACACCTCAGTGTCACTGCTGGACTGAGAATAGTCCACCAACCAAAAATATCCAGCCAACAGCGTCCTGTGGGCAGCGTCCTGTGACCACTGATGAAGGACTAGAGGATGACCAACACAAACTGTGCAGCAGCAGATGAGCTATCGTCTCTGACTTTACATCTACAAGGTGGACTGACAAGGTAGGAGTGTCTAATAGAGTGGACAGTGAGTGGACACAGTGTTTAAAAACTCCAGCAGCACTGCTGTGTCTGATCCACTCAGACCAGCGCAACACACACTAACACACCACCACCACGTCAGTGTCACTGCAGTGCTGAGAATGATCCACCACCCAAATAGTACCTGCTCTGTGAGGGTCTATGGGGGTCCTGACCACTGAAGAAGTCCTCTCTGTAACTGTAGAACTACAAAGTGCTATATAGTAAGTGGAGCTGATAAAATGGACAAGAAATGGAGCGTAGAAACAAGGAGGTGGTCATAATGTTATGCCTGATCGGTGTAGATACGTCTTGTCTTGTAAATATGTAATAATTTTGTTCTTTAAACTTCCCAAGGCGTCAAAGAAAGGAGAGAAAGAAAAGAAAAAGAGCAACCTTGAACTTTTCAAAGAGGAGCTTAAACAGTAAGTCTTCTCTGCTGCCTTTGTGTGGAAGTAAAGGCAACTTGTAATGGGTGCAGAAAAAGATGCGTGGTCTGTGTTGTTCTGTAGGATCCAGGAGGAGCGTGATGAACGCCACCGGTTGAAGGGGAGAGTCAGTAGATTTGAGCCTGTGTCAGCCATGGAGGGAAGAAGATCGTGTAAGTATATTATTCAAAACTTGTTTTATTCACATGAAATATAGATGATATAACTGCAGAGTAGTGTAATGTATGACACGTTGTAATAGGAATATTTTTGTTAAGCTCAGGATTATGTGTAGGGGACATTTGTATGTAGTGCTGGGCGATATGTCGCTGATATCGGTATATCGTGATAAAGGGGTGGGAAATATGACGAATATTTTGTCGTTGTTGGGATAAATTATGCTTCAGTATGTTTTATATTGTCAGCATTTAAAGCAGAACTCTTTTTCAGAGCTCCCAAAATTTTGTCAGTTGTCCCAAGGTGAAAATTGACCGTCTAAAATCACGTTACATTTCTCTATTAATTTTTTTGTTCTCAGAAAAATTCTCAAAAATGAAACGACAGATAGCAACACACACAATACATACGTTAACACAGTTAACAAGCGCATACGTTTTTATACATACATTCATGCAAACACATGCGTTTATATCGCTCTTGTCATAAGAAAACCTTGTATCTCGACAATGGCAACTTTACAGGAGAAGGATAAAACATACTTTACTTTTAATGTAAGTCAATGGAACCAGACGTTTTTCCAAGTAATTTCCAGCCGTTTCTTTCAGTCCATTCATCATGAAATTTACACACAATGTAAAGGACAACAGGTATTTTCAAATTATGTCAAAAACTGAAAAACAACAAAAATGGAGATACGAGGTTTTCTTCCGACAACAGCAATATGTGTAAGTATGAGTGTGTGTATCAGAAACTCTGTAACTGAACATTTCAACGTTTTAAAACGCCACTTTATTCTTGACTGCATTCCCGAAACGCAAAACCGTAAATTTAAGTTGTGTTCGGATTTTCTAGCAATAACCGTTTCCTGTAATACGACGATGATCGTTTGATTTCTCATCATTTACGACTGGTTTTAGAGTAAGAATAGATTAAGATCATCTTGGTGCCCTGGAACATAATGTGGGCTGAAAGGGTTAAATATTGGGGCACGATGTGACCTTATTGGCTAATCACTGAACACAACAAGCGCTGGATTACGATCAGTGAATATTGCTGCCATAATAAACCAGATTACAGAGAATCTCTCAAGCTTTAATTGTCCATGTTGTCCATGGAAATTAGCATTGTGGTAGAAATTGTGTGCTACACACACATCACGGTTCTTCAAGGGTTCTTTAGTAAAGAAAATGGTTCTAGATAGAACCATGGATGCTCAAAGAATGATGCATGACTAAAGGGTTCTTTACATTGTGAAAGCGTTCTTCAGATTGATGGAGAATGTGCTGTAGATGGTTCTGTCCACAAAGCACCCACAAGGGTTCTTCTATTGTTACGGTGTCAAACGTGTAACAATAGTAGAACCCTTTTGGGTGCTAACCCTTTTCAAAAAGGTTCTATACAGAACCGTCTGTAGCACATAAATGCACATCTTCCATCAATCCAAAGAGCTGTTTCATGATGCAAAGAACCATTTAATCACGCAGAGGGTTCTTTGAGCTTCTTTGGTTCTATATGGAGCGCTTTTATTTACTAAAGAACGCTTGAAGCACAGTCTGTTTTAAGATTGTACTGATAAAGCGAATTAAAAACAGACATTAGATGCTGAGATTGTGGACGCAGGTTGTCTCTGAAGCGTCCCAAAATGGTTTAAACACCATCCTTTGTGCTATTTTTATCATCCCCGGGATGACGGGGCAGCATTAGTGTGGAGTCCCGACAGTTTAGAGAGCACTAACCAGCTGCATGTCTCATTACAGAGAGAGCACAATTAGGATTTAGTGCTGTGCAGGGTGTGGAACAGAAATCACTGTGGAGTTAGTCTTTAGGTGGCTCTGCTGGTGCTTTTTTTGTCTGTTCTAGTATCGTATTATTTTTCCATATCACCACTCCTGCTGTGATGCTGATACACCGTCATATAATGCGCATAAAACAGTAGCAGTGCAGGTTTTTAGTTTTTCCATGTGGAATCCAGGGCCTGACAGTTAACTGCAAGGTATGGCACTAACTGGGTGCCTCATACTGTTTTAAACAATGTAAAATCTATTAAATATGTAAGCATTAATCCCAGTCTATATATCATATGATGCTGTCGTTCAGTGATATACTTGGAAAATCTTGTGATATTGAATTTCATCCGTATCACCCAGCACTAGATATGTCAGTGGGGATTTATTAGGGGTTGTCTGTTAGACTTAAGGCCAATTTATCGTCCAGGCGACAGGCGCCGCTTGACCAAAAATAAATTGCATAAAAGAAACAAAATTTGTGTCTGCTAGGGTGTCGCAGGCCTCGTCGCAGGCCTCGTCGGACACTCTGATTGGATTGAAACTCAAGCTCTGGTCACGGTGTGAGGCTTTGTTTACATTCTGGCTGCTCTGCTACTTTCAGAAATAGAACGGGTTGCCATGTATTCAGAACTGTGATCAATATACATTTGTAAAAAGATTTGTTTTCATTTTTTTACCTTTTTCCACGACTGCAATTACTTTACAAAGTACTTTCAGACTGACTGGAATTTTTGGGTAAACCGTGAATCTGGCAACCCTGTGTGAACTTGAGTTAAACATGAGTGTGAAAAAAAACAAGCAGTATTTCTGGTTGCTGTAGCGACACTGCAGCTCCTGCTGTTAATGCAGTTTCACTGCCGCAGCCGTTTTCTGTTCTGTGCGGTTTTCACTGCGGATGATGTTCTATTAAGGCGTTTTCTCGCTGGCGCAGGACTGTGAAAGCCTACAGCGCTGCGACGTCTGTCAGCCACAGTTTTTGTCAAGCGACACTTGTTGCCTAGACTATAAATTGGCCTTTGAACTCTGGACTTTAAGCCTGTTGAACTCACTTGTGAAAACGCTGCTCCTTCATGTCGTGGCCACTCCCACTATATAGCAGCGTGTGTGTGTTTTATCGTGGAAACAAAATTTACACTGCTTTTCTGCTTCTTTTAGCGGATGGTTCTTCACGAAGAAACCGTCCGTCCAGTGGTAATTTTGCTTTATATACTGTGTAATGCAATCACTTGAGCATTTGGCTGTGTGTGTAATCTGTCATGGATGGATGAATGATGATGATGATGATGATGGTGATGGTGGTGAAGATAAATTAAACCCAGGTGACCCTGTGAGTTGATCAACTAGTGCTTTTGGTTTTTCAGTTTTGGATGACTCTGCTCCGGGCTCACACGACGTTGGTGACCCATCAACCACAAACCTTTACTTGGGAAATATAAATCCTCAGGTAACTGCGTTATTGTGTGTTTGAGTCGCCCTGCTATTTTGTTGTAGCAGGAAGATTATAAATGAGGGAAAATTCCGTGTCTAGTAGGGATGCACAGCGATATCGGAATCATATCTCTATTGACAGATATTTTCTTTAAGCAGTCGTCGACATTGGACGAATCTTTAGATTTGGTCGATGTTCTAAACTGATATTTTATATATTTATTGCACTCTGGAAGGAGTATTTCTATTCTATTACATTTGTACCTTTTTACAGAAATGTTTTTCTCTGTAATGCTAAATAAATTAAATTTGGTCCCAGTTTCTTGTTTATGTATCACCACTGGCAGTAGTGTACATGAAAAAGTCTCTGATATGTTGCTGTCTGTGATTCTAGATGAATGAGGAGATGCTCTGTCAGGAGTTTGGCCGCTATGGTCCTCTGGCCAGTGTGAAGATCATGTGGCCCAGGACGGATGAGGAGAGGGCCAGGGAGAGGAACTGTGGCTTTGTCGCATTCATGACAAGGAGAGATGCAGAACGAGCGCTTAAACACTTAAATGGTACAGATAATTCATTTCTGATATAACCCGTATTCCACCCCTGTGCACTTCAGAGCCAAGGAAGATTTGGGCGACTTGCAAATGAAAATGCAAATGAGTCCTCCAACCAGTCACAGCTCCAGATGAGTTTCTGTTGGTGTATTAAGAGTATTCATGTAATCCAATATCATAACACATTCTCCAGAGAGAGCTCACTTAAATATGTTTTCCCCAAAATGTGGCACTTCAGTATTTAGTTTATTTATTTATTTATTTTATATATATATATATATATATATATATATATATATATATATATATATATATATAATTTTTTTTTCCCCAGGCCAGTATTTCTTGGCCACATCACCACCCCAACCCAGTGCTTTATTGAAATTTTGTTTCTGTCCTTCCAGTTCAGCAGTATAAATTTTGCCAGTGGTAAATGATATTAATATAAAGATTTGAGGTGATTGGGTGCTGATAGTGAATAAATATTGCCTTATTATTATATTATCTTCTTTTTTTTCCCCTGGCTCATTTAGTTCACCTCAGAGCCTAACTTGTTTCAGAATGTGCTGTGACTGTTTTCGGGAAGCAGTTTGTGTTTATACGGTTCTGGTGTTATTGTTAGTTATGAAGTTGACAGTGATGTTTTGTCACTAATGGCGTGTTAGTCTGTTTATACTCATGAGACGTTTTCTGTTTCAGGAAAAATGATAATGAACTTTGAAATGAAACTGGGATGGGGCAAAGGCGTGCCAATTCCACCTCACCCCATTTACATTCCCCCCTCCATGATGGAGCACACTCTTCCCCCTCCGCCCTCCGGCCTGCCCTTCAACGCTCAGCCCAAAGAGAGGCTGAAGAACCCAAACGCTCCAATGCCTCCTCCGCCCAAGAACAAAGAGGAGTTTGAGAAGGTAACTTGGCAATGCGGCAGAGAAACAGTGCTTTTGATTAGTGTTGTTAGTTAAGGAAAGAACATGAGGTTCCTTATTTTCTTCTTTGAGTGCATTTGTTTCTAAGAACAGGGCGATGTTCCTTATAGCCTGCTGGCTTTGGTTAGATCATTTTAAAATAAACTGAGTGCTGGAGCTGAAGATTAAGAAAGCTGAAGACGCTACAGTACTACATCTTTCAATAAAATTGGACTTAACTGAATAATAACAAACCACTCAGAGCCTTTCAGCAGTTCCGAAATGATTCACTGGGACAAGGAAGCCTTTACGAAGACTTATTTAAAGGGAATTCTACCTATTTTTATCCAAGACTGTTCAACAGAGTGATTCAGAGTGGTTTGGTGTGAAATGGTTGATTATAGAGACTCTGTCTTTTCAGTGGTGGTGATAGGAAGCAGGGGTCACCATGACTACAACACAAATATATCGCTGTTGTTGGAAGAAAACCTCGTATCTCCAAGATGATAGCTTTACTGGAGAAGGGAAAAAACTTGCTTTCCTTTTAATGTAAGTCAATGGAACTGGACTTTTTTCCAGTTCATTTTGGGCCATTTCTTTTGGTCCAGTCTTCAAGAAATTTGCACACAATATAAGGAGCAACAGGCATTTTCACACTGTCAAAAACTGAAAAACGACAAAAACAGAGATACAAGATTTTCTTCTGACAGCAGCGATAGACATTTTATTTACTGTCCAAATCCACCAGTGAACCCATACGTGTCTTCTGAGTTTTATACGGAATGTTGATAATGGAAAAATAGTGGAAAACCTAAAATAATAAATTTTTTTGGGGACTATTTTGCCTCACAGCGCCCTGCATGTCTCCCTCCACCACTTATAAGTTTTAGACCTAAACCTATCATAAAGCATAGATCAGCGTGTTGATAACCATTTCATGTAATAGCTTTCTGTGAGGGAGCTTATAGAGGTGGACATCTGGTTCCTATCACCACCAATGGCTGTGTTTACATGCAAAGATTTTGCCAATCCGATTGAATACATTCTGATCACAGATTCAGACTGAGGTGTTTATTCTCACTCTACTCAACGATCTGATGAAAATCTTCGTTTACATGCTCACTACAAGTGATCAGATCCCAAATGACGCGCATGCGTGAAGTAGCGCTTAGTGTAGACGTTACCATGACAACCAGCATCACGTGAGTCCAGTCAGAGTGAGATGAGCAGCAGTGAGCAGCGCTTGTGTTTTTAACTGCTTTAAAATGGTGTCAGACTCAGGAAAACGTCCTTCACATGTCCTTATTAAAGAAGGCCGAGAGGAAGACGTCGTGTTCTGAGACACATAAGCTGGACGTCCGTCCCACCGCCGTCTTTTAAAGACCAGAGCATAAACTTCGTCTCCTCTGCAGACCAGTTTCTGCTCCGCCATGTTGAACGGTATAAACTTTCACTATGATGCGACGAACATGATCAGAACGGACTTAGACTTTCCGATAGGGAATGTAATCAGATACAGGCGTTTACACGGATATTATTCTTCTATTTAACGATTATTTACAGGATTACCCACCTCGATCAGTCAGATAGAGACTGTATTCTGAATGGCCTCAATCGGACTAGACTATTCCGACTGAGGTGTTTACATGGACGTGTTCTATTCCGATTGAGCTATTAGTCGGATTATTAACGGATTATTAGGCTGCATGTAAACGTGGCTACTGTGAACGATTCCGTTTCTCTATTACGGAGTATTTCGCACTAAACCACTCAATGAGATTTTGAACAAATGAATATGAAAGAGTGTCCGTCAGCCTCAGTTTGTTACTGTTAGGGAGAGCAGTGAGATAAAATATGCATTATCATCATGCAAACTGACCACCTGATCACTGCCGATTCGTCAAGGAGTCACATTTGAATAGATTTATTTATTTATTTATTTATCGATTTCAGTCAAATTTACCTCAACAAACTGAGCAATCGTGACTGCTCTACAGCACAGCCATGCTATTGAACCGTAGTTTACCAGAGTCAGCCAGCTGTGAGGAACATGGCCCATTTCAGCAGGTTTACTCAGTCATCATATTAGTTAGCTGTAAATTAGTGTAAGTTCTATACAAAGGTACCGGTAAGTGTTTTAGAATGAAAAATCACCTTTTTAATATCCTGTAGGCCTTGATGTTATTTCTTCAAAGCGAATTAAAATGATGCCATGCTCTTGTTCTGTTTGTTTTTTCCTTTATATTAGAGTACTAGAGTTATTTTTCATTATAATAAGCATTAAACATATTCAGATCAGTAGTAAATGTGCTGTAGAATGTATGTTTGAGTTTAGCGCAGTTCCTTTTTTAAAATTTTTTTTACACTTGAGGAGCTAGTTCAGTTATAAGTTTTAAAACTGACCACCGTAGAACACGTTTTGTTGTTTGTAGGAGTATGTTGCATATAGTAATTATGCTTGTTCCTTTTTAACAATACTCACATATATTCTATGTTTATTATCTGATGTGACTTCATATCCAGACTCTGTCGCAAGCCATAGTCAAAGTGGTTATCCCAACAGAAAGGTACATGTTTTTCTTTTTTTCCAAATTCATATGAAATGTAGAGAACATCTCTATAGTTTGCTTGATTGGGCATATGCATGCTACCAGAGAGCCGTTTGGGTGAGCAGCAGTTGAGGCCGTGCATGAACACACACACTAACTCTCTTTTTTTCCATACATGCACACACTTCTGGACTACATGTGTACAACAACGCATTCTGAGGAAAGTGAATATTTCATAAATTATAAGACGGTAGCTTTGGAAACATCTGACATGTCTGTTAAAGTACATCAGTGTTTCATACTGTCCTGTTTGTCTGTCTGTGTCTAATAGGGCTGTCACTGTGGATCATGGTAGTAGTTTAGTAATCTGCCAGTTATTTTAACAGATAAATAAGGAGTCAGATCTTTACGACGCGTCCATTTTACGGCCAACTATTAGGCATCAACTGAGCCATAATGAACTATGCAGAGCCGTTCCATTCCAGATATTTTTTCTTTCGAAGTTTGATGTTGGAACAAGGAAGAAGATCCATTAGTGCCACATTTTAATAAAATACTATAATTTTAAATTCCGCACTTAACCAGGATTAAGAACACTCTGCAGTGAGACATGGAGGTGAGTGTTCTTTAAGTAGTGGTAATATTCATGATATGCTGAGAAAAAGCATATTAAGACATAGTGTGATTATTATAGCTAGGGATGTCCAGCAGACGCTGGATTCACAAAACGTCGTGAGAAAGAAACTCTTATGTGACATATATAAACTCAGAGCAAGGGCAGCGGGGAGAGAACCGCGAGTTAGTGGGGGATGGTGCGCGAATCCCAAAGCGAGTGACGGCGGGAGGAGGACATCAGCCACCAGAGAGGGGAGGACAAGGATGACAACAACGAGACGCACAAAGGCGGGAAGCGACTCCCGAACTCCGCCGCCCGGGCCCCGCCCCCTGTTCGGCAGTCCGGCCACCCGGGTCAAACGTGAGGCAAATTAAAGTGGCCTCACTGCGGGACTTGAGGCTTCGCCCAGGAGGCAGGGCTCGGGACTCGTGCACCGTCCCCCATTAACTCGCTGTTCTCTCCCCACCGTTCTCGTCGGGCTTCGTCGCCACTCAGAGCTTGGGCCCCGCCTTCCTGCCGGTTCTTGTGGCCACCATCGGAGCCCAGGGGACAGACAGATGAGACTATTTTGTGTTTGTTTTTTTTTCTTTCTTTTTGTTCTTTCTTCTGGATGTTTGTGTGAATCCGGCCCCACACTTTATATTTGAACAGTTTTAAAACAAGCAAATTTATAAAAAATTCCAAATAATCATTGCAGATTCATCGAGAAAGAATATTCGAATCGCTGATGTAGTGTAGCTGGGGAATCGTGACAGCCCTAATGTGTGTATAGGTTGTTCTAAGGCATGCCCTGCACTTTCACTCCTCCTTCCATTGGTAGGTTTGTTCAAGCTGGTAAGGCAGGTAGTTAGTAATGCGCCGTTCTTTTAAACGACACACAGTAAAACTGCATACAGTGTTATTTACCCAAGCTGCCTCTGGCTATTGCTCACTCCAACTGCCTCAGTAGCATGGGTCAAAACAAACAGCCACCCAATCCCCGTAGTCTCAGTGACCTTTGACATTGGCCTTGGTGAGCAGCACAAGTTGAACTGTCTGCAGCAGCGAGGGACCAGAAAAGCGTCACAGGATGGATTGGGGAAAGTATACAGAATGATTGCCTGACATTGGTATGATCGGCTCCAATACTTTGTGATTTGTGTTACAGTACATTTTGACACCCTAAAAAAACACTCATTTTGTTTTATTGCCCACTTTGAGGGGGGGCAGGTCCAAAATAAACCCTAATACTCTTAAATGGCAGAATAGAAATGTTAATATGGTTTCTCTTCTCTCTCCATCCACACTTTTTCCATTGTCAAAAGCTTTAAGAAATGTCACTTGGCCTTATAATCTAAGTAGTGACTTATTAGAAGGTGAGGTTACATGTGCAGTGAGGGAGCAATGCTATGGCTGTGATTTAGTAGCACTATTGAATCAAAGCATTATAGTTTTCCTCATTCTTAGTCTGACAGTCAGTTTTAAATCTTACTTGCTAAAGTTTCTGCTCAGATCTTTTCTTCCTGAGTACTTTTATATACAGTAACACTGAGTTAGAACTGTTGTATGTGCCAGGGGCAGTAAGCTGCTGTCAGTTCGAGGTAATGTCGTAGCGTTAGCAGTGCTTGTGGTGTGGCTGTTGGTGCTGGCTCTGAATCTGTTTCGCTTTAACTGTGTTTTTCTTGTAGGAATTTGCTCTGTCTCATCCACCGAATGATCGAGTTTGTGGTGCGTGAGGGACCCATGTTTGAGGCCATGATCATGAACAGAGAAATCAACAATCCTTTATACAGGCAAGTTTCGGTGATGTTGCTCAGATGACTTTTTTGCGGGTCTATAAATGGTTTATTACTGTGGTAATCCCTTTAAAGGGCCCATATCATTTAAAAACAAGTGTCTTGGCTTAACTAAGAGTTTGATGTAGTGGGTAAACGGTACCATTGACCCTTTAATCCATGCAGTCTGTATGTGGATATTTAGCTGCCAAAACAGCCCGATTTGAATTCCTTGTTTTTGTGATGTCATGAAAACAGGCACATATTTCATAATTCTGGCTATTGTGCCCAACAGAACCTTAAGCTCTGCCTAGTCATATTGAAGGGGAATTCCACCAATTTTTCAGAAATTTCTGCATAATTCAGTGGTTGAGATGTAAACAAAGTCGTTCAGATTGGTTTGACAAGAAATGGTTAATTTGCAAAGAAACTTGTGGACTCTTAACAGTGGTGGTGATGGGAACCAGGAGTCACAGTGACTACAATGCAAATGTATGACTACAATGTACATGTCTGAGTTTTTAGTGTAACTATTTTACCATCAATCTGAAAAACATAAGTTTTCTTTGGGGACTATTTTGCCTAAGAACACTCTTCATATACCCCTCCACCATGAATGGATGTAAATGAATTAAAATGCGTTTAGACCAAAACTTTGTGACAGAACTACTGACAGTGTCTCTTCGGGCATATTCATAAGCATTTCATGTAATAACTTTCTGGGAAGGAGCTTTAAGAGGCACTAAACGTCTCAGATGTCTGGTTCCTATCGCAATTCTGATTCTGTAAGATTTTCTAGAATAAAGCATCTCATACAGAACCACTCTAAAGGGTTTTTTTGACATGTTACTATATAATTATGCAGAAATTTTAAAAAAATTGGTGGAGTTCCCCTTTAAAGAGTGTTTCAGCGTGGGCTACTTTTTTTTGGGTCCTGGAAAAATGGAATTATGATCTTTTTTGTGTGTAAATGGGCTTTTGGGAACAAAAATGCAAGAGAAATGTATTCTGCATAGAAATAACTAACATTGTTTTGTATTCTACAGGTTTTTATTTGAGAATCAGAGCCCAGCTCATGTGTATTACAGGTGGAAGCTGTATTCCATACTACAGGTGAGTCTCATTCAGCATCAACACAGATCTGTGATTAAAAATCTACAAATTTAGATTCAGTCGTGAAACTAAACTCTGAAATATCGTCCACAGGGAGATTCTCCAACTAAATGGAAGACAGATGACTTTAGGTTGTTTAAGAACGGCTCTTATTGGCGGCCGCCTCCTCTAAACCCTTACCTGCACGGCACTCCTGAGGACGAGGAGTGTGATGATGACGACGAAGAGGAAAGCAGCAAGAAGGGATCCCTGAAGGACGAGTATGTTCCTCAGAAAGATGCCAAGCGTGTTGTTTTTCAGTGGGATGTTTTTCTCTCCCCCTTCAGTTTTAATAGGCTGTTAATTTAATCATCACACTCGTGCTTAAAACTAGGGCTGAACGATTTGGGGAAAATATCTAATTGCGATTTTTCTGACCAATATTGCAGCTGCGAATTAAATGCAGTGATTTTAGATTTCCAGGCCTGTTTTTTGGCCAAGAAGAGCAGAATATCCACTTTCTCTGGCATGACGCTTGAGTTCGTCAGACTACCAGTTGTGATGTCACGTAAACAGAACATGGTTGTTTCGTAGCTTCTGATTGGTCCAGCTCATCCACAGGCAGTTCACCATTTAAAACTTGTTAAGACAGCATTGTTGATAATGTACTATACGATAAAAATTGCAGCTCTTGCGATTTAAAAATTGCACTCTTTCGAATTTTGATTTTGATATGAAAATGTTTAATCGTTCAGCCCTACTTTAAACTATGTCGAGTTGGTAAGTAATCTCAAATAGACTAGATTTAGGCTTAAAATTGAAGCTAAAATTTACCCTTACCCTGGATGTAGTTAAGCAGCTAAGACAGGTCCGGTCACTAATGTGTGCTTATTAGTACTGAGACTACTGTCACTGACGTACAGGAAGTCAATAGTCACCCAAAGTCTTTCCATAAATACATCCCCAAAACTTCCCCCACACCGCATCGCAGTCTTCATTAAGGTCACACTGACTTGTTGATGAGGTTTAGGACCCTGCATGACTTACTGTGAGCCATAATGATAAAGAAAACTCAGAAACTTCAAAAGTGCAGCCACTTTGGACAAGTTTTGTGCCAAATTCTGATTATTTTTGTTTATAAGTAACTGTGAATCACCGATCTGAAGATTTGTTCATCAAAACATGAACAGAAATTGCAGATGTAATTTAGTGTCTGTCTGCGTGATGTGCGTGCATGTAGAGCAGGGGTCTTTAATTAAAATTCAGTGTGGTCCAGTTAGAGAAAATTTCCTTAACCAAAGGTCCGAAACATCATAATGTCTAACTTGCATCATGATTCAGTGCCATATACTGTTTACTGAAGTAGCCTAGTAGGTATATCAACATCTTATGCAGTCGACAACTGAATGTCTGAAAGTGAATAACTTCCCTCTGACTCACTTTCTTCTCCAGCTACTGTTTCTCGCCTCGTCCCTCCCCTGTGTGTGCGTCACTCACTCGAGTCTCAGTGCTCATCGTAATGCACAGATCTGATTGGCTGAGTAGCGTCACGTGTGATATTTACAAAGTATGCGATTGGTCTGTGAGTTTCCCGGGCTGCTAAAGCTACCACCCCGTCGAAATTAAATAATTCTCCATAATTTATCGGTTATAGGTCCAGCTCCACATAGGACAGCGTCTGGGTCCAGACTCAGACCATGGTCACTAATAGGCGCCTCTGATGTAGAGTCAGATTCTGTGGGGGAGTCAGAAGTCATCCATCATCCGTCATGCGAATCGTTCATTTTTATTGTTTGCAGTCATACTGTGTCATAAACCACATCAACATGTCTGTGGCGTCTAACTGAAGGCATGGATGCAGTTTGAGCTGACTGAGAGAGGATTTGGGGTTGTATTCAGAGAAAAGATTTGGGTGGCTATTGACTTCCAGTGTTTGTTAGCAACATTAGCCACGTAACTCCAGCACTGAACTAAAGAAGAAACATTTGGACACCAAACCTGTTTACATTGCGTAGATTAGATTTTTGGTCCTATCACTTAAACCCTGTTTCCCTGTGCAGTGAGAGAGACAAGCTGGAGGAGATGCTCCGTGGCCTCACCCCGAGGAGGAGTGATGTTGCTGAGGCCATGCTGTTCTGCCTCACCCACGCAGACGCAGCCGAGGAGATCGTGGAATGTGTCGCTGAATCTCTGTCCATCCTTAAAACTCCACTCCCGAAAAAGGTCAGACACTTCAGACGTAATATAGAGATGTTTGCATCATTTATACGTCAACCATTTTTCATTGTATACATTTTTTTAGAAGTATTATACGATACAAATATATATATGTATGTAAACCTGTATATTAAAAGCGTGAATTAAAAGCAAAATTCATGCTGTAAGCTTTTAAATGTGCCAACGCAGTAGGAAGCGCAGAGGTGTACGAACCTGTTCTTATGACAAGAATGAAAGATTTTCCCTCTGTTTCTTGATTTTCTTGATTCAAAATTGTGTATTTCTGCTTTCCACCAGATTGCGAGGTTGTATTTGGTGTCAGATGTCTTGTATAACTCCTCCGCTAAAGTCTCTAATGCGTCCTACTACAGAAAATTGTAAGTGCATCACTCTTTCCTTTCGCACATTGCTTCGTTCATCACATCAATCATTCATTCATGTATTTCCTGTTGTTCCTTCACAGCTTCGAAGCAAAACTCTGCCAGATATTCTCTGATCTCAACGCCACCTTCAAGACGATACAGGGCCACTTGCAGTCGGAGCATTTTAAGGTACGTGGTCGACTTCCCTTTTACTCAGCTGCTGTGGCCTGTAATTCCTGAAGCCTCTGTTGGCCTTGCTTTCATATTCTCTCGTTATGCTGCGCATTTCCATACCGGCACTTTAGTAAGATGCATGCATTCGCATGCAGCCTCAGCAGGCTGATTTGGAGGAGAACAATATTACACGTGTAAATATTAGTAAACACTGACAGTATTAGTGCCCCCCCCCACAGCAACGAGTGATGTCGTGTTTCCGGGCATGGGAGGACTGGGCGGTGTATCCTGATCCGTTCCTCATCAAACTCCAGAACATTTTCCTGGGACTCGTCAGTCTGGATCCAGACAAAGAGACCCCCACAGAGCTGGTGTCTGAAGTGAGTCTGGTGTCTGTGGTGTATATAACCATGTTCAGGCTGTCATTGTATTAAGGTTTTAATTCAATTTCCGCTTTGTTCATGTAAGTCACATGAAACGGAGCGCACTGGATCGCTGATTCTGTTAGTGTGCACTGTAAATGTGTGGTCAGTGTCAGTTTTTATGGATATATTATATATATATATTTATTTAGGACTATAATGTAAATTTAAATTAACCTAACTTATCTGAGTCTCGGTTGTGGGAAGTGGACTGCTGAGTTCATTACATCCATTCTGTCACACATTTGTCAGTATCAGATTTTTTAATATATATTTTTTTAATATTATTTGTGTATTTTTTACATTTTTTATTTAGGTTTTATTTTTATTTCTGTTGAACTGACTTCTTAACAGAGAAACACTTTCATGGCTTTTGTTTTAGCATTAAATCTAAATATAATTTAAATGTAATTTACATCTGTGGTGTAGTTTAAAGAGGAACTGGGTGATGGCTGAGTTAATGTCCTGTATGTTAGCAGCCCGTTGAACAGGTGGAGGATATAGATGGCGCCCCTATTGTGGAGGAGGAGCTGGACGGCGCTCCTCTGGAGGACGTCGACGGCACTCCGATCGACGGAGCTCCTCTGGATGGAGCTCCAATGATGGACGACCTGGATGGAGTTCCCATAAAGGGCACGGAGGATGAGCTGGACGGAGTTCCCTGTGAGTGACGCAGATCAACACAACACAGAGGGTTCGGTCAAAGCGGCTCAGCCAGGAATTTTATTTGATCGGCTTTGTCCCAAACGTAGTTGATCAGTGAAGATGCACATACTATAAACATACTAAACATACAATAAACATACTAAACATATAAAACTACAAGTTAAGGAAATATTTTTAGTGATAAAGCTTTCAAAACTGAACCGATGATGAAGAAAAACAGTTTATGTAAAATAAACTTACTGAAATGATGACAGTGTAGCTACAGCACCATGAAATCCAGCGTCCTCGACAACAAAGACTGTTTATCATTCAAGACCATGAGCTGCATTAATCCGTTAGTGACTCTTTGCTCTTTGTCTGTGGTTTATGAATGTTTATCTATCTGAGTGTACAGATGGTGTCGGTGCACCAACAGTGACTTTAACTGTTGATCTGCTGATCAATCTGTTTAAACGGTTTGATCGGCACAGGAGAGCAAAGAAACAGTGGTTTTTAATCACTGTTGCTCGTTTTCATTACCGTTTTGAAATGATCTGTGTTGGATTTTGACACTTGGCTGTAGGCCTGTTTCATCTTTTGATTTGTTTTTTTTTAATTGTATTTATTTATATATTTTTTTTTTTTGGCGCTTTTTTCCCCTCTTTTGACCAAAAACTAAAAAAGCCACATTTGACCATTTTTGCCCAAAATGTTTTGGTGGCTAAAGTTCCAGTGCTTTCCTATCGGTCACTCAAGACATGTTTGGTGTCTGAAGTTCGCTTCTTTAGTTTTAGCTCTGCAGCTACAAGGTTAATGTGGCTAACGTGTGTGATAGCTTAAACTCCACCAGTTAGCATGGTGCTAACTCCATGCCTAATCGCACATTGCCTCAAAAGTTTTCAGGTAATCTTAAGGTACGCAGTGATTTCGTAATGCAGTTTGCTCATTGCTAATAATTGATTAAACTCATCACTTTTAGCTGCTTTAGCATCGTAGCTTCTGATCAAATACAGGGTGCCTAAAAAATCATTTGAGGTGTGAATATCTGAGTAAATACGTGTTCGAGGCAAATGAAATCAAACAGGCTTCATGTTGAACAATACAAGATTTATTTATCAAAACTCAAACAAGAAATTCAGAGGGATGTAGATTTTATAACCGATTTCACAGCTTCACAAACGTAATATCTTCCGATACTGGTGGTCGTCCAGACCCCTTTGTCCTGCACAGTTGGTGCATTTTTATTGAATTTTCTCGAAAATGCTGCTGCACTCTCGTTTGACTGTGTTCGAGCATATTCTAACACACACAATGCCTTATCATTTCTAGTGGACGCCATTCTTTAACCTGAAAAACAACATTAAAAATTAAACTTGATTAGTTTTCACACATTTTGTTAAAATGTGAGATCATTTGAGGGAGAATTGGCCGTTATTAGACTACAAATGATGTAGTTTTTTTGGGACACCCTGTACATTTGGGATGCAGGCAAAACTGTATAAAGTGGGTTTTATTTTCGTCAAAGAAATTGTTTAATGTTCTGATACTTCACATCAGTGCTGGCCAGCTAACTAATGACTTAGAAATCAACACATTTCTTCATTTAAAGATCTGTATCCTGCTTACAACACAAGATTCACACTGAACTGTTTTGTCTTTTTAGTGTTTCAGTTCGTCAGTCTGGACTTTTAGCTTTTCTCACACAGTCATAGTCATAACCACCTGTAATTTCAGACGACAGTGTTTTAGACTGCTGTCTGTGACTGTTAAGAAATAATCATCTCTTTTTGTTTAATTTATGCTTTAACTTTTTGATTTTGCCTGCATGTTCAGTAGATGGACCAAAACCAGCTTTTAAGATGGCTCCATCAAAATGGGAGGAAGTGGATGGAGCGGCTCTGGAGGCTCAAGGTCCGTCATTACTGCCTTTTCATTTACGGCTGCCTCTTTGATTTTCCTTACCGTTTTCGGAGCTGTTATTTATCCCGAAAAATGACCTCACTGTCCTTGCGTTGCAGCTGTAACCACTTCAAAATGGGAAATCTTTGAACTGCCAGAAGAGTCTGAAAAGACTAACGAGAGGTAAAAACTAAGTCTTTTAGTTGCTTAGTAAGATTTAATGTTCTGTTGTTTGATGCCGTTTATAATGACTAAAATATTTTACGTAGCAGGAAAACACATGAAACCGACGTCAAAGAGACTTTGAAGAGCGTCTACTCTACAGAACAGCCATCTCACTCCCAGCCTGTTAAAGAAGAATACCAAGACTCAAAATCCGCCAAGCTGTCAGAGATGAGTGAGGAGAAGCGCGCTAAACTGCGGGAAATCGAGGTTTGTGTTCACGTGCTCTTTTCTGCACAATATGCTGATAAATGGGACTTTTATTATTGTTATCATAAAGTTGCTCCCTCATTTGTTGCCCGCTGTACCCGTGGTCACACCATAGAGTTTTTTCATGGGTTTTCAATAGGATATCACGGCAGTTTGGAGCAAATATTGAGCCAAGATACCGTGTTAAACACACTAATGACTTTCAGTGATCCGTTTACCTATTCGACCTATATAGTCGTTTATGAAGGTTTTATAACCTCTGGTCAAATTCCATGTTTTGTTAAATTTTCTAAATGTAAATAAGATAATAGAGCATAAATATGGTGGTGTTCTGCAAATTTTAGGGCATGATTTTTATTCGTTTGCCACTATAACTCTTGCACAGGCAGCGTTTTTGTTGTATGTTTTTCCCAGTATGTTAAATTCACTAAATGGACAGTAATTGTGTAAATGTGCAGTAGTGTGTTCACTTATTTACACTTAGAAAATCAATAAAACATGGAATTTGACCAGGAGTGCCCAAACTGTTGCCTAAGGAACGACTTCACTAGCATTAACAGTTAACATATTTTGGTCTGATGTGTCTTAGGCTGCCTTTTATACATGAGTTATAGTGTGAACTCAAGTACAGTAAAATTGAAGGAAGAAAGAAAGGAAGAAAAAAGAAATATATATATGTATGTATGTATGTATGTATGTATGTATAATTGCCCGCCCCTAATTAATAAATATATATATATATATATAAACAGACATAATCTTGCCCATTCGGACATTTCTTTCAAAATCTCTTCAAACATGGAGGGTTTTGGATGAGTCTCTTCTAATTTCTGTACAAAAATATCAGCCCAAATGTTTATTAGGTCCCAGCAGTGCGAAATTATGACGAATGTAGAGTTGGATTGACGTAAAAGCGGCATGAAATCCGATCTGGCTGTTGAGACAATTTACATTAAGATATGCAGAACATATTTACAGTACAAACCTTTTCAGTGAACTATGAGGGCAAAAAAACAAACAAAACAAAATAGTTGTCCATCAGTCGTAATCGAGGTAAAATATTCAGTTAATCTTGATATTGATTTGAGGTCATATCGCCCCGCAACTTAAAAATTAATTTTTATTACATTAAACAAAAACAATGCTGTTCTCTGGGTTGTGGATTTGTTGACTGTTCCAAAATGCAAAACATGTTTGTAAAATGTTCCCTCTGCTTTTTGCAGCTCAAAGTGATGAAGTTCCAGGATGAGCTGGAGTCGGGGAAACGGCCGAAAAAATCAGGACAGAGTATTCAAGAACAAGTGGAGCTCTACAGGGACAAGTTATTGCAGAGGGTGAGTAACTATTCTGAGAACATTCTCTGTGTCTGTAATGCTGAAGACTTCTTGCTCTTCGGCTTGTTTTAGAGCACAGAACAGCTGTACTGAAGTTCTTCTTTATCTGTTACAGGAAAAGGAAAAAGAGGTGGAGAATAAAGAGAAGGAGAAAGAGAAAAAAGAAAAAGACAAAGCCGAAGTCACGCACAAAGAGAAGGAAAAAGAGGAGTCTTCATCCAACAGAAAAGAAAAGTAAGCTACACTGTGGAAGCACAGCAGGTTCATAAGTTCAAGCTTATGGACGGGTTTGAGTTCAGACACAGTCGTTTTGGGTTGGGTCTCATGTTGGGCTGCACAAAATCTGTTAATCGTTATCATGACCGTGGTATTCGCAGTACTGATCACAGACGCCCACTAACCCATCACAGCGTTGCTTACCATGTGCAGTTAATGCTCCTGACCAGTCACAGCTTCAGTGACTTTCTGAGTGTTTTTGTGTGTTCATCTAATGCCAAAAAGGAAATTATTTAAGCCAAAATAACATCACACTGCGGGCTCCCGAGCGGCGCAGCCGTCTAAGCGCTGACCCTTTCATCAGGAGATCGCAAATTCAATCACTGGTGATACAAGAGAGCCCAAGTGGCCTCGCTCTCTCTGGGTGGGCAGTATGGTCCCCCTTTTTCCCCCCATCACTCAGCGCGATGCTAGTCAGTGCAGGCGTCTGTTAGCTGACGTAACAGAACTCACGGTTGGCGCTTTCCTCCATGTGCATTCAGCTGTCCAGTGACGTTGCGTGAGCAGCAGTTCAAAAAGATGCATTGGCGCTTCACAGGTCTCGGAGGAAGCCTGTGTTTACCTTCACCCTCCTAGCGCTTGTGGTATCGTGCGATTGGGGGAGTCCTAACTAGTGGGTGGAATTGGACACGACTAAATTGGGGAAAAACTAAATAAAATGAAATAAATAACGTCACATTAATTGATTTAGTAACATTAATATATTCAACATTAAACTCTTTTGAACTGTTTACATTTTCGGCAGCAACAAAACAGTAAGATGGAAGAAAACAAGTGATAAATATAGGATTATGATAAAATGTTGACCACTGGGACAATTAAAAACATTAAGGAAGGCAAAATAATCAGAACGGTCGACTAAGACGGATGAAAGTAATGTATAATAAAACTATAGACGAATAATAAATAAATGTACTATGAATTATTATGAATAATAAAAATGTACTAAATCGACTAAGAATCAATTAAAATGAACTAAAACAGTTGCAGGCTGAGTGATCGTGTGACAGCTCTGGGGACCTGAAGAGTAATCCAGTCACTGGAACTAATTTGATTATTTTCCTAATTTACAGTGATGTGATAAATTGCCAGATGTATTGCAATTGCAGTGTAATTGCGTAACTAGTCATTTTTTCAGCCCGAGACAAAAGGGTTCGAAGCTGACAGGTGAATCACCTAAAGGCTAATAGAATAATTTAATTTAGGTAGAAGGTAACTGGACTGTTTCTGCGTCCCCCTGGCAGCTGCAGTGTTTTTCTTTCCTAACGGTACCGTTGCGTCACAGATTATCACGTTTCTGAACATCAGGCTGTATTTCTGAATTTTCGGTTTCAGTGAACTTTGATGTAGAGTTGTGTTGTGGTGTGTGTCTGATGTCCACTTGCTTTTCTCTGTTTCATCAGGAAACGCAGGCACAGTCCCTCCCCCAGTCCCACTCGCAGTAGCTCCAGCCGTCGCGGCCGCTCCCCGTCTCCACGGTCCGAGCGCTCAGACAGGTCCTACACCAAGGACAGCTCACGGTCCTCTTATAAAGACTCGCCACGAGACAGTAGCAGGAAATCCTCCAAAAGGTAAACCGACTCTTACTCGCTTCTCTCCATTTCTGTATCCTCAGATTATTACTCTCTATTAGTATCACTTACATTCTGGTATCTGTAATTCCGACTTCTTTCTCCCTTTCACCTGTTTATCTTGCAGGTCACCTTCCCCACCTGTAACACCCAAACGTTCCCGCAGATCCAGATCGCGAACGCCCAAGAAATCCTCCAAGAAATCCAGGTCGCGTTCCCGATCGCCACACCGTTCTCACAAGAAATCCAAAAAGAGCAAGCACTGAAACGCAGCTGGAGCCACAGAGCAGCTGGAATCTCTTTTTGTGCCTGAATTTCGTCCTGTAAATCTGTGTGGGAAGCGTTCCCCGTTCAGCCTCTCTCCCTTCGAAGTCCACTCCCATCTGCACGCGTACAGTGTCCTCAAGGGTCTACACAGGAGTATTTTATATTGTCAAATAAGGGGCTTCCTCCGACGTCTTAATTCGTCACGACAGAAAATGAGTTGACGTCTCAGAACTATGGCATTATTTTTGGTCATGGTTTTTAGATCCCTTGAAAATGACTTAAATTAAAATAGTGTATATGTTTCAGTTGTATAGATGTTTTGATTTTCAATAAAGACACAACTTATGTCACCTCTGAGAAGCATTTTATACTTCAAACTGATGTTTGGACTTCCTTTGATATACAGTCCACTACGTGCCTCCTTCTACGTTAAGCAACAGTTTGTATTTTTTCCCCAATTCCAAGATTAAATTCAGGTTTTTCCAAGCCCAAATCCACGTACTTCCAGCAATGCAGCTGCATTGATAGCGTGTCAGAGTCATTGTTGTGCTGTGAATGGTCAACTATCCAAATGACAACCACTTAATGATGGTCCTGGGATCAGAAACTGACCAGTGATGGTTGGTGTGTAGCAGTGCTGCTCAAAGATGGCCCGTGACCCTAGTCACCCTAACCCCACACACACATATACCAAATTTAAATGATTAAACTGAAATGATAACTTGATTTCAAACCTTTATACTTTATTTGTATATTGTTTTGTCTTTTTGGCCCTCAAACATTGCACTTTGGCCCTCCTCCTCTACCCTGGTGTAGAGATAAGACAACTTGTGCAACAACACTCGGGGTACAGTCTGTAATTGTACGCCTACAATAATAACATACATTGTGTGTCTGTTACAGTGACCAGTGAGTGTAGGCGCAAGCAAGTGTACCTAACTAAGAGGAAACTCCATGTCCTGCACATTCTCCCATATATCAGTGTTTATCTTGTGGGTGTTAGAGGGGAATTTAAAATTTCTGCATGATTTAATTGTTGAGGTGTGATTCAGAGTGGTTTAGTGTGAAATAGACATTTTATTTACTATCAAAAAACTATGTAGTGTTGATGGTGGTTCAAGTTTTCTTTGGGGGACTATTTTGCCTCACAACCTCCTTCATGTATCCCTCCACCATGAATATATTGAAAGCCAGTGTCTTCTCTAAACTATCCTAAAACAGTGTCTCAGCCATCAGGCAGTGAATTCATAACCATTTCATGTAGTAACTTTCTGTGAGGGAGCTTTTAGAGGTGGACGTCTGGTTCCTATCACCACCACTGTGAACAGTTCTGACTCCCTAAGTTTCTCTAAAACAGAGCGTTTCACACCAAACCACTCTGAACCACTCTGTTCACATCATAAGGGTTCTTTATGTAGAAAGTCTGAAAAGTCTGTGAAGTTCCCCTTAAATGAGGAGTTCAGTCATTCCTTTGCTCCATCATGCCCATTTAACTTAATGAAGGACCTGTTTCCCTGAACCCAGACTAAGCCTAAACCTAGACCAGAAAGGATTTTCAGTGGTGCTTCATCATTGGCACTGTAATAAGACTAGGCTTAATCCATGTCTATTAATTTGGCCTAAAGGTTGAATGACTTGAAACTGATTTAGTCATGTAAGGACAGTATAGCCAGCTACACTGCTGTAAAGCCTCTATGCTTCAGTGCTAATTTTCAGAGCACAGTTTGGACAAGGCTGAAATCAGGTTCTCATTCGCCAGCTTCTTGTTTGAATTTGTCCATTCCACCTTAAATGGTGCAGCAGGTTTCATAACGCCTGAGGCGCCAGAATGTAACTGCTGTTACATTTAAGGAGGGATGGAAAGAAAGACAGGAAAGAAGGAAGAAAGAAAGAAACAAAGACAAGAAGGAAGGAAGGAAGAAAGAAAGAGACAAAGACAAGGAAGGAAGAAAAAGAAAGACAGGATGAAAGGAAGAAAGAGACAGGATGGAAGGAAAAAAAGACAGGAAGGAAGAAAGAAAGAAAGACACAAGGAAGGAATAAAGGAAGAAAGAAAGACACGGAAGGAAGCAAGGAAGAGACAGGATGGAAGGAAGGAAGAAAAAAGACACGAAGGAAGGAAGAAAAAGACAGGAAGGAAGGAAGAAAGACAGAAAAGAAAGAAAGAAAAAGACAGGATGGAAGGAAAAAAGAAAGAAAGAAAGAACAACCTTTATTGATCCTGAAGGGAAATTGCAGTGTTTCAGTACCAACACATAATTTCACATAAACTATGCAGGAAAATAAAAACAGACAAAGTCGAAGAGTAGAAATAAAGTATATCTGTTTGCATATTTACACGGCATATAAAACAGCTGTTGTATTTACATGACAGCAGGCACCGAGTGGTATGAGGTGGGTAATCCAGGTCCAAAAAGTAAAAACCCTCCCCGGGATTTTGTTCCAACTGCCTGAACACCTTCGCTGCTGGATTGAGCAAATTAGAGAAGTCATGCAGTTGGAACAAAATCCTGGGAGAGGGTTTTTACTTTTTGGACCTGGATTACCCACCTCTAGAAAATACTAACAAAAAGCTGGCGAATATGGACCCAACTTCACCCTCGTACTGGGTTGGGGAGGTTTTTGAACATTATTTTGGACTAAAAGCGCATTTCTATACCACAGAAATAATATAATGAATACATAAATAATACGGCGTAACATCAGCAGCGGCGCTAGCTAATGTTTACAAACCGCGGAGCGGGAAACCCCGCGTGTTCTCGCGAGATCTCACCCCGTCGCGAACGAGGAAGAAGAAGGATCCGTGTTGTTGTTGCTGCTGCTGCTGTTTGTTTATTTTGTTGTTTGTTTGCGGGGAAAACGGCGATGAAGCTCGGCGCGGTTTTGCTGGGCTTTAGCTGCGCGGTGTTGCTGCGCTTCTGCTCGGCTTCCTCCGACGTGTTTGATGGAGTTTTGGGCAGCACGGCCTCCTGCGTTAAAACATGCAGGATGACCTACAGCCTGCACACCTACCCGCGGGTAAGGAGGATAAACACACACCACACACCAAAACACGCCGAAACACACCAAAACAGCATTAAACCAGCAGCGCTGAGGGCTGCTTATCGCTCACAGCCTGCTGACATTAGAACAGCACGGAGAACTGTTCATTAGAACCGTTTCATGCTGTCGGTATCTTATAGGCGTTGGTTCACTTCATTAGTTGACTTCCCTTAACTTCTTTAAAGGGCAGCTCCACCAAATTTCTAACCGTCCTGCATAATTAAGTGGTTAAGATGTAAACGGAGTCATTCAGAGTGGTTTGGTGTGAAACGCTCTGTTCTAGAGAAACTTACCGAGTCAGAACTGTTCACAGTGGTGGTGATAGGAACCAGACGTCCACCTCTAAAAGCTCCCTCACAGAAAGTTACTACATGAAATGGTTATGAATTCACTGCCTGATGACTGAGACACTGTTTTGTGATAACGTCTTGCCTTAAAATGCACTTAATCCGTTTTAATCCATTCATGGCGGAGGGATTCATGTAAAGCAAAAAAGCCCCCCAGGAAAACTTTTATTTTTCAGATTTTCCTTCACTGTAAATAAATAATGTGGGGAAATAAAATCCAACCATCGTCAGTAAACACATTAAACACACCGTAAAACCTTAAATGGTGCAGAGGTTACACGGAATGGAACAGTTGCTCAATTTAAGGTGGAACGGAAGGTTGGAATAGGAGGCCAGCGTCACTGCTGCGTTCTGATTCTCCCTCTCCCTGGATGATCAGAGTAAAAGGGACCCAAACACTGTTCTGATGGAACCATAGCTGAAGTAACAGGGGTTCCACTACACTGGAATGCCACGAGAATATTTTGAGCAGTGCCATAGAACAGCCACTTTTTGTTCCGTAAAGAACCTGTAAGTGGGTGGTTCTGTAGAAGGCCATTCTGTAGATGAGGTGTAAATGTGAAGAACCATTTTTTTAAAATTTGAAGAACCTCTACCAATGTAAAGGTTCTGTGAAGAACACTTAAGTTGGTGAAGAACCGCTATATTCTGTGAAGCATTTCAGAAGATTCCTCACGTTTACACGTCTCTGTTTCTAACATGGTTCTTTAACCCTCTACTGCACGTTTTATGAGAGCAATTAATTAGTCGATTTACTATTCTTGCATAAAATGGATCAGCGGCCGTATTACAGAAACTTCTCATTTTGTCTTAACTCAAGATCTGACAGGTCAAGATAAGATTTTCACAAATTCGTATTACAGAAGCAAATCTGATCTTATCTTACAGCATCTTTTCTTATCTCAAGTTAGGAAATCTTAACTTACTCGACTGAAGTCGATAATCAACTGTCGTGTCTGTTGCCTGGCAACCAACCATACGCGCACATCTGAAACATAAACACGTAATCTAGTTAGTTAGTTAGACAGCTAACGTTAGCTATAGTTACTGGTGTAAAGAAAGTCAAATAAAACTAAAGCACAATAAATTGAAAGTTAAGAATATAGTGAGAGCGCCCCCTGCTGTTTATCAGAGTCACTGCCCCACAGTTTCAGTCTCCATTTCCCAAACGCTTTAGCCGAGCGCGCTAACGTTACTCCTCCTAATAAACAGACACACGTTCAGCTCCGTCTCCTCATTATTCACCACCATCGCTGTAATATTTCATCATCAACATTAACACACGAAGGTGATCAGAGGGGCGGTGGAGATCGAGTCTGCAGCGTCTGGGGCTTTTAAACGCCGTCTAAAAAGAAAAACCTCGCAACTCAAATCACAGTTTTCAGTGTAGATAAATGTGGCGTCATTATGCTGGTTATAGTGGACTGTGCTGTGTCACTGCCTAAAACAAGAGAAACAGACGGTTAAACAGAAGTTAAGACGCTCTGAGTTTATCTTAACGTTAAGAAAATATTTAGGATATTTTGGCAACTTAGGATGTTTCTGTAATACAGTTTTCTTATCTGGAAATAGGATAAGATTTATAGACTTAAGAACTGTTGTTCTGTAATGGCTTCTGTTCTTAACTTCAGTCTTAACTGAAGTTGCCATGACAACAAAGCAGATCTCAGACTTAAAAGATTTCTGTAATACGGCCCCTGATTATTAAATATCAAAACATTTTTTTAAAAAATAATGTGTGCAGGGGTCATTTTGCCTTGAAGTGGTGAGGCCAGGCTTGTGATTGACTAAATCCATTCCACTGTCGCACAATGTTGCTTCTAGGCAACAAATGTATTTTTGCAAATTCTCATAACGAAAATAATGAGACTGAATGTTAAAAAACAGGTTTAAAAGTACCCACTAAGAGACGGTATGACCAGGAACATGCTTTTTGTTGACATAGTTAAACTGCTCCCTTTACTGTTCACCCTGTCATTGTCTTTAAATATGGATAATGTTATTGTAAAGTGAGGAAAATGGGTTTGTTGCCCTGAGGCAACACTGTGCAATAGAGGGTTAAGAACCCTATCTGACACCTTTGTTTTCAGGAGTGTCTTCTAGGGACATTTTAGACAAATACTTTATTAACTTAATCACCAAAACTGACACGCTTAAGAAGCTAAAAACGTTAAAGGGCCAGTATCTTATATTTTTCTTGTATTTATTTTTTTTTCTTATAACATTTGTGTGGGTTTGTTTGCTGTAATTCATTTATACATGGTCATTTATGTTCTGTCTGTATCTCTTTAGGATTAAACAGGCTGTTTTTGTTACTGTACCTTTAAGACTGATATATGTAAATGAGCTCTGCTCTGATTGGCTGCACTGTATTAAGCCTCGTTCTGGGCTGAAACACTCCTTATAACTTCAGCGTGAGTGGGCGGGGCTAAATGTCTGCAGGCTGAATATGTGGATGTGCATAAGTGCACTGGTTTTGTGACATCACAAAAGCAGTGAATTCAAAATGGACTGTATGGACTCAGCACTGAATTTTGAAAGTTTAGTGATTTTTATCAGAACTCTAAATTCCGTGATATGGGCCCTTTAAGACATTATGTTTGATATGCAGCAGTAGAATCAGTGTGTCTGACGTTTAGACTCATAGATGGTTTAAGTAAGTTTAAGGTTTAGCTGGTAACGTTTGGGTTTCTGGGCATTTTTAATGATTTAAACAGTGTAGCTTTCAGTAAATGGATCATTTTTTTCGATTTCTGTTCCTGAGCACTAACTATGGAGGACCCGATCTGGCAAAATGAAAAATAAATAAAATAAAAAAAAATGACTCGGTAATTTAATCATTAAATAACAATCAGTAACTAAAGTATATATCGCTTATTTTGATTGTAATTATACATATCTCCTTTTTCTGCAGTTATATATTTCTCAATTGATTTATTTCTGTATTCTCATTTTTTTAATAATGCCTGTGTTCATTTCTGTATATTTGTCTGTGTCTATTTTTTAACAATTGTTCGCTTTATTTATTGATTGATTAATTATTTTTTTTCATTAATTCATTTATTAGATAGAGCAAGACATGTACAATCGATCTACAGAATCTGATATCGATCAACCTATAGGAATATTAAGACGCCATGACATCATTGATTGACAGCCCCTTTATTAGCATAAGGACAAGGAAATACAGAAATAAATAAATAGAGAAATAAATAAATATAAAAATAGTTATGGAAATAAATGAATAAAAAAAAGAAAAGTAAGTTAAATAAGACGCATATAAATAACAAAATAAATAAATACAAAAATTAGTGAGGGGGGAAATTACTGAATAGACATAAGTAAATGGTAAATGCAGACATTGATTTATGTAAGGTTTTATTTATTAATATATTATTGTCTAAATATATTTATTTATTTTTAGATTTATCATCATTATTCTGTGCAATTCTAATTCATATATTAATTTACTGAGTCATTTATTTTAAATTTTATTTATTTTTCATTTTGGCAGATCAGGTGCTCCATACTGACGACCTCTGCTGTAAAAGGGTGATGATGCTGAGTTTGACCCGACTGTGAGTGTTATTGTTGTCGCTGTGCTGACTGACCGAGCCTGGTGTCTGTTTCTCGTTTAGGAGGAGGAGCTCTACGCCTGTCAGAGGGGCTGCAGGCTCTTCTCCATCTGCCAGTTTGTCGGCGACAGTGAAAATCTCAACCAGACCAAATCCGAGTGTGACTCTGGTAAACACTGTTGCACAAGCACCTTTTATTTAATCTAGTGATGCACCAAAATTATGGACACTAAACATTTTCAGAGAGAAAAAGGAGAAAAAAGGCTGAAAGAAGCTGAAGATTAAATAATATGTCTAATCTAAACTTAGTGTTTAATAAATATATGGGTCATTTTACAGAAACGTCTGTTTTTGTGTCCCTGGCGTTTACAGATATATTACAATTCAAAAACTTGTTAGGGTTACAATTTATTTATGTTTTAAAATAAAACAAGTTATTTTAACAATTCCACCTTCTTGAGCCTCAATTTATCAATATTGGTTTTTAAATCAGTCATCTAGAATTCCCAGCACCACAGAAGAGCTCGTCCCCACAGTCATGTGTGAAGGCTGAGGCCATATTTTGAAGACAAAACATGATTTTCTGCTATTTTAACTGCAATAATCTATACATGACTATGAAATATATGATTTAAATGACACAAAGAAAACAAATGTAAAATAAATTTATAAAACTCTATAATGAAAGTTGTCCCCAGGAGTTGGGTCACTGGTGTTACTGCATAACAAAAAATCTCTTATTTTGAAATAAAAGTCACACTGATGACATCACTCGACTTCTTTTACCTGTTTTCTGAGGATCTATGAAGAAAAGCTCATGGTGAGTCCACTGTGTCTTTCAGTTATCAGAGATTTTCTCATTCAGCTCATGATTTCATATGAAGCTTTTAGCTGAAGTCACTGGTGTGACCGACTTTATTCTGAGGTAACTGTGAAAACATAGAATACAAATGGATTAAATTCCATATTTTAGTGGATATTCCATGATTGACAACATGTGGTTTGATGCTCTGTAGCAGCCGTTTTGTAAAATGTTCATTAAAATGTCTCTGGTGTTTCCTTTATTATGTGTAACACCAATGAGGATCAGTAACACCAGTGACTCCTATGGACAGATAGAAAAGTGGACGTTTCTGTAGAATGACCCACATAATAAAAATTATGTGTATATATCGCTGCTGTCGGAAGAAAACCTCGTATCTCCATTTTTGTCGTTTTTCAGTTTTTTACATAATTTGAAAGTGCCTGTTGCTCTTTACATTGTGTGTAAATTTCATGATGAATGGACAAAAAGAAACGACCCATAATGACTTGGAAAAAATTCTGGTTCCATTCACTTACATTAAAAGTAAAGTATGTTTTTTGCTTCTCCTGTAAAGTTACAATTTTGGAGATACAAGGTTTTGTTCCAACAGCAGGGATATATAATATATAAATAATCTGAATAGTAATAGAAATGAGAAACGCTCTTTGTTTTCTTCGCTCTCCTGCGCTGGTTCAGCAGAGATGCTTTCGAACAGGTTGATCAGCAGATAAACAGTGAAGTGCAAATACGATCCACTGCACAGTCTGCATTTACATTGTTTGTACGTTCATGAGCAAAACATGTACCTGCACTGCACCTGTTTTTCTGATGCTGTACTGTGAAAGACTAGAGGACTAATTTCATTCTAAACAGCTTGTTAATGCTTTCCCAAAGGCATCTAAAGCTGGTTTCCAGAGAGGCTCAGCGCTAATGATGGAAAACATCTCCTTTTTAATGATGTAGAGCACCTGGACAAGGCTTTGGAACTCCTGTCTGGCAGTCTGAAGTTTCTCCAGCAGGGGGCGCTGTTAGCACACAATGTTAAAAATGTTAATGTAATAAAAGTGTAGGATGCGCATGCTTTTTAACATTCAGCTGATTTAAAGAAATTATTTAAAGGAAATAATTTCATTGTCTTTAGGTAGTGAACGTTACTGAGTAACTCGGTGTCTTTAGGTAATGAACGTTACTGAGTAACTCGGTGTCTTTAGGTAGTGAACATTACTGAGTAACTCGGTGTTTTTAGGTAGTGAACATTACTGAGTAACTCTGTCTTTAGGTAGTGAACGTTACTGAGTAACTCGGTGTCTTTAGGTAATGAACGTTACTGAGTAACTCTGTGTCTTTAGGTAATGAACGTTACTGAGTAACTCGGTGTCTTTAGGTAATGAACGTTACTGAGTAACTCGGTGTCTTTAGGTAGTGAACGTTACTGAGTAACTCGGTGTCTTTAGGTAGTGAACGTTACTGAGTAACTCTGTGTCTTTAGGTAATGAACGTTACTGAGTAACTCGGTGTCTTTAGGTAGTGAACGTTACTGAGTAACTCTGTGTCTTTAGGTAATGAACGTTACTGAGTAACTCGGTGTCTTTAGGTAGTGAACGTTACTGAGTAACTCTGTGTCTTTAGGTAATGAACATTACTGAGTAACTCTGTGTCTTTAGGTAATGAACGTTACTGAGTGACTCGGTGTCTTTAGGTAGTGAACGTTACTGAGTAACTCTGTGTCTTTAGGTAATGAACGTTACTGAGTAACTCTGTGTCTTTAGGTAATGAACGTTACTGAGTAACTCGGTGTCTTTAGGTAGTGAACGTTACTGAGTAACTCGGTGTCTTTAGGTAGTGAACGTTACTGAGTAACTCGGTGTCTTTAGGTAGTGAACGTTACTGAGTAACTCGGTGTCTTTAGGTAATGAACGTTACTGAGTAACTCGGTGTCTTTAGGTAGTGAACGTTACTGAGTAACTCGGTGTCTTTAGGTAGTGAACGTTACTGAGTAACTCGGTGTCTTTAGGTAGTGAACGTTACTGAGTAACTCGGTGTCTTTAGGTAGTGAACGTTACTGAGTAACTCGGTGTCTTTAGGTAATGAACGTTACTGAGTGACTCGGTGTCTTTAGGTAGTGAACGTTACTGAATAACTCGGTGTCTTTAGGTAGTGAACGTTACTGAGTAACTCGGTGTCTTTAGGTAGTGAACGTTACTGAGTAACTCGGTGTCTTTAGGTAGTGAACGTTACTGAGTAACTCGGTGTCTTTAGGTAATGAACGTTACTGAGTAACTCGGTGTCTTTAGGTAATGAACGTTACTGAGTGACTCGGTGTCTTTAGGTAGTGAACGTTACTGAATAACTCGGTGTCTTTAGGTAGTGAACGTTACTGAGTAACTCGGTGTCTTTAGGTAGTGAACGTTACTGAGTAACTCGGTGTCTTTAGGTAGTGAACGTTACTGAGTAACTCGGTGTCTTTAGGTAGTGAACGTTACTGAGTAACTCGGTGTTTTTAGGTAGTGAACGTTACTGAGTAACTCGGTGTCTTTAGGTAATGAACGTTACTGAGTAACTCGGTGTTTTTAGGTAGTGAACGTTACTGAGTAACTCGGTGTTTTTAGGTAGTGAACGTTACTGAGTAACTCGGTGTCTTTAGGTAATGAACGTTACTGAGTAACTCGGTGTCTTTAGGTAGTGAACGTTACTGAGTAACTCGGTGTCTTTAGGTAGTGAACGTTACTGAGTAACTCTGTGTCTTTAGGTAGTGAACGTTACTGAGTAACTCGGTGTCTTTAGGTAGTGAACGTTACTGAGTAACTCGGTGTCTTTAGGTAATGAACGTTACTGAGTAACTCGGTGTCTTTAGGTAATGAACGTTACTGAGTAACTCGGTGTCTTTAGGTAGTGAACGTTACTGAGTAACTCTGTGTCTTTAGGTAATGAACGTTACTGAGTAACTCGGTGTCTTTAGGTAGTGAACGTTACTGAGTAACTCGGTGTCTTTAGGTAGTGAACGTTACTGAGTAACTCGGTGTCTTTAGGTAGTGAACGTTACTGAGTAACTCGGTGTCTTTAGGTAGTGAACGTTACTGAGTAACTCGGTGTCTTTAGGTAATGAACGTTACTGAGTAACTCGGTGTCTTTAGGTAATGAACGTTACTGAGTAACTCGGTGTCTTTAGGTAGTGAACGTTACTGAGTAACTCGGTGTCTTTAGGTAGTGAACGTTACTGAGTAACTCGGTGTCTTTAGGTAATGAACGTTTCATTTCTGGTTTTGAAAGCTGTTACTGTGTTGGTCAGATCCTGCTGGTGTGGGTTTATGGCCATTTCTTTTTTAAGTGACGAGCACTAAAGTGACTCGTGTGCTATCAGTGCCTCCTGCTGGAGAAACTTCACACTGCTAGATGGGAGTTCCATGTCTGCACACCTTACATATTAAAAACCAAAGTATTTTCCATATATTTTCATAATTTTAATATATAATCTTATTTAGCAATCTGTTTTAAAATAAATTAGTCCTCTGTTTTCTTTCATAGCACCGTTGTTATCACCTTTGAATTATCGTCAGCATAAATAAGTAAATAAATAAAACGGCGGATTATACAGACAGAAAGCTTTATTTCTGATTTCAGCCTAGTGAGTCTTGAATTTCGTTTTCAGCCAAGAATTTTCATATCAGTGCATCACTGATTTGGTCCCTTATGGATGTTGCTGTTCAGTAACCTGCGTCTGTGATTCCTCCTGTTTCAGCCTGTCGTGAGGCCTACAGTCAGGTAGATGAGCAGTATGCCTGCAGTCTGGGCTGCCAGAGTCAACTTCCATTCGCAGAGCAGAGGCAGGAGCAGGTAATGCAAGAGATCTGTAAATAATATGTACTTTATATTTATTATATCATTATATTTGTCTGTAAATAATATGTACAGTGTGTATATTACTTGTCCATATGTAGTCTGCAGATTACTTATATGAAGATTAAGAGACCCTTATTAGCCCCACAACGGGAAAAAACACCACATACACACTAGTGAACACACACACTAGGGGGCAGTGAGCACACTTGCCCGGAGCAGTGGGCAGCCCTATCCACAGCACCCGGGGAGCAGTTGGGGGTTAGGTGTCTTGCTCAAGGGCACTTCAGTCACGTACTGTCGGCTCAGGGGATCAAACCGGCGTCCTTTCCATCACAAGGATGGCTCCCTCCATATTGTGTATTGTCTATAAATTGTTTGTACATTGTTTATATATTGCATTTAATACCAGAGAGACACCAACAGCTCTGTGTGTCAACATACTTGGCCAGTAAATCTGATTCTGATGATTCTGATCATTCGGCTGATCATTACTACTTTACCTTTTCTGCGTTGTTCTTGGTTTCCTAACAATTCCGCCTGGATTTGAAAACGATGTTTAATCTAGAGCTGCGAAACGATTAAAGTTAATCGCATTATTTTGTAATATGACATTAGGGCCCTAAACGGTAATGCAGAGTTTCCGAATGATCCAGTTTTTTGTAGGATGGCCCCCCCGTTTCCCCGCATCACCCAGCGCAATGCTAGCCAGTGCAGGCGTCTGTTAGCTGACGTTCGGCCGTCCAGTGACGTTGCATTAGATGCGACGGCGCCTTACAGGACTCTGAGGAAGCCTGTGCTAGCTTTCGTTCTCCTAGCGCTGATGGTATATTGTGATTTGGGGAGTCTAGCTAGTCTAACTAGTGGGTGGAATTGGACACGACTACATTGGGGAGAAAATTTTGCACCAATAAGTCAGACGCAAAGCTGAATATTTGCTCGTTCTTAACCCAATAAAAGCTTCTCTTTCAGCAGTAACTAAATACACATCCTGCATGTAACTAAATACACATCATGTATGTCAACATCATGCACAGGTGGTTTGTAAGAGGTATGAATCAACTTTTGATAAGATCAGTGAGTTTCTCGTGAACTCTTTCTTGAATCCCTCTAGAGAGGTGGTTTGTTATTTTATTTTGTTTTCATTCCATCCATTTGTTTTTCTTTCGCATGCACACAGCTTAGGGCTGGGTAATATGGCAATAATTATAGTTATTGTGATAAATTATATCACGATACAACAAGCTTTTCTAAACATATTGTGCAAAATTAGAGCAAAATTAGTCCTGTTTAACTGGATTTAGGGCCAAATATTGAATAAAAACAATTGTGTTCACAATTTCTGGCAGTATTTTTAAAAAATATGGTTCTTTTTTCTCTGTTCTAGCTGATCAATTGGCTGAAAAAATGAATATTGTGACATATCATCTGTCGTGAAAATGTGAAGTATTGCGATATTATATTTTTTCCATATCGCCCAGCTCTACTCTGCATTCAATCAATCAATCAGTCAACCTTTATTTAAACTCAGAGTACATGGAGGGAGGCCCTCATTTACAGTGTAGCCGAGCAATACGGAAATCAGGGATTGAGAAGTTGGGTAGTAAAAATAAATCAAATGTTATAATAAAATAATAAAAATCATAATAATATTTAATAATAATAAAATTTAATAATAAGTTATCAATAAACCATTTAAACTTAAGTAACAGATTGGATAAGGATAAAATAAATAAAAACATAAATTAATGAAATAAAATGAGAAAACGAAATAGATGTAAGACAATAAATTGACAATAATAAAAAGAATAGAATAAATAAAAAAACTAATAAAATAAATATTAGAAATAAAAAGGATAATAAAAAGTAAAACAGTTGCTGAAACCTTCTCTGTAAGAAGAGCATCAGTAAGGAAAGTGTTGATCTTTGGTGTGTTTTCCTCATCTGTGTTTAAGCTGTTGGCCATGATGCCCAGGATTCATCTCCTGTATCCGCTGACCCTGGTCAGGGGGTTTTGGGATGATGTCATGAGCCAAGCCCACAACTTCATCACCTCGTCCTGGACTTTTTACCTGCAGGCTGACGATGGCAAAGTCGTAGTGTTCCAGGTAAAGAGTGGTAACCGTGCTGTGTCTTCAGTTATTGTCCATTTTCTTCACATTTGACTGGAACAGATATTAATACTTCCTTGGTAACTTCATTAGTATTGATGTCGCTTGTGTCTTTGGTCTTGCAGACGGCTCCACAGGTCCAGTTCATCCCTCAGTATGACTTTCAGAGAGAGGAACTGAAGGAGGAGCCACAGAGTTCATGTAAGTGCTAATGTGAATGCAATAACCTTGTCATAATACTGGAATTTTCAACTTGGATCTGAGACTCTTAAAGAAATTGTTTATATTCAAAACCATTTTCAGTACCACAGGAAAAAGGGGGGGTCCAGTAAAAGCACATCTCATGACGTTTTTAGATCATATCAAATGCGGTTACATGAAACAACAGCCAACAGCAGATCATGCAAAAGCAGAGTGACTGAATTAAAATGCAGATGTTTGTTCTCTGTAGAGGGAGTTATTTCATCAGCAAAACACATACTTGGCCAGGGGTGCCCAAACATTTAACTGTATGACTGTATATGGGTCATTCTACTGAGCTGGTTCAAACCCAGAGCTGAAACACGTTTGGGATTTTAACTGATTTTGGACTTTAGACTGAAATCCTTTTGCTCTGAGTGACTCTAAACCTCAATTATGATTATTTTATTAAAACTAATGACTGAATATTCCATTTTCTCACTACCAAAACAATCATAACTCTACCAAATTTTACTGAATGTTTCAGTAGTGACTGTTTTGGTGACAATTTTTGCTCATTTTGAGCTCGAAAACCCGGCCAGTACATGACCAGCAAACACAGCTTTGAACAGCTGTTCACACAGAAAACCATCATATTTTACATTAAAACACTAAAAAGTGCTGAACTGCGGAAAATATGACGATTCTTAATGTTCCACACTGATTTTCAGACATTGGGACACATTTACTTACTGCGCCCCATGTGGCCATGAGGGACAGGGATGCAGCCTCACTTCCTAAAATACATGGGCGTGGCTGAAATAAGGCTCCACCCACATACCAAAACACTGTAGTGACATGAAAACATTTTTTAATTAAAAAATGAAACTAACGATAAATCTCAACATTTCAGCTTCACTTTAAAAAGATCCTTAAAAAAATATAAAATACAAAACAGAAAGTAAGTATTATTTTGACTAGTGTTAATTTAGGGGTTATGGTTTTGGGACTGAACCCTCCCAGTAGAAAGTACCCTATAAATGATGGTTGTGTATATATTCAGCTTATTACTGTCTCTCTTAATGCCTTTGGTTTAAATAGATCAGAACATAATCTTTGGAAGTATATATGATCTAATATGCATATGTATATACACCCCCAGAATATAATACCAAAAAAAAAAAAAAACCTTTTGAGAAACTTATGAAAAGGCTCTGTAATTCTCCCACTATCCAGGGCACCTAAGTGTATGTTTGTAAGTAATGTGTGTTTTGCAGTCACAATATTTATTTATATTTATGCATCACACTGACCCAGTAAACACTAACGCAGCACGTTTTTCTGGTTTGTCACTGTCACAGATGAAGGGATAAGCGAGCCCGTTTACAAAGACTACCACAGGGACTACATTCAGGAGAGAGGCGTGATCATGTCCAGAGATCGGAGCAGCTCAGACGACGACTACAACCTCTTCAACTGCCTCTCCAGGTGAGTCCTAGATGGACCTGCTAGTGTTTTACAGTAGCTGAGTTCTCAGAAAGCAAACGTGGCTGATGGTTTCCTTCGCCTACACACAGATGAAGCATGTTTCTTTCATTCTCTTCAGTAAAGAACTCTTAAATCACCATCTTTAACTATGGACCTTATAGCTTCACAATGTAGGTGTTCGGTTTCAGACTGTAGCCCAACTGTTGCTGTGCAGTTTCAGGCCCCTCTACCTCATTCAGCACTGCTCAGTTTCTGACCGCAGAACCGCTGTTGGCAGGATATTTTTGGGTGGTGGTCTGTTCTCGCTACAGCAGTGACGGTGACATGTGTAAACCCCCCCCCAGCTGCACTGCTGTGTCTCATTGTGCATGAAAACAGATGGGGCTGCAGTCGTGGCTGCACACCTACAGAGTGCACCTGTATGGTAGGTGTTTATGTTCAGATGGTCAGAGAGCTCAGGAACAAAGCAACAGAAATGCAGTGTAGGTGCCCCCCTAAAAGTTTAAATAGCACGTTAAGTCCAAATAAGTTAACACATCCTCTACAATTTCAGCAGATATTAGTGCATAATTTCTATTTATTTAGTTCAATATGAATACAATACATTAAAAGTACATAGAAAAATAGGAAATAAACATAAACACGCCTCCACTTACTATATAGGTGCACTTTGTAGTTCTACAGTTACAGACTGTAGTCCATCTGTTTCTCTGATACTTTGTTAGCCCCCTTTTACCCTGTTCTTCAGTGGTCAGGACCCCCATGGACCCTCACAGAGCAAGTACTATTTGGGTGGTGGATCATTCTCAGCACTGCAGTAACACTGACGTGGTGGCGGTGTGTTAGTGTGTGTTGTGCTGGTACGAGTGGATCAGACACAGCAGTGCTGCTGGAGTTTTTAAACACTGTGTCCACTCACTGTCCACTCTATTAGACACTCCTACCTCGTCAGTCCACCTTGTAGATGTAAAGTCAGAGACGATAGCTCATCTGCTGCTGCACAGTTTGTGTTGGTCATCCTCTAGTCCTTCATCAGTGGTCACAGGATGCTGCCCACAGGACGCTGTTGGCTGGATATTTTTGGTTGGTGGACTATTCTCAGTCCAGCAGTGACACTGAGGTGTTTAAAAACTCCAGCAGCACTGCTGTGTCTGATCCACTCAGACCAGCACAACACACACTAACACACCACCACCACGTCAGTGTTACTGCAGTGCTGAGAATGATCCACCACCCTAATAGTACCTGCTCTGTGAGGGTCCATGGGGGTCCTGACCACTGAAGAACAGGGTAAAAGGGGGCTAACAAAGTATCAGAGAAACAGATGGAACAGGTGGATTTGTAAAGGAACGTATGGAGTGCTAGATTGTATTTTATTACGCTGTATGTTTCTTGTTTAATCACAGTGCTGCTGATCTGGCTGCGTATGTGAGTCATGATGTTTTGTTTGACCGTCAGGAACCCCTGGCTGCCTGGTTGGATTCTGACCACCACTCTGGTTCTGTCTGTACTGGTTCTGATCTGGATCTGCTGCTCTACAGTGGCCACTGCGGTGGATCAGTACGTCCCTGCTGAGGTAAACAGCCCCTCCTTTATGGTTTTAGGGTGTGTAATGGAAGTGATGGAACTCCTCCAGTTAGAGAACTGGGCCAGTGTTACAGACACTTCCTGTCTTTCTTTCTAAGATCTGACAGGTCAGGATAAGATTTTCACACATTTGTATTACAGAAGCAAATCTGATCTTCATTTAGGAATCTTATGTCATCTTCCAGCATCTTATCTCCAGTTAGGAAATCTTAACCTACTCGAAGTTGACAATCAGCTGTCATGTCTGTTGCCAAGCAACCGACGATCCATACACAGCTGAAACATATCAAAATAATTAATTTAGTTAGCCAGAGAGCTGCTGTTACTAATGTAAAAAAGGTCAGACAAAACTAAAGTATGATGAACTGTAAGTAGTGAATACTGTGAGAGCGCCCCCTGCTGTTTATCAGAGCTCGCCGCTCCCCAGTTTCAGTCTCCATTTCCCAAACGCTTTAGCCGAGCGCGCTAACGTTACTCCTCCTAATAAACAGACACACGTTCAGCTCCGTCTCCTCATTATTCACCACCATCACTGTAATATTTCATCATCAACATTAACACACTGAAGGTGATCAGAGGGGCGGTGGAGATCGAGTCTGCAGCGTCTGAGATCTTTAAAACGCAGAGTTAGAAAAGAAAATCGTCTCACAGTGAAAGCAGCGTTTTACAGTAGAAATAAATGGAGCTCATTATGCTGGTAGTGAACTATGCTGCTGACTCAGCTGCCTAAAAACCTTAAACAGAAGTGAGGACCCTGTTGGGGTTCATCCTAAAGTTAGGACAGGATTTAGGAGGTTTAGTCTAGTTAGCATGTTTGTGTGATGCTGTTTTCTTATCTGGAGTTCATGATGAGATTATGAAGGTAGGAACTGTTATTCTGTAACAGCTACTGTCCGAAATTCAGTCCCTACTGAAGTCGTCATGGAGACTAAACAGATCAAATTTCAGAGTTAAGAAGTTTCTATAATACTGAGTCACACTTGTTTTCGAAATTCCACTGATTTAAAAAAAAAGATTTTGTGTAATTCAGATGTGAGATGTAAACAGAGGGATTCAGGGTGGTTTGGTGTGAAATGGTTCAGATGTCTTTACAGTGGTGGTGATAGGAACCAGGGAGTCGCCATGACTACAACACAGATATAGCCATTTTATTTACTATCCAGAACCACCAGTCAACCTACACGAGTCTTCTGAGTTTATATGGAATGTTGATGATGAAAAATAGTGAAAAATCTGAAATAATAAGTTCTCATTGGGGACTATTTTTTCCCCACAACCCTCTGCATGTATCCCTCCACCACAAAAGTATTTAAAAAATGTAAAATCCTGTCTGAGAACTATCATAAAACAGAGTCTCAGACATCAGGCAGTGAATTAATAACCACTTTCATGTAATAACTTTCTGTGCAGGAGCTTTTAGAGGTGGACGTCTGTTTCCTAATAAGCTCTAAAAAAGCCCTTATTCTTACAGAAGCTGAGCATTTATGGAGATTTGGAGTACGTGAAGGATCAGAAACTGACCCCTTACCCACAGTCCTCCCTCGTGATCATCAGCTCTTTGGGGAAGGAGGACGAGGCTGGACCGCTTCCATCCAAGGTCGCGCTTGACCAGTCTAATATTTAAGGATTACTCCCACGGCGCAGAAGGAAGAATCAGATGAAACAAATGGGCAGTTAGCTTTTTGAGGTCTTACTCTTAGATGTTCTCAGTCTTTGTAATTAATTATTTCTTTAAGCACATTTTCTATTTCTTTTTGTTTGTTTGTTTGTTTTTTTAGATTGCAGATAATATTCTGTCTGTATATTGGGGTTTTCTGAGAACGTTGACAGCTCTGTAGGATTTGCGATTGCGTTTTCTTGCCCATTTGTAGTGATGAAGTGCTCGTTTTATTGATTTATTTTTTTTAGTGATCACTAACAGCTTCTGGGTTGGGGTTTAGCACAGTGGCGATCTGAAGTCCTGGTGTTGTGTATGTATATATGCTGTGGTCATCCCTTGACTGAAAATGCATTAAAGGAGGAGATCAACCAAACATGCCAGTGTGGCTAACGATAAATGGAAGGTAGTAGCAAAATGCTAACTGGTGACCATTCGCTTTCATTCACTGTTAGCAACATTAGCTGCTTTTTATTTGCTTTTCCTGTGAGTGGATGATGGTCAGTTGTGGTGTTGATGGACGGTTATGAAGGCTGAGGTGAGCAGTTAAGATACGGTTTTAGATACTGAAAATTAAACTTTTCTAAGGTTCTGTTTGTCTTTTGCTCTGTTGAAAAAGTTCCTGAATAAACACGATCAAACGTGGATCCTGTGTGCTGTAGTCATTACTTCCTCCTCGAACTAAAAAGGCTCTGATGTTCCTACAGAGTTTTAGAGGCGAGTCGTTTATGTGGAGCAGCTGAAAGTGCCCTGATTTTTATTTGTGTAGACCAGGGGTCGCAACCCAAATGTTAAGAAGAGCCATTTTGTCTTTTCAACAAAAATCAAACCACCTTGGGAGCCACAACAGTTTATATCCATTTTACCATCCTGGCTGTAAATGTGTCTCAGTATGTGCTGATGTCCCAGTATAGACAGAAAAATATAAACAAAAACACAGACTTACTTTGCTCTGCTTTAAGCTTTAGCTCAGCTATAGCTGCTTTTCTCACATCTCCAGCAGGAAACTTTTCCTCAAAAGTAGAACAGTTTCTCGCAAAATGTCTCTCAACATTCGGCTTTTTACGAGGCTGAAGTCGCTTCTCATTCACCAGCTTCTTGTTCTAATTTTCCTGTTCCACCTTAAATGGTGCCTGAGATGCCAGAAAACAAGTGCTGCACCATTTAAGGTGGAACGGGACAATTTGAACAAGAAGCTGGCAAACGAGAAACTGGCTTCAGCTTTGTGACTTTTTAGTGTTTCAGTTTCTTGTTCCAGATTAAACGTATCAGGAAACCAGCTGGAGTGATTATAAACACAAATAAGTCCATTCGTCTCTAAATTATTGATGCTTGTCTTAAATCTTTCTCTTTGCCTTTTCGTTAGCTGCTAGCTATGGTGTCCGTGTTGCTATGGTGACCAGCAGTCTGCGCTGATCTTCAGGGTTAAAGGGTGAATTAGCAGTTCTACATTAACTCCAGAGTTTAAGACCATTTATTGTTAAACTGTGTTGAACGATCAGCAGAGCTTTATTTTACTGTAAAGGAGGATTATTTTATATTTATTTTACTAATTCTGCTGTGGAGCCGAGCAGGACAGTAAAAGAGCTGCATGCGGCTCCGGAGCCACATGTTGCTGACCCCTGGCGTAGGCAAAACAAAGCTGGCTCCAGAGAAACAGCCGGTGGAATGATAAAGTGGTCACTAAGATACAATACTAAACCACAAGCAGCAGCTTTGGACTCAGGAACCCACATTCATGGTTCTACGTGTCAGAAAATGAGCCTTTGAACTGACCAGGTTGTGAAATATGAGATCCAACAGGACCCATCCTCAGGTGAGTTCGTTTGGAACTCGTTTGGTTTGTATTAATTACACTTTTATGTACATATCTGCTGATTCAGATCCATAAACATCATTATTAAATCTTAAAATTGGGTCTGCATTTTACCTGGATTACATGCTTACACTCTTCAAAAGATGCTTAAGAAACAAGGAGGTGGTCATAATCTTATGCCTCATACATTTTTTGGCCATTTTCATACATTGCAAAAATATATTTGGTAAACACATTTGGAATATATATATATATATATATAAACGCCCCGCACAACTTTACTGTAAACTCTTTAATCCTGACAGCTGAGCTACCTTTATTCAGCTATGATTGGAAACTCGGTATTCGGGGAGGATATTTAGTGACTGGTTTGGTTTATTTGTAAAAGTGTATAAGCTTTATGGAAAATCTAGTTTCTGAACAGTGGAGTAAAACATACGATACTGCAAAATGTAGTAAAATGAAAGTAAAAGTCTCAAAGAAATGGAAATACTTTGTTAAAGTACAGAAAAAGTAATGAAGTACTTTAAGTAGACCTTCAGTACAGCTGCCCTGATATAAAGTCTGGCTGTGGTGATGAAGGCAGTACGTGTGCTTGACTGTGTGAGTTGTTGTCATTGCAGGGACGTGATGGCAGCCGGTTCGAGTCCTCTGGAACTGAGAAAGGTGAGATACATCTCACTGCCGTCGGAACAAAACCTCGTATCTCCAAAATGGTAACTTTACAGGAGAAGGAAAAAACATACTTTTCTTTTAATGTAAGTCAATGGAACCAGAATTTTTTCCAAGTCATTTTGGGTCGTTTCTTTCAGTCCATTCATCATGAACTTTACACGCAATGTAAAGAGAAACAGGTATTTTCAAATTATGTCAAAAACTGAAAAACAACAAAAATGGAGATACGAGGTTTTCTTCCGATCTTAAATCTTACAAGTCAAGAAAACATTTTAAAATGATTTTGATTTTTATTTTGATTTCTTGGGTTAACTTATAATTTACTGAGTCACTTTTTGAGCTCCATCTACACTCTTAATAAATGGTTCTTCAAGGGTGAAGACAATGGTTCTATATAGAACCCTGAACACTCAAAGAACCACTTGTGTGCTTCAATGGTTCTTTGCAGGGTGTAATAGTTCTTCAGATGGAGAATGTGTTGTATATGGTTCTATATAGAGCCAAAAAGGGTTCTACTGTTACAATGTCAAGCTTGTAACAATAGTAGAACCCTTTTTTGTGCTATATAGAACCATTTTCAACAAGGTTCTTCATAGAAGCATATACAACACACTCTCCATCAATCAAGAACCATTCACTGTACAGAGAACCATTCAAGCAGTTTGTGCTTCTATATAGAACCACTGTCTCTACTTAAGAGCCTTTGAAGAACCATCTTTTTTAAGCATGTAGACTAAGTATGAGTTATAATGCAGGTTTGCCCTCAGGCTGCTGTGGAGGGTGCGGTGGGTGTGGCGGTGGGTGCGGTGGGCGTGGCTGCGGACGCCGCAGCAGTGGAGCGCTCTGTGTTTTCGGGGTTGTGCTCTGCTGCGTTGGCCTCACTGCTCTGGTGGGCGGGCTCATCGTGACCTTTGCCCTCCCTGACCCTCCTCCATGTGTGACATTCTCCTCATACATCTCTCTTCATTCCACAGCCACGCTAAGTTCTCTCTGTGTACCACACTGTCCTCTCTGTTACAGTACTGCGTGTCTGTTATGTTCTAGACATGTAAACATTGTATTAATGGGCCAAAATAAGACTGATAAGTTTAATCAAAGGTCTAAAAGCGACTTTAATGGGAATCACTGCTGAGCTGACGACCTACCCCGAGACTAGGAACAGCCCGCGCAGCACATCATTAACACCCAGAATGAGGTTCTAATGAAATTAACACCCAGAATGAAGTTCTAATGAAATTAACACCCAGAATGAGGTTCTAATGAAATTAACATCCAGAATGAAATTAACATCCAGAATAAGGTTCTAATAAAAATTAATATCCAGAATGAAGTTCTAGTAAAATTAACATCCAGAAGAAGGTTCTAATAAAAATTAATATCCAGAATGAAGTTCTAACAAAATTAACATCCAGAAGAAGGTTCTAATAAAAATGAAATTGCAGAATTAAGTTCTAATAAAATTAACGTCCAGAATGAAGTTCTAGTAAATGTATTATCCAAAAAAAGGTTCTAATAAATGTATTATCCAGAATGAAGTTCTAATAAAAATGATGTTCAGAATGAAGTTCTAATAAAATTAACGTCCAGAATGAAGTTCTAATAAAAATGAAATTGCAGAATGAAGTTCTAATAAAATTAATATCAAAAATAAAGTTCTAATGAAAAATGACGTCCAGAATGAAGTTCTAGTAAAATTAACGTCCAGAAAGAGGTTCTAATAAAATGAACGTCCAGAATGAGGTTCTCATAAAATGAACGTCCAGAACGAAGTTCTAATAAAATGAACGTCCAGAATGAAGTTCTAATAAAATTAACGTCCTGAATGAGGTTCTAATAAAATTAACGTCCAGAATGAAGTTCTAATAAAATTAACGTCCAGAATGAGGTTCTAAAAGTGTTAGTTTAGGGATAATTTCCCTAAAAATCAGTGTAAATAATAAATACAGTTCTTGTTAGCAGAATTTTTAGAACATAAAAAGTTTCTCAGTTTTTTTTAATTATGCTATTCTTTATGGTCAGTGACTCGTGACTGCAGGACAGCGCAGAATGGGTCAGGATTTCTGTGTGATGACAGAGTGACCTGCCTTCCTCCTTCTGTCCTCTGCAACGGCGCACCCGACTGTCCTGACGGTGCCGACGAGAGAGAACTCCTGTGCAGTACGGTTCTAAACTTAATCCACATCCATAAATTCTCATCTCCTACAGTGTTTTACAGCCCTGTCTGTTCTGCAGGTGATTTACCTGAGAATCTTCCAAGTAACCTGATTTTTCGGTGTGGAAATCCTCACATCTGGACCTTCATAGACAAAAGATGTAACCGCATTAATGACTGTGGGGACTGTTCAGATGAAGCTGGTGTCTGTAAGTGTAATTTGCTGTGTATTTAAGCAGTAGAACCCGAGAGGGAGTGTGTTATCACGAATTATACAACACTTAGTTCCGTCCAGGCAAGCTGATTGGTTAAGAAGCGTTCTAACTGGGCTGTTATTTCACCATAACATCACCGGTTTTTCACAAACACTGTTTCACTCCACTGAGACGCCGTTGCTAAGCAACGACTTAGACAGCTGTAGGAGACGCTCACGACATTTTAACGTTTTTACTTCTTACTTTGCCACAAACAGAAAATGGACACTTTCAAGATCACATTTGACCGACAGCCGATTTGGTCAGACTCTGAAGATGAGACGACACTAAATTCCCAAACTGTCATCACCACTGAGCAGCTTTTCAGTCGGCAGCTGAGACAGAAGAACAGCTAAACAACCTGGAATCAGCCAGAAATGAACCCAATACCATTCGCCAAACGTGTAGTCTGATCTTCAGAGTCTGACCAAATCAGACTGAGCCATAAAACTGCCGCAATATCAGGTTTAGCTCAGTTTTGTCAGTTTTTGCCAGATCAGTATTAATGTTGTTTTGTTCCAGCCAGTCTGTAAAGCATCTTACAGCCCGTTTAGTTTGGCGAATGGTGTTGGGTTCATTTCTGGCTGATTCCAGGTTGTTTAGCTGTTCTTCTGTCTCAGCTGCCGACTGAAAAGCTGCTCAGTGGTGATGACAGTTTGGGAATTTAGTGTCGTCTCATCTTCAGAGTCTGACCAAATCGGCTGTCGGTCAAATGTGATCTTGAAAGTGTCCATTTTCTGTTTGTGACAAAAGTCGTTGCTTAGCAACAGCGTCTCAGCGGAGTGATACAGTGTTTGTGAAAAACCTGTGATGTTATGGTGAAATAACAGCACAGTTAGAACGCCTCTCAACCAATCAGCTTGCCTGGCCGGGAACTAAGTGTTGTATAAAGCTGTTAATGTGCAGCTGCTACTGTATCAATTCCTCTACAGTCTAGTTTAAATTTGCCATGTGGTTAATGAGACAGTTTAGCCCAAAACCAAGTTTACATCATTTCCCTCTTTGTAATGGACAAAACAGAAATTTCTAGGCACCAGTAATCATTTGTTTGCATGATGCTAATTGGTGGCTATTTGCTTCCATTACTTGTTAGCTACATTAGCCGCTAAATAAGATCAAATGTGTCCCGCAGCTGTAACAACATACAAAATTCAGAATCTGATCTGATACAGTAAAGTGGTGTCTGAATTCAACGTTTCTTAACATATCTGATATACAAATGTGACCTTTTCCCAACTTAAGAAAGCTCATGTTATCTGTGGACAGATGCGAGGTGCCCCCCCTGCGGTGGAGACTGGTGGTCCTGCACTCCAGTGGACTTCCTGTACTGTGACTGTGTCCCCCGCAGCCTCTGCCGTGATGGCAGGCAACACTGCTTCGACTGGTCAGATGAATATATCTGCCCTAAAACCTAAAAAACAAGACAAGGAGCATATTCTCTCTACCAAAACCTCAAAACCCCTATTTTTTGTTTTGAAAACATGCTGCTGTTTGCAGCGAGTGATGAACGGACCAATAGAAATGATCCAAAATAAGATGGAATAAAATCTATTTAAATTAAAATTAAAATCACCTCCTTTTAATACAGGCGTCAATCTGGGGCCCTTCCAGGCCAAAGTGCTGTGGAGGTCAGCATTTACCCTCATCCAACGCTCTGAATTCAGTTCATGAAGGCCTTACTGAAGAGCTGATGAGCTGAATCAGGTGTGTTTAACGAGGCAGTGTGATGAAGTCTGCTGTGCTTTGGCCCGCGAGGACTGGAGCCTGACGCATGTATTTTAATATACAGTCAGCATTTTGAGTGTTTTTAAATACTAATGTTAAGCTAATCTGCATATACAGTATGTATGTTGTCTTCAATGTGAATAATTCTTCTAATTAAGGTAATAATGTAAATAAACATGGGGCCTGGTCTGCTTTAGTCCTTTATTATTGAAGTTTTAATGCGTTTCTGGGAATTTAAAACGGTTTACTTGTCACCTTTCAAAATAAGGCCTGTGGTGAGTTTCCTCTGCTGGTCAGCAATCCTCCTGGAGACCTGCTGTCCTGCAGAGTTTAGTTCCAGCCTTCATCTAACTGCTGCTCCCCCTCCGTACTGAACACTAAAGCACCTGATCCAGCCAATCAGGGACTCCTGAGGACGTTACTGAGGCGGAGCAGGGGGGCAGACTGTGGTTGGAACCGGACTCCACAGGAAGGTACACTCTTAAAAAAGATGGTCTCTTTAAGGGTTCTTTAGTATAGAGACTGATTCTATATTGAACCATGAACAACATCAATTTAAAGAACTCTTTCACAATGCAAAGAACCCTTTAATCATGCAAAGCGTTCTTTAGTAAAAAGATTGGTTCTATATCGAACCAAGAACACTCAAAGAACATTCTGCATGATTAAAGGGTTCTTTGCATTGTGAAACGGTTCTTCAGATGGTTTTATATAGAATCTTTCTGAAAAAGGTTCTATATAGCACCAGAAAGGGTTCTTCTATTGTTACACGCTTAACATCGTAACAATAGAAGAATCCTTTTTGTTGCTATATAGAACCAAATATAACGCATTCTCCATCAATTTGAAGAACCATTTAACGATGCGCAGAACCCTTTAATCACGCAAATATTCTATGTTGCACCAAAAAGTGTTCTTCTATTATTAACAATGAAAGAACTCTTTTGGGTCCTATGCAGAACCATGTTCTACATAGAACCATCTACAGCACATTCTCCATCAATCTGAAGAACATTTCATGATGCAAAGAACCATTTGATCATGCAAACGGTTCTTTGGTTCTATATAGAACCATGAACACCCATTCTCTTTACTAAAGAACCCTTGAAGAGCCATCATTATTAAGAGTGCAGATCTCCAGGTCCAGTGATGGTGACCGGTGTTATAAAGCGTCTCTGGCTGTGAAGCGTCTGTCAGTAACTGTTCAGGAGGTTTAAGTCTTCAGCGGAGAAGGTGCTCTCAGGTGGGCGTTTGGCAGGTGGGCTTCTCTCAGCGTGTTCTTCCTTTTCGCTGGAAAGTCTCCTCTTTCTGCCCATCAGGGTGGTCAGGGCTGCACTGGTGTCCTTACTGTGTCCTGTTTGTTGTGTTGTGCTGTGAGGCTTGTAGAAGTGGATTATGGTCATCTGTCCTTTGGTTCTGCGATCGTTACAGGTGGAGTGAATCCTCTCTCGGACAAACTTTTCCCTTCCGTCTGCAAAGAACGTTTAACAAATACATGTTAATTTTTGCATTTATACACCAATCAGGCGTAACATTCTGACCACCTCCTTGTTTCTACGCTCATTGTCCATTTTATCAGCTCCACTTACTATATAGGTGCACTTTGTAGTTCTACAGTTACAGACTGTAGTCCATCTGTTTCTCTGATACTTTGTTAGCCCCCTTTTACCCTGTTCTTCAGTGGTCAGGACCCCCATGGACCCTCACAGAGCAGGTACTATTTGGGTGGTGGGTCATTCTCAGCACTGCAGTAACACTGACGTGGTGTTGGTGTGTTAGTGTGTGTTGCGCTGGTCTGAGTGGAGTGTTATGCCTGATTGGTGTGTATCATCACTGTCTGAAAAAAAAATCCAGTACCTCCAGTAACTTCATGATGAATGGACCAATAGAAATGCTCCAAAATCGCTTGGAATTATGTCTCTTTAACACTGGCTGTGTTTACATGCAAAGATTTTTGCCAATCCGATTTAATACACTCCAGTTACAGATTCAGACTGAGGTGTTTATTCTCACTCTACTCAACAATCTGATAAAAAAGCTCCGTTTACCTTCACACTACAAGTAATCCGATCCAAAATTACGTGCATGCATAGAGAACCACTTAGTGTAGATGTTACCATGACAACCAGCATCACGTGAGTCCAGTCAGAGTGAGATGAGCAGCAGTGAGCAGCGCTTGTGTTTTTAATCACTTTAAAATGATGTCAGACTCAGGAAAACGTCCTTCACATGTCCTTATTAAAGAAGGCCGAGAGGAAGACGTCGTGTTCTGAGACACATAAGCTGGACATCCGTCCCACTGCCGTCTTTTAAAGATCAGAGCATAAACTTCGTCTCCTCTGCAGACCAGTTTCTGCTCCGCCATGTTGAACGGTATAAACTTTCACTATGACGCGACGAACATGATCAGAACGGACTTAGACTTTCCGATAGGGAATGTAATCAGATACAGGCGTTTACACGGATATTATTCTTCTATTTAACTGATTATTTACAGGATTACCCACCTCGATCAATCGGAAAGAGACTGTATTCTGAATGGCCTCAATTGGACTGGACTTTTCCAATTGAGCTATTAGTTGGATTATTAATGGATTATTAGGCTGCATGTAAACGTGGCTACTGAGTGCGTTTACATGCACTCAATAAGACAATCATAATCAGATTTCTGCAGTTATCTGATTATTAAAATGGTCATGTAAACACCATACTCTGATCTAGAAATCAGATTAAGAAATCTGATAAAGAGGCTGGATTTTAGGTCAGTAATCAGATTTCTCAGTGCATTAAAACTCACTCTGTTTTCTTTCGGATTTCTCAGTCAACTCAACTGCAAAAGTCTGATTATGATCGGATTAGTGTATGTATATGCACCCAATGTGTATCTTGAAAAATGTAAACACAGATTTAACTCACAGAACTGCAGAGCGTTGGTTCTTGGTTTAGGCTCCTTGTTTGGTAACTCTGAAGCTTTCCTTTCCCACTGGTTTATTACCTGGGCAAGAAAACAAAACAAAAGAAACATGAACTCCAAATACCAACAGGAATATTTTTTATTAACTAATTAATATTAATATATGTTATGAATACGATGAACTCCAAATATGGACAAAAAGAATTTAAAGGTTGTATCAATATAATAATAATAATAATAGTAATAACAACAACAACAACAACAACAACAACAATAATCATAATATAGCACCTTTCATTTTTTCTCAGAAGAGAAAAAAGATAAAATAAACAAATAATAAAAAAATCCAACAAATAAAAGCAACAGCGGAAAGAGGATGTATTAATAATAATTTTTTTACATGATAAAAGTATAAATAAAAAAACAATAAAAATACAACAGGAAAATACAAGCAATATTCCAGTAAAAACAAGGGAAACAATAAAAACCGAGTTAAATGCTTAAGAAAAAAATAAAAACGCTTAAAAAAATATGTTTTTAACTGTTTTTTTACAAACAGAAAGAGCCCGAGGAACGTTATTGGTAACGTGTTCCAGATCTTCGGTACATAAAAACAGAACCTCTCCTCTCTTTTTAGGTTTCATACATGCAGCTCTAGATAATCTTAAAACACATCAGCTATCAGAAATGTGTTAAGGTGCTAGAACAAAGAGCTTTAAAAACTACACTCTGGTTCTTCAAGGGTTCTTTAGTAAAGAAAATGGTTCTATATAGAACCAAGAACATTCAAAGAACCCTCTGCATGATTAAAGGGTTCTTTGCATGGTGAAACTGTCCTTCAAATTGACGGAGAATGTGCAAAAGATGGTTCTATATAGAACCTTTTTTGAAAAGCGTTCTATATAGCACCAAAAAAGGTTCTTCTACTGTTACAAGCTTGACATTGTAAGAATAGCAGAACCATTTTGGTGCTATGTAGAACCTTTTGCAGCATCAATCTGAGGAACCATTTCACAATGCAAAGAACCCTTTAAACATACAAAGTGTTCTTTGAGTGTTCATGGCACTATATAGAACCATTTTCTTTACTAAAGAACCCTTGAAGAACCATCTTTTCCAAGTGTGCATTAGTGAATGTATGTATTTAAGTCCAAACATTATCAGTTACCTCTTCAGCCCATCCCTCAGTTTGACACTCCGAGTGAGTGAAGATCTTCAGCGGTTCTGCTGAGAGCTCCATCCTCATCTTCACCCTGAAGAAGCTCTTCAGCGATGCGTCTAACTGAGAGAGAACCCACAGTTACTACACAAGCAGAACCTTCCAGCAGCGTTCACAGTCTGAGAGCAGGTACCTTCACACTCGCCCCGGAGACGTCCAGCTCCTCCAGCTTCTTAAAGCAGGTGAGATACCAGAGTCCTTTCTCTGAGAGGGGGTTATCTGAGAGAGAGAGAGAGAGAGACACAGAGACAGAGAGAGAGAGAGAGAGAGAGAGAGAGAGAGAGAGACACAGAGACAGAGAGTGAGAGACCGAGAAAGAGAGAGAGACAGAGAGAGAGGGGGGGGAGATAGAGAGAGAGAAAGACAGAGACACAGAGAGAGAGAGAGAGAGAGACAGAGGCACAGAGAGAGAGAGAGAGGCCGAGAAAGAGAGAAACAGAGACAGAGAGAAAGACAGAGACACAGGGAGAAAAAGAGAGACAGAGAGAGAGAGAGAGAGAAAGACAGAGACACAGAGAGAGAGATAGAGGCCGAGAAAGAGAGAGAGAGAGAGAGTGAGAGACCGAGACAGAGAGAGAGAGAAATCCACAGACACGGTTCTAGACATGGTTCTTGGTCTCTTCACAGACAAGATCAGAACTAGGCCTCTGGGTGCAGCCTATCAGCATAAAGTGGGCGAAGAGAGGGCGGGGCTTATGCAGCTTTATTTTATGACTTTGTGTTAGTGTGTGGCACAGCCGGCACTGAAACAGTTCTACTGGAGAAACAGACCTGTATAGAACAGAATTAGACATTTTAGCACAAAACACATCAAACAACTGAGTTGAATCTTTACTTAAGAATAAAAAACTGTGTCAAACTTGAAAACATGTATATCGTTACACCCCTAATCTGTATTCATGTCTATTTTGGGTGCTGTAAGATTGTTTTGGTCAGACAGGAAAATATTTCACTCTAAGAAATCTGTGATTTTCGTCTCTTTAAGACGAATCTTAAGACTTTTCTTTTTAGATGTGTTTAATAAATTCATTTTGTAATTATTATTATTATTATTATTCTTATTATCTTTGATTTAGAGGGGAAAATCTGTTAAAGGTATTTGATTACAATTCTTCAGGCAAAGATTCAAAGCATCATGAAGAAGTAAAATTTCATTATGATTCGAGTTGATTCCGTTATTTCAGTAATATTAATAATTATATTTAAAAATACACCGAATACACAGATGTGACTGGAGGAACGGTTTACCCAGCAGTGGAATACAGAAAAATATGTTTCTGTATGTCTAAATTTGAAAATGGTTTGTGGATTTTACTTTTGCTTCATAATATATATATATATAGTATATATAATATAATATATATAGTAGTTATATATAACTACAATGTATTTTAACTTCCCAAAAACTATGCAGTCTGATGCACTGAGGCATTTTCACAGCCTTGATCAGAGCTGTTTTACTTACTGGACAGGTCCAGTTGTTGGAGGTTCTCCAGCCCCTTTTTCATCACTCTGATTGGTGCGGTCAGTCTCTGGAGGCCTTGATCCGTCAGACAGTTATCTCCCAAAAACAGTCTGACCAGCCTTAAACCAGAGCACAACACAAAACTACACCATTAAAAAGGCTGAACGTGTCTGAGAGCTGATCTCTTATAACTGAAGAGCCACTACAATCATTCAGAATTGATCTGCTGTGTTTATCAATAACGTATTAATTAATTTGTAATAATTTGTAATGTAATAATTAATTTTCCACTGTTTACCTGGTGAAAGCCTCTGAGCTGAGGTGTCTGAAAATGTCGTGATTGTCTCCTAATCCGCACCCGTACAGATCCAGGACCTCCAACTGATGAAACACCCGGATCTCTTCCATCCTTTCAGATACCAGAAGTTTCCTGAAATAACAAAAACTGTATGTTATGGAAAAATAAAAACCCAATAAACAAACAACCGAATGAGTAATGAAGTGATCGGCAACAGAAACACTGCAACATATGACAACATAGCAAGTGAATGTAGACAATACATCTAATATTCACTGTTACGAGACACCTGTGAGACCATCAAATCAAATCAAATCACGTTTATGGTCACATCACATTTACACACACATGCACCCATAATATATGTATATAACCACTTACTATATAGGTGCACTTTGTAGTTCTACAGTTACAGACTGTAGTCCATCTGTTTCTCTGATACTTTGTTAGCCCCCTTTTACCCTGTTCTTCAGTGGTCAGGACCCCCATGGACCCTCACAGAGCAGGTACTATTTGGGTGGTGGATCATTCTCAGCACTGCAGTAACACTGACGTGGTGGTGGTGTGTTAGTGTGTGTTGTGCTGGTACGAGTGGATCAGACACAGCAGTGCTGCTGGAGTTTTTAAACACTGTGTCCACTCACTGTCCACTCTATTAGACACTCCTACCCTGTCGGTCCACCTTGTAGATGTAAAGTCAGAGACGATAGCTCATCTGCTGCTGCACAGTTTGTGTCGGTCATCCTCTAGTCCTTCGTCAGTGGTCACAGGTCGCTGCCCACAGGACGCTGTTGGCTGGATGTTTTTGGTTGGTGGACTATTCTCAGTCCAGCAGTGACACTGAGGTGTTTAAAAACTCCAGCAGCACTGCTGTGTCTGATCCACTCAGACCAGCACAACACACACTAACACACCACCACCACGTCAGTGTTACTGCAGTGCTGAGAATGATCCACCACCCAAATAGTACCTGCTCTGTGAGGGTCCATGGGGGTCCTGACCACTGAAGAACAGGGTAAAAGGGGGCTAACAAAGTATCAGAGAAACAGATGGACTACAGTCTGTAACTGTAGAACTACAAAGTGCACCTATATAGTAAGTGGAGCTGATAAAGTGGACAGTGAGCGTAGAAACCTGACCGGTGTAGATATGGACACGATGTGCTTATGTTCTCATTTGCGGAGCTTACCTGTCTCTCAGACACAGTGACTTTAACACCAGCTCTCCGTAGGCCTCACTGAACACCTGCAGTGCCCTGGCTGAGGTTGGAGGGTCTGTGAACTTCTGCTTCTCCTCTGCAGCCACAAACAGCTTATGAGCCATTTGTTCAGGAAAACCAACCAGGGAGTCCACATGTTCAATATTATCAGCTATGAAGAGCAGAGAGATGTCCAGTAGGGGTTTGACCGTGTAGCACAGGCTGCCCTCTCTGTTGTAGGTGAAGATGAAGTGGTCACTCCTCTGCCTGCTGATGGGGGCTGAACTCTCAATGCAGAGTCTCACAGTAAAGTCCTTCTGAAATAGCCTGGGTGCTTTATGTGTGGAGAGCAGCTGACCATCAGCGCTTACACAGTGCAGCTCACCTTCCTCCCTCACATACACACTGCCATGCTCCGAGTACATCCTCATCACACAGTCCGAGCAGCCTGACCGCATTGATCAGACATTTATTTGTAATATCTGATCAATAACCAATAAACAACCCCCCAGTTGTTGATATTCTACCACATGGTCCTGATCAGCTCGCTTTAATGCACAAGTTGGCTTCCTATTCGCCGGCTTCTTGTTCGAATTTGCCCGCTCCACCTTAAATGGTGCAGGGGTTGCGTTCCGGAGCCTGAGGTGTTATAATGACTGGGGCTCCATTTAAGGTGGACCGGGAAAATTCGAACAAGAAGCTGGCGAAGAAGACGCTGATTTTAGCTTCGCTGTAATCCAGAACAAAATTAAAGATCACCGACTTTCTGATTTCTGTCTTTCTGAACTACAAAGTGTTTAAAAAGCTGATTTAGATCTCCGAGTTTTAGAAACAGGCCGCCTTTTTGCTGTGGCACTTTCTGAGACAGCACTGGGTCTGATTTCACTCCACCTGCCAAAATAAAAGTTCCGTAATAGGCGTAATGAAAGAAAGAAGTAATAGTGCTGTTAAAAGACTACTGCTACTGCTACTGCTACTGATTCTAATAATAATAATAATAATAATAATAATAATAATAATCTAGAAGTGAAAGTCGCCAAAACCAACTTGAGTGAAAAAACCTAACCTATCAGATCCAAAAAACTCCTGAGGAACTGCAGTGCAACTTCTTTCCTTTTGGTCTAAAATGAAAAGTACGGAGCCCTGCTGGTGACAGGCCACACTAAGGCCTTACTAAGTCGTGGCCACGACTTACTTATCTCGTTCCCACGCCTTACTAAGTTGTGGCCACGTGTTATTTTTATTTACACAGGATGTCACCAGCAGGGCTCCGTAGAAAAGCAGTCTTGAAGGCGATTCAAAGCAGCAGAATTACATAAAACCAAAGATGAAAAGGGACTAAAAACTGGATCCGTTTTATCATGAATATTCTTATGTAGAGGTAAAAGCGTATCTTTTAAAATTACTTTAAAAAGTTCAGTACATGTGAACGAAATTTAATTAATCACTACATGTCTATAATAATAACAACAACAACACACATATCTCTATTTTAATTCAATTTATACAATGAAACGACCAGTGGTGGAGTAAATGTAATTCGTTTCTGTACTTAAGTAGTTTTTTCATGTATCTGTACTTTACTGAAGTTTTTCCTTTCTGGGAGACTTTTTACTTTCACTCCACTACATTTCAAAGTCAGATATCTCACTTTTTACTCCACTACATTATGAGAAATCTGTCACTCCTTTTGGTTTATGTGTGTATAAAAACGTAACATGTCAAAATGAAAGAAGCGCAAAGTAAGAACACCAATCAGGGCACAGCGGTCACTTTGTTTTGAGCTTGTTTTGACCTGTTGGTCATACCGACCCAGTGCAGCACACGGTTCAACATCAGTGCAGCAGAGTAAAATTCTGGGAGAGTCTATTCAACATAAATGATGAACTAACCTACCTTTGTGTAAATAGACCACAATATAGAAATATGTACTCATATGCAGTTGTGACTGACGTGTCTTTTTCTGAATTAATACAAACACATTTCATTTTATAGTAAATTAGTTTAGGCTAGTTTATGTTTATGAACAGAGACCTACAGATGCAGTTTAGTAAAGGAAACTCATTTGTGAATCTGAGTTTAAAGTTTTTATTAATCTTAAACTTGTAACTAAGTTACAAATAAATCTTAAACTGAAACTTTGCTTGTTTGTAAAGTGATTTCAGAGCCACTCAGTTCTACCTGATGGAAACTGTTTGCCTTCAGTGTTTTGTGCTTATGATAATTTTGAATAGACATCAGCATCACTAATTAATGACTCTATTAAAAGACTGGTTTACCAAGAGAGACACTGGAGTATTTTCACCTAAAATGAGTTAATGAAGCGAGTCTTGTTACAGAAATGATAACAGGACATTAAAGTCATAATTAATCTTTTAGTGCTTTTACTTTCGATACTTAAGTACATTTGAAGGTGAATACTTAGTACTTTTACTCAAGTGGAGGTCTAAAGGGAGGAACTTGGGTGTCTCTACTTTAACTCAGGTACAGGGTTTGTACCACCGCTGTGAAACGACGAGTGTTTTTTAAGATTACCACTCTTATTTTGAAAGGCAGATTATCGGCACTGGTGCTAAACAAAACAAGCATGTTGGAAAGTCTTAAATGGTAAAATTAACCAATACAGACCGGATAGATTTGTTTCTGTTGTGTCTACAGTTTATCGATGACTCGTAACGATGTGAAATATTGAGTATTTGTACAGTAATTCTACGTAAAACGTCTCTTTGAAGGGCTGATTTGTAGCTCAGCACCGTAGTTTCCGCAGACGTAGCTGCTGCTGACAGGCTGGGTAACTTCAGTAAACAGAGATTTAACCGGAGAGCTGAAGATTAAAGCGGTGAGTCTGCGAGACAGACCTCGGAGACACTCATTCGATATTAAAATCAACGAAGCTGAAGGCAGGTTCTTATTCGAATTTTCCCGTTCCACCTTAAATGGTGCAGTAGTAACTACTATCATTCCTCCAGTGCACACATGTACGGCTGCACTGTTTAAGGTGGAACGGGGAAATTCGGAGAAGCTGGCGAATAGAAAGCCAACTTCAGCCTCGTTTAAGATCGCGTCTACAGTTTAATAACATGTTGTAAATAAAGGTTATATTAAGTGTTTTCCTGCTGTTTTTGTTGTATTTCTATAGTAACCCACATTCACACTGCTGATGGCCAACACAGACTTCCATCTGCAGTTTCAAGGTCAGTTTTTTCTTATTTTATCACTTTTGGAGGAACTTTGGAAAACAAAAATACGTCTGTAGATAAGGAATAGTCAAAACAGTCAAGAGGTGTAAGAGATCTAACTCTGAAATCCAAACAGCACCACTCTAAACTGCTGAAGAATAGATTTATATTAAATCGGTAAAGATAACGTGTACTTTTTAACTTACTTAGTGACCAGAGTGACCTGTACAGAAACTCTCCATCCGCTTTATTAGAAACACCTACCTTTCATACACTCACTGGCCACTTTATTAGAAACACTTGACTTGTACTTCCAGTCACTGGCCACTTTAGTAGAAACACCTACCTTTCTTCTACTAACTGGCCACTTTATTAGAAACACCTACCTTGTACTTCCACTAACTGGCCACTTTATTAGAAACACTTGACTTGTACTTCCAGTCACTGGCCACTTTATTAGAAACACCTACCTTGTACTTCCACTAACTGGCCACTTTATTAGAAACACCTACCTTATACTTCCACTAACTGGCCACTTTATTAGAAACACCTACCTTGTACTTCCACTCACTGGCCACTTTATTAGAAACACCTACCTTGTACTTCCAGTCACTGGCCACTTTATTAGAAACACCTACCTTTATCCACTAACTGGCCACTTTATTAGAAACACCTACCTTTCATCCACTCACTGGCCACTTTATTAGAAACCCCTAGTAGTACCACTCCCCGGCCACTTTAGTAGAAACGCCTGCCTTGTACTTCCAGTCACTGGCCACTTTATTAGAAACACCTACCTTGTGGTTCCAATCACTGGCTACTTTATTAGAAACCCCTAGTATTACCACTCCCCGGCCACTTTAGTAGAAACACCTGCCTTGTACTTCCAGTCACTGGCCACTTTATTAGAAACACCTTCCTTATCTGCTAACTGGCCACTTTATTAGTAACACCTATCCAGTTAAAATCAACTCTGAGGACAGAAACTACTATTGATGAAGGGCTAGAAACTGTGCATCAACAGATGAGCTACAGTCTCTAACTGTACACCAGCAAGATAGAGGGGTTTCTAGTAAAGTGGCCAGGGAGTTTATAAATGTAGGATTGTAATTTTATTCTTGCTGTTAATAGATTTTGGAGATGATGCAGATTTAATGGGCAGTAGTACCGGAACTACCAGAATCACCATTGATGACCACACCACCAAACCTCAAAAGCAGCGGAGAGTTGCAGGAGTTGTGGAGGAGGACGAGACTGATCCACTGGAGAGTGATGACACAGATAAGGTTTGGTTGATGTATCAGTAAAAAGCCTGATTTTGTGGACTTTTGCTCATGAGTGGATTTTCATTCTTATATTTTTTTCAACAGCTTCTTTCTGGTCAAAAGAAAAACGCTCCCTTCTGGACGTTTGAGTACTATCAGACATTTTTTGATGTGGACACTAGCCAGGTAAGCTCTCTGAAGTTTCTGTTGACTCGTGAAATGAGCTCTACATACAGACCTCACTGTCTCCACTCGCTAGAAACATCACCCAGCTTTTATATGGAGACCTTAAGAAGGTTCTTATTCACTGTACTGCTGGATCTGGGTCAGGGAACGATGGCACAGGAGGTTGACTGAGTGGACACTCTTGCTAGTTCAGTTATGGTAGCTTTCGCTGGGTGGTTAGCTTTCTCTGAACTCGAACACAGAGAGACTGTAGAGGAACACAGTTTTGTCAAAGCTGTGTTGGCAAACCACATCAGCCTTGTGTTTGGTGAGGATACTGCTTACATAAGCTCTTCCCAAGTTTAGGAATGCCTGTTTCACATCGAAAGAGAAGAATTTTGGCAAATTATGTTGGCGGTTTTTTGGTTATTGGAAAGTTATTCACAGGAGAGACTTTGTACATGTAAATTGTCGTCCACAGCAGTGAGAAAACATATTATTCTCCAGGGTATGTTTTGGTTTGTCCACGCTCTTTGTATTATTTTATAAAAATAATGTTTACAGAGCAGATCACTGAAGAGACGCCATCTGTTTATAGTTTATAGCCCAGATTTGTGGAAAAATGGGTCGACTTTCAGTAGAAAAGTTCAGCTTCTTTTATTATAAGGGTTTAAAATTACATCACCCATCTATTTGACTGGAAAGAAGACAGTTACAGCTCTCATACGACCCCCACCTTTAGAATGGAGCTTATGAAACATGAAAGTTATGAAGAATATGATGAAGTGCGTTTTGGAACCACCGGTGGTTCCAAGGAGCATAAGAGGCTATAATGTATGTATCTATGGTGAGTCTGTTTTATGTCATTTTTGTGGATATTTGGATCATTTCTGTTTGTCATGAAGTGTTGAAATGGGTATTTATTGTAGTATTTATTGTATTATTTAAGGCCTTTTAATGCTGTCGTGTAAAAGTAGTGTTCATATTTTCAACATTAATCTGTCTAAGAACAGCAGAAGAAATTTAGCCATGCTAGATCTGCCACATTTCTATCATAAAACAGTGTTGTTGACTTTGTGCACTGCCCTGTTAAATAAACGGATAAAGACAACTGAGTATAAAAGCCAATACAACCTGAGGAAATGTCAACGTGAAAATGGCTGGTTATATATTAACAGTAATTTAGAACAAGCAGGACAGTAAATGTGTACTTTGGTGACAGTTAACGTCAAAGTGTAGTAAACATTGCTGATGTTTAACTTACAAAGCTCAAATTAAAAAACGTTGGGACAGGTATGTGAAATAACTATATTCGGTTTAACCTGTATTAAATTAATGCAGTACAAAAATACAGTATTTAGTGTTTTGCCCTGTGAACTTTATTTTATTTTTTGTGAACGTACGCTCATTAGAAATTTGATACCTTGACGTTCCAAAAAAGTTGAGACTTGTGCATGTTTACGGGGTCTTCATTGTTGTGCAACTATACGGGGTCTTCATTGTTGTATTTATTACACCAACACTCTCTGATTACGCATCCATGCTGATGTAACGTGCAGAATGTTTCTATGTGTTGTTATAATAAAATAATCATAGACGTCTCTGAAAAAGACGGTGTCTTAAAGGCAGCATATGTTGCTCTAAAATATGTTAATTGTGCTTTAACAGATGTGCAGGTTACCCACTTATACCCCCCCCCACACCATGACAAACGCTGGATTTTGAACTTTATGCTGGTAGCAATCTGCATGGTCCTTTTCTGCTTTGGCTCTGAGAACAATCTAAAAGGTTGACTCGTCAGACCACAGTATGCGTTTCCACTGAGCATCAGTCCATTTCAGATGAGCTCGGCCCAGAGAAGTCGGCGGCGTTTCTGAACGTTGTTGATATGTGACTGTGATGCCCTGGAGGGTGTTTTATTCTTTCTCTCCAAACATTAACAAAAACAAAAGAACGCTAGGCTGTGAGTGAATAGCTCTTCACTACTGCAGGCTTCAGAGGTGTTTCTTTCTCTGGAGCTTCCAGTTTAGTTCGTCTCTCTGCACGAGTGTTCCTGTCTCCCAGGTCTCTCTCTTTCTACTGGGAAAAGAAGCTCGTAGTAGTAGGGAGAGTATGGCAGTGTTTTAAAAATAAAAATGGTAGACTTCGAGAAAAAAGTCGTAATATTTTGAGAAAAACGTTGTACGGTATGATATTTCGAGAATTTTTTGCTGGTGCATTTTTTTAGCACATTGGCGAGCCTCGACCATCCTCACTCATGAAGGACTTGGCATTACCTGGAGGCACCGTTTACACCCAAGCATACTTACATCACCTCTTATAAAATGTTTTCTGAACATTTAACAGTTGTTGTATCAACTATTTTTGGAACTGCATGCATCGATTTCAGAATGAGTGTATATTTACAAAAAAACAATAAAGTTGATAATATAAAACATTAAATATCTTGACTTTGGACTGTTTTCGTTCAAATACAACTTAAAGTTGGTCACCATTTTCTGAATTTTGTTTTGCATTTCACATACTGTCCCAACTTTTTTGGAACTGAGGTTTGTAATTCAAACAAAGTTTGATTTTCAAGCATAAATTCTTTGTAGACTCTCGTTCTTTTGTTCTTGAGGTATTTCAGAGCAGCATGTATGTAGTGGATGATGAAAATGGTGAAAATAAATAAAACACTCTCTCTCTGTCTGTCTGTCTGTCTGTCTGTCTGTCTGTCTGTCTGTCTGTCTGTCTCCAGGTGAAGGACAGAATCATTGGCTCAGTCGTGCCATGGCCCGGGAAAAACTTTGTTCGCTTCTATATCAGGAACAACCCTGACCTCTATGGTAATCTTATGCAAATTATAAAATTAAGAATTCTCTCTGCATAGAGACCCAATTAGAAATGGCTTTGACGATGAACTCTTCTTCTGTAGGACCTTTCTGGATCTGTGCCACGCTCGTCTTCGCCGTCGCCATCAGTGGAAACATCTGCAGCTTCCTGGTGAACTATGGTCAGCCTCAGTACAAATACGTACCCGAGTTCAGGAAAGGTAAAGTTATACTTGTGAACCTTTCACACTGTGCACTGATTGGCTGAAACACTTTTGTTGGAATTCTTTACCCTAAACATAATGTATGGTACTGTGCAGAAGAGAAGCGGATGGCTGAGTAAGATATCACTGATATGTAACGTTATTAGGAAGGTAGAGGGAAAAGTTAAATGGCTCCAAATGGCTCTTGTTTTTCAGTGACCATCGCAGCCACAGCGATCTACAGCTACGCCTGGTTTGTTCCGCTGGCTGTGTGGGGATTTCTGACGTGGAGGAACAGTAAAATCTCACGAACAGTGTCCTACTCTTTCCTGGAGATCGTGTGTGTGTACGGTTACTCGCTCTCCATCTACATTCCTGCTGTGGTGAGTCCTACAGACTCCATCATCTGGTCACATCTGTATACACTTTATTGCCAAAAGTATTCACTCACCCATCCAAATAATTGAATCCAGGTGTTCCAATCACTTCCATGGCCACAGGTGTGTAAAACCAAGCACCCAGGCCTGCAGACTGCTTCTACAGACATTAGTGAAAGAATGGGTCGCTCTCAGGAGCTCAGTGAACTCCAGCATGGTACCGTGATCGGACGCCACCTGTGTGACAAGTCCAGTCGTGAAATTTCCTCACTACTAAATATTCCACAGTCAGCTGTCAGTGGTATTATAACAAAGTGGAAGCGACTGGGAACGACAGCAACTCAGCCACGAAGTGGACGGCCACGTAAAATGACAGAGCGGGGTCAGCGGATGCTGAGGCGCATAGTGCGCAGAGGTCACCAACTTTCTGCAGAGTCAATCGCTACAGACCTCCAAACTTCATGTGGCCTTCAGATCAGCTCAAGAACAGCGTAGAGAGCTTCATGAATGGGTTTCCATGGCTGAGCAGCTGCATCCAAGCCTTACATCACCAAGCGCAATGCAAAGCGTCGAATGCCGCCACTGGACTCTAGAGCAGTGGAGACCAGTTCTCTGGAGTGACCAATCACGCTTCTCCGTCTGGCAGTCCGATGGACGTGTCTGGGCTTGGCGGTTGCCAGGAGACGGTACTTGTCTGACTGCATTGTGCCGAGTGTAAAGTTTGGTGGAGGGGGGATTCTGGTGTGGGGTTGTTTTTCAGGAGTTGGGCTCGGCCCCTTAGTTCCAGTGAAAGGAGCTCTTAATGCTTCAGCACCAAGAGATTCTGGACAATTTCATGCTCCCAACTTTGTGGGAACAGTTTGGGGAGTTTGGCCCCTTCCTGTTCCAACATGACTGAACACCAGTGCACAAAGCAAAGTCCATAAAGACATGGATGAGCGAGTTTGGTGTGGAAGAACTTGCCTGGCCTGCACAGAGTCCTGACCTCAACCTGATAGAACACCTTTGGGATGAATTATAGCGGAGACTGCGAGCCAGGCCTTCTCGTCCGACATCAGTGTCTGACCTCACAAATGCGCTTCTGGAAGAATGGTCAAAAATTCCCATAAACACTCCTAAACCTTGTGGAAAGCCTTCCCAGAAGAGCTGAAGCTGTTATAGCTGCAAAGGGTGAGCCGACATCATATTAAACCCTATGGATTAAGAATGGGATCTCACTCAAGTTCATATGCGTGTGAAGGCAGACGGGCCAATACTTTTGGCAATATAGTGTACAAATGTGTTTGATTAGATTGATTGCTGGAGAGCCAGTCTTTAAAGTGTTGGTCACCACTCCATCTCCGCTATATATTGTTGCTGTCAGAACAAAACCTCCTATTTCCAAAATAATAATTTCACAGGAAAAGGAAAAAACATCACTGTCTGTGTTTACATGCAAAGATTTTAGCCAATCCGATTGAAGATTCTGATTATAGATGAAGACTTTATTCTCACTCTACTCAACAAACAGATGGAAAATCTCTGTTTACATGCTCACTACAAGTAATCCTATCCAAATTTACGTGCATGCGAGAACCGCTTAGTGTAGTCGTTACCATGACAACGAGCATCACGTGAGTCCAGTCAGAGTGAGATGAGCAGCAGTGAGCAGCGCTTGTGTTTTTAATCACTTTAAAATGATGTCACACTCAGGAAAACGTCCTTCACATGTCCGTATTAAAGAAGGCCGAGAGGAAGACGTCGTGTTCTGAGACACATAAGCTGGACGTCCGTCCCACCGCCGTCTTTTAAAGATCAGAGCATAAACTTCGTCTCCTCTGCAGACCAGTTTCTGCTCCGCCATGTTGAACGGTATAAACTCTCACTATGACGTGATGAACATGATCAGAACGGACTTAAACTTTCCGATAGGGAATGTAATCAGATACAGGCGTTTACACGGATATTATTCTTCTATTTAACGAATTATTTACAGGATTACCCACCTTGTTCAATTGGATAGAAACCTAGTCTATTCCGATTGAGGTGTTTACATGGACACATTCTATTCCGACAGAGATATTAGTCAGATTATTATCGGATTGTCAGGCTGCATGTAAACGTGGCTAATGATTATTGCACAGTGTAAAGTGCAGCATACAAGGTTTTGTTCTCAGCAGCTATGTATAAACAGTCATTTGTAACTGACCCCCTGGTCAAACTAGAAAAAAGTGTGTTCTCTATAGAGGATTTGTTAACTTACGTGTTAACATTCCTGTTATATAATCAATACGATGTTTACTTTTATCTGTGTTTCTGGCAGGTTCTGTGGATCATACCGAGTGAACCGCTGAGATGGTGCTCCATCATTTTGGCTCTCTGCCTGTCTGGATCTGTGCTGATTCTGACGTTTTGGCCGGCAATCCGGGACGACCACCCACGCATCGTTATAGCGGTCACTTCAGCCATTGCAGTGCTTCACGTTTTGCTTGCTGTTGGTTGCAAGGTACGCTTTAGTAGCAGTCACAGGAATCAAAATATTGTGATGCTCTACAGCATTTAAAGACAGTTTTACAGGTTATGAAATACATATTTTGAAGGGAAAGCGTGGTTTCAATGTGAATATTACAGCAAGTGTTATCTGATACACGTGGATATGGTCTGAATAGCTGTATCTAACAGCCTTACTGTATCTAACAGTCTGAATAGCTGTATCTAACAGTCTAACTGTATCTAACAGTCTGAATAGCTGTATCTAACAGTCTAACTGTATCTAACAGTCTGAATAGCTGTATCTAACAGCCTTACTGTATCTAACAGTCTGAATAGCTGTATTTAACAGTCTGACTGTATCTAACAGTGAATAGCTGTATCTAACAGTCCGACTGTATCTAACAGCCTTACTGTATCTAACAGTCTGAATAGCTGTATCTAACAGTCTGACTGTATCTAACAGTCTGAATAGCTGTATCTAACAGTCTAAATAGCTGTATCTAACAGTCTAACTGTATCTAACAGTGAATAGCTGTATCTAACAGTCTAACTGTATCTAACAGTCTGAATAGCTGTATCTAACAGTCTAACTGTATCTAACAGTCTGAATAGCTGTATCTAACAGTCTAACTGTATCTAACAGTCTGAATAGCTGTATTTAACAGTCTAACTGTATCTAACAGCCTAACTGTATCTAACAGTCTGAATAGCTGTATCTAACAGCCTAACTGTATCTAACAGTCTGAATAGCTGTATTTAACAGTCTAACTGTATCTAACAGTCTGAGTAGCTGTATTTAACAGTCTAGCTGTATCTAACAGCCTAACTGTATCTAACAGTCTGAATAGCTGTATTTAACAGTCTAACTGTATCTAACAGTCTGAATAGCTGTATTTAACAGTCTAACTGTATCTAACAGTCTGAATAGCTGTATCTAACAGTCTAACTGTATCTAACAGTCTGAATAGCTGTATTTAACAGTCTAACTGTATCTAACAGTCTGAATAGCTGTATTTAACAGTCTAACTGTATCTAACAGTCTGAATAGCTGTATTTAACAGTCTAACTGTATCTAACAGTCTGAATAGCTGTATCTAACAGTCTAACTGTATCTAACAGTCTGTATAGCTGTATTTAACAGTCTGTATAGCTGTATTTAACAGCCTAACTGTATCTAACAGTCTGAATAGCTGTATTTAACAGTCTAACTGTATCTAACAGTCTGTATAGCTGTATCTAACAGTCTGTATAGCTGTATTTAACAGTCTAACTGTATTTAACAGTCTGTATAGCTGTATTTAACAGTCTGAATAGCTGTATTTAACAGTCTAACTGTATCTAACAGTCTGAATGGCTGTATTTAACAGTCTAACTGTATCTAACAGTCTGTATAGCTGTATCTAACAGCCTAACTGTATCTAACAGTCTGTATAGCTGTATCTAACAGTCTAACTGTATCTAACAGTCTGAATGGCTGTATTTAACAGTCTAACTGTATCTAACAGTCTGTATAGCTGTATTTAACAGTCCGACTGTATCTAACAGTCTGTATAGCTGTATCTAACAGCCTAACTGTATCTAACAGTCTGAATAGCTGTATTTAACAGTCTAACTGTATCTAACAGCCTAACTGTATCTAACAGTCTGTATAGCTGTATCTAACAGTCTGTATAGCTGTATCTAACAGTCTGTATAGCTGTATCTAACAGTCTAACTGTATCTAACAGTCTGTATAGCTGTATCTAACAGCCTAACTGTATCTAACAGTCTGTATAGCTGTATCTAACAGTCTAACTGTATCTAACAGTCTGTATAGCTGTATCTAACAGCCTAACTGTATCTAACAGTCTGTATAGCTGTATCTAACAGTCTAACTGTATCTAACAGTCTGTATAGCTGTATTTAACAGCCTAACTGTATCTAACAGTCTGTATAGCTGTATCTAACAGTCTAACTGTATCTAACAGTCTGTATAGCTGTATCTAACAGCCTAACTGTATCTAACAGTCTGTATAGCTGTATCTAACAGTCTAACTGTATCTAACAGTCTGAATAGCTGTATTTAACAGTCTAACTGTATCTAACAGTCTGAATAGCTGTATTTAACAGTCTAACTGTATCTAACAGTCTTTGTAATAGGTTGTTATTTCCGAACTGGCCTAAAAATCTTCTTCTTATTACTGTGGCGTATCATTAAGTACTTTTGGTGCTCCGTGTCACAGTGTGAAAGGATTATACGGATTGGTGTCGAGTTTGTTTTCCCAGGGAACGCTCACCATTCCTGGAAAGTATGACAATAGTTGTGCACGGACTTGGAAACGAGCCAGATTGTTCACCTCCCAGTGTGCACAAAAGCATGTCCTTATGGCTCTCAAATATCATCAATTACATTGATTTAATTAGCTCACGTGGTGTCAGAATAGCTGAAGAATGAAAAGCGCTGTCAGGGTATAATAAATCTGCCCTCTCTCTTTCCTTCCTCAGGCCTATTTTTTCAGCACCTACGAGGCTTTGACAACTGAAAATGCTCCAGGACCAGCGAGTGTTACGAAGGGCTTTTTAACCACCAAGGCACACTAAGCTCCGGCTTTAGGTAAGACAAACAGAGGAGTATAAGTAGAGCTGTAACGATATGTTTTTTTTGATACAGTGAAAATAAGAAGTTACTGATAATGTGCTTTATGGTAATATATTAATTTTTTAAATTTGGGTATGTTAGATCATTCAGCATTATAAAGGTACAATATTGACTATGCTTTATAATTCACCACAGTCAAAATCAAACAAAATACAGGAGAGAATAAAAGCCCAGCGCTAATGCACCAGCCATAAGCAACAGTATCTCACTGTGCGCTTCCTTGTTTCACTTAAAATAATTTAAATAAAATAGCAAATAAACCACCATGATATCGATTACTGTTTGCTGGGGGACATTAACTGCTAATGTCTTGTGTTGTCGCTTTCTTTAACCTTTTTAACTCCTTGGAACCACAAGTGGATCGAAAACACACTTCGTCATATTCTTCATAACCTTCATATTTTATAAGCTACATTCTAAAGGTGGGGGTCGTATGAGAGCTGTAACTGTCCTCTCTCCAGTCAAATAGATGGGTGATGTAATTTTAAACCCTTATAATAAAAGAAGCTGAACTTTTCTACTGAAAGTCGACCCATTTTTCCACAAATCGGAGCTACAAACTGGATCTCAGATGGCGTCTCTTCAGTGATCTGCTCTGTAAAAATTACTTTTATAATTTTTGTAATTTATGTGGTCCTAGATCGGATACGTATCCGATTCGCGGCCATGTGACCTTAATGAGACGCTCAGATCGGAATTCATGTGCTTTTTTTTCCACTGCGCCATCATTCAGCGTTACCATGGCAGCAGCTCCAAACAGAAGTTAAAGCCTGTAAATGGTGAAAAAGCAGCTCATCTCACCTTTTTCTCCTTCGTCTCGCTCTAATAATGAAGCTGAGAGCTGATCAGAGTTAATGATCTTCTCAGCGAAGCTCGTTCTGCTCGTTAGTTTGTGCTGATGATGAACGTGATTCATTCACCTGACGTTACTGAGTAGGATGAGCTCATGAGGGTCATTTCAGGACGCTGGTTCACATTAATGACTGATTTGAATCACTTACCTAAACAAGTGTGAAACATCGTGTCAGAGAGATCGGATTTTAGCACAAAATCAGATTTGAGAAATGAGGCTTGTGATGTGAACGTAGCTTAAGGTCGCATGGCCACGAATCGGATACATATCCGATCTAAGACCACATATGAAAGTGGCTCAGGTCGGATTTGAAAAGATTAGATTTGTGTCCACACAGCTCTGAAAACATCAGATCTGAGTCACATTAGGGCAAAAAATCAGATTTGTGCCACTTCAGCCTGGTAATGTGAACGTAGCCTAAAGCTAAAGAAGCAGACTTAAGACACCAAACGTGGTGGCTGATAAATAGGCCTCTCTTCTGCACTCTTTTGCTTGAAGTGCCTCTTGTAGGGGGGCAATCATGTCAACACTTGAGACAAAGCTTCCTGTACATGATTTCTCCTTGCTAAAGCATGTGTTATTCTTCTTCAATTGCAGGATCTCTTGTTGCCTTATTGGTCAGAATCAAGTTTCCTGCTCATGAGGTCACGGCTCGTCTGGATTTCACCAGATTAGCGGCCCGTGTGTTCAGCTGTGAGTTTATCACTGGCACCTCTGTGGTTCGTGCCTGGCATCTTCGTCCACCTGACCTATAGAATGTAGAATATGCTTCTGATCTGCTTTTAAAAAATAAATTGTAAGTGTACTGTTACGGAGTAGACTCTGGTAAGGGATATAGAACACTGTATATAGCGGGGTTTGAAATATTTATGCTATAATTGAACCTGAGATGTCCACCAAACGGGCCATTCTTCTGTTTCAGCCATTTGTGACCTGTACATACACTAAAGGACATTGTGACTCTGTTGGCCAACTTATAGTACTTAGCACTTGTTTATGGTGAGGGTAACTGTCCGAGTGCCAAAGTTCACATTTTAAACTTTTAGTATATTCATACTAATCTGAGTTGCTGTCAAGTTCTGTATCATAATTCTTTATTTCGGGAGGCTGATAGAGCTTAACAATATGTGCCTTTACTGAAGACGCATGTACATACTAACAGAAATGTTAATTAAAGCTTTGTAAAGGTTTTCTCTACTTTTTAATAAACAATTACTAAATCGTATTTCTTCCTGTCTTGGATTTTATTGGATTCATGAAGTTCATTTCCAGTCAAAACAGCCGTTAAATTCAAATTATTCATTTTTCAGTGTCAGAAAGGACACAGAGGCCTCAACAACTAAATCTAGTTCAGTGGGTCACTCTTTCCCTTCATTCCAGCTATCAATCTTTTCAGGAGCCTCACTTTCAGTTCCTCAAAGAATCTGCAGACACACCTCCAAAGTTCAGTCTTAGAAGCTGGTTGATCATTTTCTGAAGTAATCAAACACATTCAGTGGTGTTGAGGTCTGGACTCTGGGGTGGTCAGTCCATCGTTCAGCTTCTTTGTTTGATGTGTCCGTCTCCTTTTCTCAGTGAGGTTCTTCTTGACAGCTACACATCCTTTCAGACCCACAGCGCTGAGTTGCTATTTACATATCTACATATTTACATGAAGTCTGAATAGATCATTATGTCATGATCTATGTAAACCCAAGGCATTAACAGAGATAGTAATGAGCTAAATATATACAAAATCATCATTTATAGGGTGCTTTCTATTGGGAGGTGTCTGTCCCATTATATATGCATATATTTATATACACAAACACTTTTTTCTTTTACAAATAAAAAAAAAAATAAAGATCTTTTTGATTTCTTTGAAAGTGAAGTTGAAAGATTTGGATTTATCATAAGTTTAATTTTTAAACAACAAAAAAATACTGTTGCATATTTCAATGTCACTACCGAAACACTGTTTTAGTCAGTAGGCGGAGCCTTATTTTAGCCACGCCCCTGCATTTTAGAGCAGGAAAATTAGCTAAAATTGTTTCTACCGGAACACAGTTTCTGCGTTTAAGTTTTTGTGTTTAATGAAAAATATGATGATTTTCTGTGTGTTTAAAGCTGTGTTTGCTGGTCATGAACTGGCTGAGTTTTTGATTTCAAAATGAGCTAAAATTGTCACCACCGAAACAGTCACTGCTGACACATTTGGTAAAGTTTGGGTAGCGTTATGATTGTTTCGGTAGTGACAAAGTGGAACGTTGAGTCATTTTAATAAATATAATTCAGGTTTTGAGTCACTCAAAGCAAAAGGCTTTGAACTTTGAACCAATTCGGTAGAATGATAAACGAATAAAGCCTAACCAGGTGTGAAAAAAATCCACAGCTAACCCATAAGCAACTATATTTCTGTATAATTTTCAAAATATGTATTACGTTCGCAGTATATTTCCATATATGTATGATACATATGTAGACATTAACATTGACACAATTACATATATTTCAGTAAATTGACATATATTCGCATATATTGGCATTTATTTAAATATTCAACTGGGACAGTTAAATTAAATTGCACATATTTATTCGGCTGTTATCAGTGATGAACAGAATTAGAACAGGAGTAACATTTGGTAAAGTTTGGGTGTTATGATTGTTTTGGTACTATAGAATATTAAATCATTCATTTTAATAGAATAAACATATTTAAGGTATACGGTCACTCAAAGCAAAAGTATTTTAGTCTGAAGTCCAAGTCTGTGAAGTGTTTTCTCACTCTGAACCCACTCAGTATAGTGATCCATATAGGCATGCCTTCATTTTTCTGAGCTGAACCTTCGCTGAAGGAATGTAGTAATGATATCTGCTGCCTTTGTTGCCTTTTATCCTGCCTGCCACATTAATTAATGAAGATATAAATCTTTTCATAGACTGACAGTGTAAACGACAAAGGTGCACTTTCCTAATTAACATAATAGAAAAATCGTGACACTTGAAACTGTGTCAGCCTGAGGTGTGTCCTAATTAATGGTCATTCTAGCCTTGGCCTAGAGTTACACTGCAGTTCTTTCCAAAGCCATAAGCTCCGCAGGCCAATGGCACCTGTTCAGCAGGTGAGCGGTGCGCGTCGGATTAGGATGAAAACTCTGTTTTCTGGATTATCGAGCGCATGACTGGATTTCCTGCTCCACTACACATGGAAGACCTATTTATAGAGACTTTAACCTCAAGGCGTGCTCTGACCGAGGCCATGGACTGCAGGGTTTGACGCAGGGCATGTGACGATGGCTGGGAAAGCAGAAAAGGTGTCTAAGTATGAGACGTTAAAGATGCTGGAGAAGTGCCGCAGGGAGAGGGACGAAGCTGTGCAGCGTGAGGGAGCCCTGAGGGATAAACTCAGGCAGCATGAGTCCAGGATGAGGTCAACCGAGGCTCTCAAGCAGAAGGTGAAAACTCTCACCCTGGACAACAAGGAGCTGCGCAAGCAGGTGAAGACTCTGCGCGCCGAGCTGGGGCTGGAGTCCAGCCCCAAATTCCATGGCAAAACCACCAAGGACATCATAAACGAGCTGCACGAGAAAGAGAGGCAGTGCAGCTCGCTGGTGGAGAAGACGGGCAAGCTCAGCATGACCATAGACGAGCTGACCTCTGAGCTGGCCAACACCGTGACCTCCAAAACCCTGCTGGAGGACCAAGTCCAGTCCCTGCAGCAGAACCTCAAGGACATGACCAACAACCAGAGGAGGCTGCTGAAGCTTTGGGAGGACAGGAAGGCCCAGCAGTCACAGCGCGAGCCGCTGTCCCTGCCGGCCCTTCCGCAGCGACCGGGCCAGAAGGCTGCGGCCCACAAGGCCGTCCAAACTGAAATGTCCATCAGCTCTGCCCACATCCTGCCTGCAAACGCCTTTGAGACCAAACCCAGAAGAGACGGTGAGAAGAACAGGAGCGTGGAGAGGCGCAACATCACGCTGACGAACGGCGGCCATCGAGAAAAAACGGCTCTTATACCAAATGAGACCAAAGCAGTGCATAACGGACCATGACTGGACTCAACTAGGTCTGGTTTTGTACTGAAGGCCGTTGGAGATAGTTTAGCTTCTGTTGAGCTGATATTAAAGAGGAACTCAATTTTTCTGCATAATTAAGTGGTTAAGATATAAACAGAGTCGTTCAGAGTGGTTTGGTGTGAAACGCTCTGTTCTAGAGTCAGAATTGTTCACAGTGGTGGTGATAGGAACCAGACGTCCACCTCTAAAAGCTCCCTCACAGAGGGGTTTTACATGACATGGTTATGAGGACACTGCCGGATGTATGACACATTGTTTTGTGATAGTTTGGGAAGATTTTGGCCTAAAAAGTATTTTTAAACTCCATTCATGGTGGAGGGATACATGCAGGGCGCTATGAGGCAAAATAGTCCCCAAAGAAAACTTATTATTTCAGATTTTCCACTATTTTCCCATCATCAACATTCCATATAAACTCAGAAGACTTGTGTAGGTTCACTGGTGGTTCTGGATAGTAAATAAAATGTCTATATTTGTGTTGTAGTCTTGGCGACCCCTGGTTCCTATCACCACCACTGTAAAGACATCTGAACCATTTCTCACCAAACCACTCTGAATGATGCTGTTTACATCTCACACACTGAACTATGCAGAAATTTTGGAAAATTCAGTGGAATTCCCCTTTAATGTCATTTTAGCGGTGTGGACAAAATGAATACGGAGTATGGATATTAATGACACTTGGACAGCTGTTGACATCAGTTTTCAAATCAATTAACTTTAATGACACCATCTTTTTGTATTTGTGACCATAGGAGAGTTTTGCTTGTGTTGAGCTGATAATAACGACGGCAACCAATGAATTTATTAGCATTAATGACCTTTTAGACTTAGTTTTTTGTATTTGTGACCGCATGAGAGTTTAATTTGAGTTAATTATGCTGATACTTTAGCTGTTTACAGACTTCAAAGGAATTGGCATTAATAACATCCTGTTTTTGTACTTGCGACCAAGTTTACTTTGTGTTAATTCTGCTGATATATTAATTTGTAAATAAATGTTTTAGGATTAATGAGATTTTAGCCTATGTTTTGCATGTCTGACTGCATGAAAACGTTTACTTGTGCTCTTATTCGCACATGGAAGAATAATATACCTATATTTGCTCATATATATGTGTAAAAATATATATGTGCAATAAACACGTGCAATGTTTTTAAAATGTGCTAAATATTTATTGAACTGTGCCGTTTTTTAAATATTTAAATATATGCCAATATATGCACATAAATGACAATATACTGAAATATATGTAATTGTGTCGATTTCAGTATGTACATATGTATCATACATATATGGAAATATACTGCAAACTTGATACAATTTTCAAATATATAATTTAGAAATATGTTCAAAGCTGTGTATATATTTGCATGTAGGTTAGATTTGTTTAGATTTTTTTACACCTGGTTAGGGTTTGTTTAATGTTATCGTTCTACCAAACTGGTTCACAGTTCTAAACATATTTGTAACCAACTTTGGCTTCAGACTAAAATCCTTTTGCTTTGAGTGACTCTTTACCTTAAATATATGTATCAATACTAATGAGTAAACGTTCCATTTTGTCTCTACCAAAACAATCATAACTCTACCAAACTGTACCGAATGTGTCAGTAATGACTGTTTCAGGGACAATTTTAGTTCATTTTAAGCTCAGAAACTCAGCCAGTAAACCAGCAAACACAGCTTTGATCAGCTGTTCACACAGAAAATCATATTTTACATTAAAACACTAAAAAGTTCTGAACTGCAGAAAATATGACTGATTTTCAGACTTTGGGACACATTTACTTCAAAACAATGGGATCTAACTGCTCACCATGTGGCCATGAGGGACAGGGATGCAGCCTCACTTCCTGCTCTAAAATGCAGGGGCGTGGCTAAATAAGGCCCCGCCTACAGACTAAAACGCTGTGTTTCGGTGGTGACATGAAAACACGGGACAACATTTTTAAAATAAAGTTTTTATTTAAAAATGAAACTCATGACAACTTTAAATCTTTCAAGTTCAGTTTAAAAGAGATCAAAAAGATCTTTAAAAAAATACAAAAAAGTATTATTTAATGTAACGTAAGTGTACATTTAGGGGTTAGGGGTCGGGGACAGACTCCGCCCCATAGAGAGAACCCTATGATGATGATTTTGTACATATTTAGCTAATTACTATCTCTATTAATGCTTTGAGTTTAATTAGATCAGAACATAATTCTTGTAAACATCTAAGATCTGAATAATTCATTGTTTTTAAACAGGTTTATTGTTTAGTGTTAGAGCGCAGTTTGAACTACTTCAGTAGAATGATCTGTATATAATAAACCCCTTTTATGTATGGCAGTTTTCAGTAATCTGTAGCGCTCGTTAGATGTGGAACCTGTCGGGAGAATTCATTCATTCATTCATTCATTCATTCATTCTAATAAACCCCTTTTGTGTATGGCAGTTTTCAATAATCTGTAGTGCTCGTTAGGTGCGGAACCTGTCAGGAGAAAGAATTAATTAATTAATTAATTAATTCATTCATTCATTCATTCATTCATTCATTCATTAATTCATTCATTCATTCATTCATCCATTCTAATAAATCCCTTTTATTTATGGCAGTTTTCAGTAATCTGTAGTGCTCGTTAGATTGTGAACCTGTTCAGAGAATTCATTCATTCATTCATTCATTCATTCATTTATTGCTTTTTCCCTGAATCAAAAAATTACTTTAATTACTATCTACTACTAACTATAACGAGAGGTACAAAGATCTTCGCGTCTATCAGATAGAAGCTCTCAGACCCATAAATAAGTAAATAAATTAACGAAAGTAATTAAATAGAATAAAACATTGAAAAACGAATCCTCGGATTTTTGCTCAGGCAGTCTCTTTAGGCACCCCGTAGCCCGTAGCCGCGGCCCTCGCGGGGTCCTCGGCATGTGTGGCGCGGTATTTCCTTGGTGAGTTTGAGTTTCAGGAGCGAAAATCAAAACCGAAATATTAGATATTAATATTAATATTAACGCGGTGAGATGAGCGCGTGCTGAGATGTCCTCCTTCACCGAGAGCAGCTGGTTCGTCCGGAAGGTGAGGCGCTGATTGGCGGGGCTGTGTAACCGGCTCAGTCGGAGCTTCTCCGGAGGAGAACCACAGAAACGCCGCTGAAGACCGAGGCGGGGGGCACTGGGTGCACTGGGGGGCTTAGTCCAGTCTGCTGTTCTCGGACTCTGTAACGAGAGACTAAACGCCCTCCTAACATACATGGTTCTTCAAGGGTTCTTTAGGAAAGCCAGTGGTTCCACGAGTTCTCTATGGAGCTGTTTGCATGCCTGAATGGTTCTTTGCATGGTGTAATGGTTCTCCAGATTGTTAACTAGAGAATGTGTTGTCTATGGTTCTAACGTGGCTCTTCAAGGGTCCTTTAGTAAAGAAAATGCCTCTAAAGAACCGTGAACGCTAAGGTTCTTTTGCATCATTAGCCATCCATTTGAAGAAGAACCATTTAATGTTCTGTAGACGGTTCTGTATGGAATATTTTATTGTTCTCTGCCTCTGTAATTAAAGTCTAAAGGCCTCTCTGGCCTGCATTCCTAAAATACATGGTTCTTCAAGGGTTCTTTAGTAAAAAAAAATCTCTCTAAAGAACCATGAAGACTTAGGTTCTTTTGCCTCATTAAATGGTTCTTCTTCAAATGGATGGTTAATGTTCTGTAGGCGGTTCTGTGTAGAATATTTTATTGTTCCCTGCCTCTGTAACTAAAGTCGAAATTCCCCTTTGGGCTGCACTCCTAAAATACATGGTTCTTCAAGGGTTCTTTAGGAAAGGCAGTGGTTCCATGAGTTCTCTATTGAACTGTTTGCATGCCTAAATGGTTCTTTGCATGGTAAAATGGTTCTCCAGATTGGTGGGGAATGTGTTGGTGTGGTTCTTCAAGGGTCCTTTGCTTGATTAAAGGGTTCTTTTGCATCATTAAATGGTTCTTCAAAATCATGGTTAATGTGCTGTGGATGGTTCTATACAGAACCGGGTATTTTTTTTATATATATATATATATATATATATATGTGTGTGTGTATATATATATGTATATAGGGCTGAAAGATTAATCGTTTTTATATCAAAATCGCAATTTTTCAAATCGCATTGCTGCAATTTTTATCATAGTTTTATGGTCTATTTTCAACTGCACTCTTAAAAAAAGATGGTTCTTCAAGGGTTCTTTAGTAAAGGCAGTGGTTCTGTTTACCACCATGAGTTCTCTGTAGAACTGTTTGCATGCTTAAATGGTTCTTTGCATAGTTAAATGGTTTTCCAGATTGCTGGAGGATGTGTTGTGTCTGGTTCTAACGTGGTTCTTCAGGGGTTCTTTAGTAAAGAAATGTCTCTAAAGCAGTGGTGGACGAAGTACACAAACCATGTACCTGAGTTAAAGTAGAGACACCCAAGGTAAAATATCACTCCAGTAAAAGTAGAAGTTCCTCCCTTTAGACCTCCACTTGAGTAAAAGTACTAAAGTATTCACCTTCAAATGTACTTAAGTATCGAAAGTAAAAGTACTAAAAGATTAATTATGACTTTAATGTCCTGTTATCATTTTTATAACAAGACTCGCTTCATTAACTCATTTTAGGTGTAAATACTCCAGTGTCTCTCTTGGTAAACCAGTCTTTAATAGAGTCATTAATTAGTGACGCTGATGTCTATTAAAATTATCATAAACACAAAACACTGAAGGCAAACAGTTTCCATCAGGTAGAACTGAGTGGCTCTGAAATCACTTTACAAACAAGCAAAGTTTCAGTTTAAGATTTATTTGAACTCAGTTACAAGTTTAAGTTTAATAAAAACTTTAAACTCAGATTCACAAATGAGTTTCCTTTACTAAACTGCATCTGTAGGTCTCTGTTCATAAACATAAACCAGCCTAAACTAATTTACTATAAAATGAAATGTGTTTGTGTAAATTCAGAATAAAGACCCGTCAGTCACAACTGCATATGAGTACATATTTCTATATTGTGGTCTGTTTACACAAAGTTAGGTTAGTTCATCATTTATGTTGAATAGACTCTCCCAGAATTTTACTCTGCTGCACTGATGTTGAACCGTGTGCTGCACTGGGTCGGTATGACCAACAGGTCAAAACAAGCTCAAAACAAACTGACCGCTGTGCCCTGATTGGTGTTCTTACTTTGCGCTTCTTTTGTTTTGACATGTTACGTTTTTATACACACATAAACCAAAAGGAGCGACAGATTTCTCATAATGTAGTGGAGTAAAAAGTGAGATATTAGACTTTGAAATGTGGTGGAGTGAAAGGAAAAAGTCACCCAAAAAACTTCAGTAAAGTACAGATACACAAAAACTACTTAAGTACAGAAACAAATTACATTTACTTAGTTACTGACCACCACTGTCTAAAGAAACATGAACACTTAGATAACCCTTTGCATGATTAAAGGGTTCTTTTGCATCATTAAATAGTTGTTCAAATTGATGGTTAATATGCTGTAGATGGTTCTATACAGAACCGGGTATTTTATTCATTCATATATATATATATATATATATATATATAATATATATATATATATATATATATATATATATATATATATATATATATATATTATATATATATATATAAGAAAATGGTTCTATATAGAACTGTGCACACCTCAGGAAACGCTGTGCATTAAATGACATGGCTCCTCACATCGTGAAAGGGTTCTTCAAGCTGATGGAGAATGTGCTGTAGATGGTTTTGAAAAAGGTTCTGTATAGCACCCAAAAGGGTTTTTCCATTGTCAAGCTAGTAACAATAGCAGAACCCTTTTGGGTGCTATATAGAACCACATACAACACAACACATTTTCTATTTGTCAATCAGAAGAACCGTTTCACAATGCAAAAAAAACATTTAATCAGGCCAAGGGCTTTTTGAGGGTTCATAGTTCCATATAGAACCATTTTCTTTACTAAAGAACCCTTAAAGAACCATCTTTTTGAAGTGCGAATGTTTATACGTTGCAAGGTTTTAGTAGGGAGATTTAACCTGGTCACACGGAGCTCGTGAACTGCTTTTAAATGAATTTGACGAATCAGAAGCAACCAAACAACCCTGTGCTGTGACATCAGAACCGCGAGTAACCGGCAGGCTGGTGCTCCGTGTTAAGAGTTCAAGCCTCAAGACGGAAACGTGTACACTGGTCTCCTTAGTAAAAAAAAAAATGCCCAGATATCGGTTTGTAGAAAACATTCACAATTTAAATCGTAATCGCGATATTGGACAGAAAAATCGCAACTAGATATTTCGCCAAAATCGTGCAGCCCTAATTATATAGCACCAAAAAGGGTTCTATTGTTACAGTGTCAAGCTTTTAACAATAGAGGAACCCTTTTGGTGCTATATAGGACCCTTTTCAAAAAGGTTCTGTTTAGAAACATCTAACACAGAGGTCACTAATAGACCCAGACGCTGGCCTATGGGGACCTGGACCTATAACTGATAAATTATGGAGAATTATTTAATTTTGGTGGGGTGGTCCTGTTTTAATCTGCGTAGCTTTTCTAGCCTTTACAGTAACTTTAGCAGTCGGGGAGACTCACAGACCAATCGCATGCGTTGTAAATATGACACGTGACGCTACTCAGCCAATCAGATCTGTGCATTACGATGAGCTCTGAGACTCGAGTGAGTGACGCACACAGGGGAGGGACGAGGCGAGAAACAGCAGTCGGAGAAGAAAGAGAGTCAGAGGGAAGTTATTTCACATGACGGCTCTAAAAAGAGAAAACTGACAATAAATCTTGTTGAAATATGACCGAACTGTACTTTATTTGATCTGACATTCAGTTGTTGACTGTTTAAGATGTTGATATACCTACTAGGCCACTTCAGGAAACAGTATATGGCACTGAATCATGATGCAAGTTAGACATTATGATGTTTCGGACGTTTGCTTCAGGATATTTTCTCTAACTGGACCTTATTGAATTTTAATTAAAGACCCCTGATCTAACACATTAACCATCAATCTGAAGAACGTTTTCACCACACAGAGAACCATTTAATCATGTTCTCGGCTAAAGTGTTCTGGAAAATGAAACTGTGGACTGAGATCATAACCTGAGTTAGTTTCTATTTCTGTAAATTTATAATGACTGATGTAATGAGTTGTTGGTCATGGATGTATTTAATCCTTCTTCGTTTTTTTCTTTTCTCCAGGTGATTAGATGGAGAGCCATTGCCAGTGTTGCGTGGTCAGTGCTGCTTCTGCCGGCCACAACGACGCTTTTTATTTTCCTCATTAGGTTCCGATTGTTTCACCCCATCCAGTGGACCTCAGGTAGGCAGTCGGTGTTCAGCAGTGATGGTTATAAATATGAACTCGACAGAGGCTCTTACTTCCTCTGTTCTCATGTGGCAGAGCTGAGGCTTAGGTCTCTGAAGGGGAGTTCCACCGAGTTTTAAAAATTTCTCCACAATTGGTTGAGGTGCAAGCGAAGTCATTCCCTGTGGTTTGGTGTAAAATGCTTGTGTCCACTGCGTGGATCCATGCTGTAACTAAAGTAATTCTGTTTTATTACAGAATGTTTAGCACTTTTGACTGCGGCGGGTACCATCTTCTCCCTTCTCCTGCTGAGTGGAGTCGTGCTGGTGATTGGCTTTTTCAACCTGGAGTATTATACAGGTAAGTAAAGGCATATATTTTCTAAAATTGGATATTCTCCCATTTTTTGTAGTGTTTTAGCCCCAGTCCCATTTCTTTTACTCCTACCCCTAGTTTTTGAGTGTCTCCTTGCCCCTTCAACTGAGTTACAGGGTAGTGGTTGAAATCTTCCCTCTGAAATGGGACCCTCAAATAAAAAGAGCATCACTTCATTAACAGCTACCAGCGCTGCTCTGTAGGCGACCCTGCCAGTCTGCAGTGACAGCAGAGGAGGGTAAAGTTCAGCTCCTCACTGCTGGGCTTTAGTTACATTTAGGGCATCATATGATCTTCAAAGAGGGGGGGCAATTATTTATTATCACCCACCCCTAATTCTTCAGTGATATGAAGCTGAAGTCAGATATTCACCAGATTCTTGTTCCAATTTTCCTGTTCCACCTTAAATGGTGATGCCTGAGGCACCAGAATGCAACAGCTGCATCATTTAAGGTGGAATGGGAAAATTAGCTAGCTAGCGAGACATCAGCACTACTAGTGATTTTCTTATGCTTGTTATGAAGAAAAGGACCAAAATACACTGAAACAACATTAAACTAAGATAAAACAGTGATTATTGTAATTTTTAACAGAAAATTCTCACATTTGTGGGTTTCTTTGGTCTCTTGTTCTCCATCTCACCGGTTTTTCTTTTTTTCTCATAACTTTCTGTTTGGAGTCTCTGAAAAACCTCCGTTTGGAGGGTCATGTAGCTCTAACACTTCACCCTCCCCCTCTATCTCAACAAGAATGGGGACACCCTACCCCTAGACGAGAACGCGCAAAACAGAGGGCTAGGGCTGAGCGGTAGGGCCGAGGGGTGAAATGGGACGGGGCCTTAGTCTATTTTTATTAACAGCGTCGCTGGGAGGTTGGCCATACCCTTAATATTTGTGTAGGTAGTGTAAAACAGTAGGACGGTTACTCAGTTAAACTCAGTAAAAATGACTCTGTGAATCAGCATGATTATTTGACCAACTGCATTTTTCATAAAGTGCCGAATTACCCCTTTAACTGGATTTTGTGCAGCACACTATGTGGAACGTTATAGAATAACAACTGTATTCATAGTTTTTCACAACAGATTTTAAATTTGACTTTGCCAGAACGTTTTTCTGAATGCGATGCACATCATATATGGATCATTCTGCCGATTTGGTTCAGAGTCAGAGCTGAGAACACGTTTTGGACTTTTAACTATCGAAACTTGACCAAATCTTTACCAAATAGTGACTGTTTCAGTAACAATGTTGGCTAATATTGAGCAGAAAAGAACCTAAGCCAGTGCATAAGCACAGCTTTGAGCAGCTGTTCACATATAAAATCATCACATTTTCATTAAAACATTAAAAAGTGCTCAACTGCATAAAATGTCGGACAATTCTTAATGTTCCACACTGAATTTCAGATTTTGGGACACATTTACTTTAAAACAATGCTCACCATGTGGCCATGAGGGACAGCAGTGCTGCTGGAGTTTTTAAACACTGTGTCCACTCACTGTCCACTCTATTAGACACTCCTACCTTGTCAGTCCACCTTGTAGATGTAAAGTCAGAGACGATAGCTCATCTGCTGCTGCACAGTTTGTGTTGGTCATCCTCTAGTCCTTCATCAGTGGTCACAGGTCGCTGCCCACAGGACGCTGTTGGCTGGATATTTTTGGTTGGTGGACTATTCTCAGTCCAGCAGTGACACTGAGGTGTTTAAAAACTCCAGCAGCACTGCTGTGTCTGATCCACTCAGACCAGCGCAACACACACTAACACACCACCACCACGTCAGTGTTACTGCAGTGCTGAGAATGACCCACCACCCAAATAGTACCTGCTCTGTGAGGGTCCATGGGGGTCCTGACCACTGAAGAACAGGGAAAAGGGGGCTAACAAAGTATCAGAGAAACAGATGGACTACAGTCTGTAACTGTAGAACTACAAAGTGCACCTATACAGTAAGTGGAGCTGATAAAATGGATAATGAGCATAAATGTCTAAGATATTATAAATGTCTGAATATTGTGTGACAGCAGTTTGACTGTATTCAGTGCACTATTGTTTCATGTTGCCCAAAGCTCGTTATAATCGTGTTTCGCTCTGTTGTGCTGCAGTTGTGCCCTCCATCCCGTGCTCCCGAGTGGCTCTCCTGGCTAAGGTGCTGCACCCACGGCAGTGCGTCCACTCTCTGGTGCACTGCACTGTGGGTATGGTGGTGATGTGGTGTGCCTCCATAACGGCCGGTGGCCGATATCGCACTCTCGGCTCTCCCTGCACGCACAGCGAGAGGTGAGCTGCCCGCGCCGGCCTGAGGCCTGACCTGATTCTGCTCGCTCTACATGCACTAAAACTTTCCACCCACCTTGCGGGCTCAGGTTGCCCTGCGATTACATCAATTACTCTCTCTGCCTAATACATGAGCGAGGCTTGGAGCACCGGCGCTGATAAAGTTTGTTCAATTAAAGCAATCTTAGGCAATCTTATCCGTAAAGGGACAACTTGGTGCAAGTTCCCGTTTGAAAGAGGAGACGTAGAGGCTCGTCTGAGGTCAGGTGGTGAAGTCAGCATACGCTGACCCCATTTCAGGTCAAATTCATATTCATTTAAAGGGCATGTTCTGCATTTTTCTTTGTATTGTACTTTTTAAGGTCCACTTAAAGGCGTTTGAGTGGTTTTATTTACTAAAAATGGTCAGGATTCATTTTTGCATAACCATTTTCCAGTTTCTCAGGCTGTTTTTTGGTTGCTGTGCCTTTAAGACTGATTATATGTAAATGAGCTCTGTTCCAAAGGGCGTCCTGTGCCTCATTCACAAAGCAGTCCGGGCTCAGTTGCTCCTTCAGCGTGAATGGGCAGGGCTGAACTGCTGTAGGCGAAATAGGCAGCTGTGCACAAATATGCTGTGTTTTTTTTTGTGACATCACAAAAACTACAAATTTAAATGGGCTGTTTTTGCAGCTTAGTTTACAAAAAAAGCAAGAAAAAAATGGTTTACAATGAAAAAGGCCCTTTAAAGCAGTTTTATACATGATTGTGCCCATAATGTTTAAATCTCTGATGTTACAGTGTTTCAATAAGGATTAATTAGGAAAAGATTCACTGGAACGCATCTCAGATTTCACTGAAATTTTATTGATTTATTTTTTTCCCCATTTCAAATTATTTAATTGTTTAAAATGCACTGAATACACAAATGTGACCGAGCTTTTACACCATAGAGGAAAATAGACAACAAAAACAATAGATCAAGCTTTTTGGAGGGACTTTCACATTTGAAAATGGCTTTTTTTTTCTTTTTTTTTTGGTCCTTTAAATGAGTGCATACTTATGACGGTGTTTTAGGGCCACTGTCAATAAAAATTAAAATAGTAGACTTTGAGAATAAAGTCATAATATTTCGAGAATAAAATCGTAATATTTGGAGGATAAAGTGGGCTAACTGTAGGGGGGCTAACTGTGGGGGGGGCATAACGTGTTGGGGTCTCGGTTGCTGTACTGGCGCCGGAGCTCCACTCACTCCTGTCTCTCTGTGGATCATTTTGATCATCATTCTCACTGTCTGTGAAACTTCATGCCCTCTTTGAATGGGGGGAGATGTAGCCCCCGATAGCCGTGTAGACGACCCTGCCTGAGATTCTCCTTCAACAACACAGACAGACAGTTTCCTCCGAGTCCGTCTGGCTCTTTATTCTAGATAAACACAGTTTCCTGCTCAGCCGTTTCAGCCGGTTCTTATACTAATAACAGGCTGGTGCTGATGAGCAGGAGAGACAGGGAGACTGAGTGTTTCTTTATGGGTGAATCGATATGAAAGTATCTCCACCAACTCACTGCCCCTCATTTAACACCAGGAGGCGCTGCTTCCCTTTGGAAAGCCTTTGGTCACTATATTGCGACTTTTCCGGGTAATAATCTACTTTAATGTCGTTTTTATAATCGATTTTATTATCGAAAAATGACGACTTTATTTTCGAAATATCATAACGTACGACTTTAAATCTTGAAATATTACAACTTTATTCTTGTAATAGTCTACTATTCTTATTAACATTGGCCATAAACACCGCCATACATACTGTACTGAATATCATTATAGTATTCTAACATTCACCTTTAGATTGAATCGTCTTTATTTAAACCTAATATTTAATAAGTCATTCTGAGATGAATTGATTTTTTTTCTGTATGTGCCTTATTGTATTTAGTAATTTAGTTCTCTCTGTGCTGCAGCGGCGGTGCTCCTGATGCCTGTCTAAATGAGTATCACCTGTTCTTCCTGCTGGCCGGAGCTTTCATGGGATACAGTCACAGCTTCTTGGGAGTCGTCCAAAATATGAATTATGTGTCCTTTCAGAACATACAGGTATATTTTTAAACCGATTCACATCCACAGTTTAATTGGTAATTGACATTTAATTAATCTAAACCCTGGGATGTGGAAAGTGGGCATACATTAGATATACAGACACATTATATACACTGTATCTCCAGAAACCCCTCCTAATTAGTGAATTTGTCTACTTTGAAGGGCAATTCCACCAGTTTTTTTCAAGATATCTGCCTAATTCAGTATTTGAGATAGACAGAGTGATTCAGAGTGGTTTGGTGTGAAATGGTTCTGTAAGGGCTGGCTCCAGGGCTGTGGCGCTCCCGGCCACCAGAGGGAGGCGACACACCTCCCAGGTCCAGTCAAGCCCAGTGTCCTACATCTGGGCAGAGGGCTTTATAACCGCAGAGAAGAAGACACACATTGCTGTGTCTTTGTCTCATTGTGAGCCAACAGAAACGGTGGGTAATTTTGGTAAGAGGGCTGAGTTTCGCGCTCCCCCTCACTTTTCGAGTTTTCTCCAGCCTCCTCTCGAGATTTCCTTCTCTGCTCTCAAAAAAAAGAAAGACTTCGTTCTGTTCTGTTTCTGTTGGGAAAGTCATTTGTCCTTTTTCAGTTACTTCATTTTCTCTGGACTTCTGAGAAAGCCAGTTTTCCCCTGGTGCCCTTTGTTCTTTTTCCCTGCCTGACAAAAATGGGTGGGTTTACAAATTTGGGTTTACAAATTTCCCACCCATTTTCGGGCTATCCCATATAAGGGCGCTCCTTTCATTGGCCTTCACCACGGCTGCAGTGGTAGAACGCTCGCGCAGCACCAATAGAGCCCGGGTTTGACCCCAGACTCATCAGGTCCTGAAGTCCTTATCCTTATACAGCTTTTCCATCTGCTGTACAGACGCTTGGCACTTGGGTCCTGGGTCCCCAAAACCTGTGGTGGTCTGGTGAGCCATCCAGCGTTACAGGTTCAGATTTCTTTACAGTGGTGGTGATAGGAACCAGGGGTCGCCATGACAACAACACTGAAAATAATTAGTTTTATTTGGGGACTGTTTTGCCTCAAAACATCCTGCATGTATCCCTCCACCATGAATGGATTTAAAAATATATTTTGGGCTAAAATTATTCTCAAAACTATCGTAAAACACTGTCTCAGACCTCAGGCAGTGTATTTAATAACCATTAAATGTAATAACTTTCTGTAAGGGAGCTCTGGGACGCTCTGGAGCAGCTGCACATGAGCCTAAGGTCACCATTCCCAATGCCCATATGGGCTAGAGGGGTATAAAGCCCCTCAGCATTGGGCTGTGGAGCAGTGGAGCTGCGTTCTCTGGAGTGATGGAGCTCCATCCAATACCTTTGGGATGAGTTAGTGATTCAGAACTGACCATCCAACATCAGTACATGACCTCACTAATGCTCCATCAAATCCTCACAGCAATGTTCAACATCTACTGTAAAGCCTTCCCAGAAGAGTAGAGGCTGTTACTGCAGCACAGACTCACTACTAACACCTTCTTTTCAGAGGAAACTCTGGAGTCTGCGGACTCTTGGCTATGTGGGGTTTCGCAGACCCAGATTAAGTTTAATCCTAGACTAAAAAAGCCTTTTCAGTGGTGAATCACTACTGACATTACTGGGCTAAGTCAATGTCCCCCAGTGTATATTAGCCGTGTAACACTGAGAGTGCTAAGACTTTAAAATGCTCTGTTATCCTAATATTTGTGTTTGTGTCCCACAGCAGTATAAGTACCTGCGCTTTAAAGGCTCCCTGCCGTGGGTGGTGAAGTGCAGCGCTGTTCAGTCTCTGTATTCAGTCAGGAATTATGTGGCTCTCTACTTCTTTTTTGGTAAGATCCTGTTTTGCTGCTTAAACATGGCACTAAAAACTGATTTAAATGGTTTAATTAAACACTCTCAGGAAAAAGGTACTAAACTGTGACTGGGTCAGTCCCCCTCTGGTCACTGGGGTGGTTCCCTCAAGGCTCATCTCAGTACCTTTAGTCAGGGAACATAACTGAACCATAATCCACTGAATGATATGTTCTAAGCTGTACTGACTCCACACACCCCGTCTCGTCTCCAGGCTTTTATTTTACTGTTCTGTTTTAAAACATTCGGTTATGAAAAGGTACAAATACGAACTTTTCACCTGGAAAAACTTATTTAAGGTTCACAATCAGACCTTAAAACCACTGTTGGAGCTTTGAGGGAACATTTACACTGTTTGTACCTTGATGAACGAAACATTGTACCTGCACAGAACCTTCATTTCTAACAGTGAATATGAATACTTTTTCCCCCAGGTCATATTTCCAGAGCGTGGATCTCTAACACACTGAATCTGCAGATTGACAGGTATGATTTAGATATTAAATGTTATTATTTCTGTTCATTTACATATTTTGAGTGGACGATACGGCAAATACTGGAGGTTATTTTCACGATACGCGATGAATGTCATATTAATGATTTTTTTTGTTTTGTTTTTTTTCGGTAAGTTGGTGCACGAAAAAAACCCAGTAATGCCACAATAAAATTGACACTTTCAGAAGCTTTTCACAAACTGAACTGCACTAAATCCAGTGAAAGTAGTGTTAACTTTTTTAATGAAACATTTTTTTGACTCTTCTTTAATTACTGACGATATCCTCCAAATCCTCAGAAAAGCATATTGTCACTTTTAAGCATAAATAGACGTCTAGAGTTTCAATCTGTCCTGAAATTGTGGTCAAAAATCGATTTTCTAAATATTTAATTTATAATGTAATGTTGATGGAGCGCAAAAGGCGGAACCTGGAAGTGAGTAAGTGCAGCGCCCGGACAGTCTGCGGCAGCACGTAACAAAAACACTACTGGATGAGTGAGAAATCCGACCGGCTCCCTCTGCATTAAAGCCAGGTTAGATCAGGAGTCACAACCCAAATGATCAGAAGAGACATTTTGTCTCTTCAAACCAGCTTGGGAGCTGCAACATTTAATGTCCCGTATGTCTCAGTATGTGCTGATGTCCTAGTATAGACTAAACAACATAAACGAAAACGCAGATTTACTCCGCTCTGCTTTAAGCTTCGCCTATAGCCGCTTTCCTCCCATCTCCGCCAGAAAACCTTTCCTCAGAAGTAGATCAGTTAAATGTCTCTCAGCGTTCGACTGTTTTACGAGGCTGAAGTCACTTCTTGTTCTCCAGCTTCTTGTTCGAATTTTCCCGTTCCACCTTAAATTCTAACTGAGGCGCCGAATGTAAATGCGGCACCATTTAAGGTGGAACGGGAGAATTAGAAAGAGAAGCGACTTCAGCTTCTCCACTTCTTAGTGTTTCACAGTCTCTCGTTGCAGATTTAACGTACCAGGAAACCAACTGCGCTGCTTATGAATGTGAATAACGCATCGCTGCTATGTGACCTGCAGTCTGCACGGCGGTTCTCAGTCGTTGCGAAACAGGGTTTTCGGCGCTATGTATGTCTCAAAGACATTTTACTGACACAGCGATCCCCCCGTCTCTACAACGAGACCGAAACCCAAGTTATAAAATCACTAAAGAAAACGTGTAGGACAGCTGTAACGTGCTGCGTGGTCGTCCATCACCACTGGATCTTATTTCACCGTAACTGCGCATTTTATCGCAGATGAGTAGCAGCAGCGTCTCATGTGCTCCAAACAAGAGCCCTGAATGAGAGCCTTCTGGTTCACTTGCCACATCACTTCCATTTGATTTATTAATAAGATATTGAAAGTAAATTCATTACGGATCATTACAAATACTTTGGTTTAAAAGTACCAAGTCACTTTAAATAACAGCACAGAGTCACTTAGTCACTTTAAAAAATATTGTCTCTATATTTTGTGTATATTTAATATATTTCAGTTGGTTTTTCTTGTATTTTTATTTTTACTTATTTACTTTCTGTAGAGTGATTAGCTGAGCCTCATCACAAGCATTTCAATGCGTAAATGTCCTGACATGTTCTGCAAATGACAAATAAACTTGAACTCACACAGTGAGAAAATATAAATGCTGTATAGAAAAAAAGATGCATCGATAATCGTTTTATAATCGCATCGCAGCCCTCTGAATCGGAATCGAATCGTGAGGTGCCTAAAGATTCCCACCCCTATCACTGAGCCTCAATAATAGTGTCTTTAGAGCTCACATGAATAAAATATGGAACAATGTAAAACAATATGCTATAATGCAATAATCAGCTCTCCAAAAATAAGTTTACATTCTGCTTTAATGTATTTATTCATCAGAGAATTCTTTTGATCAACATGTAAGATTTTTATTTTAGTCTGCATGTATTTAGTGAGATCTTAATGTTCACCTGTTTACATAGAACAGAGGTCACTAATAGGCGGACCGCGGTCAGAATCCGGACCCAGATGCTGTGCTATGTGGATCTCGACCTAAAACCGCTAAACTATGGAGAATTATTTAATTTTGACGGGGTGGTTCTGTTTTAATCGGCGTAGCTTTTCTAGCCTTTACGGTTCCGCTTTTGCGGCCAGAGACTCACAGACCAATCGCACACATTTAAATATCACACGTGACGCTACTCAGCCAATCAGATCTGTGCATTACAGTGAGCACTGAGACTCAAGTGAGTGACGCACACACACGGGGATGAGGTGAGAAACAGTAGTTGGAGGAGAAAGTGAGTCAGAGGGAGGTTACTTCACATGTTGTGCTCTTAAAAAAGAAAACTGACAATAAACGTTGTTGAAATATGACTGAACTGTACTTTATTTGATCTGACATTCAGTTGTTGACTGTATAAGACGTTGATATACCTACTAGGCTCCTTCAGTGAACAGTATATGGCTCTGAATCATGATGCAAGTTAGTGCATAATGCAGTCCTTCGCTTGAGGTAATTTTCTCTAAATGGACCTTTTTGAATTTTAATTAAACACTCCTGACACAGAACATGGTGCAGTGAACATATTGAGCATTTAACAATATAAATATTTGTGTCCAAACAAATTTGGTCCTTTTGGCTGCGCTAAACTGCACTGTTCTCTCGAGCTGAGTGGACGACTCCAGCATGTGAGATTAAAAATATGGAGAAAAGTGAAAAAGTAAACTGAAGCAGAGAGAAATGCAGGTAAAATGGTGGGGGGCGGCTCTTAGAACCTCAGTGTGGAATTCGAACCAGCCTGAGTCCGACTCGTTTTTGCGTAATGACGTCCGAACCCGACAGACACGAGCAGTCGGCCCCCCCGCCGGGTTTGGGCAGATATTTCGTGCTCTGTTGCTCACTCCAGTGTACTGGTTCTCGTTCTAGTTCTCTTCACTCTCTGGACTCGCTGGCCGGTCTGCTGGACTTCTCTCTGCTTTATCACCTGTGGATCAGCGGCACCTTCCTGCTGCTCACCTGGTACATCACCGTGCTGCTGTTCAGGATCTACGTCACCGAGGTACAGAGCCAGAGCTCCTGTTTGACTTTTATAGGTCGTGTGGGATTCTGATCATCTTTTTTTTTTTTTCTCCAAACATTGGAAAGCGCTGCCCACAATAGAGGTCTGCACCGTATCCACCACTGTATCTTGCGGCGCGGAGCAAATTTTCAGTGTCCTGCGAAGGAGCGGGTCAACACATTCATATAGAGAAATCCTGCAAATTAATGAATAACCAAAATAAAATGATAAATCACTTAATATTCGGCAAATATAAATAATATCTAACAGCCAGATATACAGGTATATTACACTTAAACTTGTTAGGGTTACAATTTATTTATGTTTTAAAATAAAATAATACGTTATTTTAACAGTTACACCTTCTTGAGCCTCAATTTAGCAATATTGGTTTATAAATCAATCATATAGAATTCAGAGCACCACAGAAGAGCTCGTCCTCACAGTCATGTGTGAAGGCTGAGGACATATTTAGAGATAAAAAACATGTTTTTCTGCAATTTTAACTGCAATAATCTAAACATGACTATGAAATATGTGAATTAAATATCATAAAGAAAACAAATACTAAATAAATATTATATGATACATATAATGAAAGTTGTTGTCCCCAGGAGTCGGGTCACTGGTGTTACTGCATAACAAAAAATCTCTTATTTTGAAATAAAAGTCACACTGATGACATCACTCGACTTCCTTTTACCTGTTCTCTGAGGATCTATGAAGAAAAGCACATGGTGAGTCCACTGTGTCTTTCAGTTATCAGAGATTTTCTCATTTAGCTCATGATTTCATATGGAGCTTTTAGCTGAAGTCACTGGTGTGACCGACTTTATTCTGAGGTAACTGTGAAAAAATAGAATACAAATGGATTAAATTCCATATTTTAGTGGATATTCCATGATTGACATGTGGTTTGATGCTTTGTAGCAGCCATTTAGTAAAATGCATTGTTCATTAAAAATGTCTCTGGTGTTTCCTTTATTATGTGTAACACCAATGAGGATCAGTAACACCAGTGACTCCTATGGAGAGATAGAAAAGTGGACGTTTCTGTAGAATGACCCAGATACTCTAAACTAGTTCTAAATAGATACAACTAATCGTGAACAATGTCATGATTGGTCGCATCAGCAGGTTACAGAAACTGAGCCCTCAGACGGTCACAGCTGTGGAAAGTGCTCTTATAAAGGCGAATACATGACAATAAAGCTGAATAAAGGCTTAATCTTGACTGACACTGATGTAAAGTAGTTACATAGGTCAGGACTGGGATAATGAAATTTTGTGGGAGTGGGACTAAAAAAATCAATCCTGTTCTGACCTCTGTCCCAGTTTTCTCTAGAAAACTAGTCCAAACTCTGAAAGATTAAACTGAATTTTCTTTACAATACTTTCTCCAAAAATATCAATTTGTTTTATGCTGCCCACTGGCTTATATTATAGGCAGGGGTCGACATTGCCTGTTTCCTGGTGCCCTGGCCACAGCATTACACAATTTGCGTCTAAAAATGCAGAGCTTGTGGTTCAAGTGGCCACTTGCCTTGGAGACTTTTACTTCTTTTTGTTGTCCTTTTAACAAACCACCAGAGCGGTGGAATTTTCACACATTAACAAATATCTACCATGAATTATGAAGCCAATACGTCTCTTATTATTGTGAGCTTTGAATTTCTTTTTTAAAGCACCACACGGCTGGTTTTTGCTCGTTAAATGTAAATTCACTCTGTATGCGCCAAATATTTCTATAATTCTAGCTGTAAGTTTTTAACTTTGGCCACAGTATTGTTTGCTTTGTCTGCGGTAATTGACCGTATGTGACAGATACAACAGACAGAGATTAAAACTGCTGAAGTATCCTTTCAACCCCCTTCGTATGCTTGCACCTTGTTGCAGTGACTGTTTTTAAACTGGCTGTTCGTCGTCTCTGTTCAGTCGTACAGATTCCCAGTGCAGTCCACGTTCGCTGAGGATGTGGAGCAGTGTCTTCCTAAAGTCCTGGCTGAAGAGAACACCCTGATTATGAAGGTATTCCGTGTTTTTCACCGTACAGTTATGGTCTGCAGTCCTTATTTTCTTGTTAAAACCCTTTCTGTTTGTGTTATTTCAGTTTCTGGCCCTGCAGGACCTGGCTTTGCTGTCCCAGCACTCACCTTCTCGCAGACAGGAGGTTTTCAGCCTGAGCCAGCCAGGTACCTCACATTTCTGTTACGCTTGTCCTACTTTCTGAACAGGATTCAGACATTGGTTTGTACTTTAGTACTGTCTTAACTCTTTACACAATACATTATGTACATTGAGAATAGGGCTGCAACAAACGGGTAATTTGATAGTCGAATAATTGAACGATTGCTGAAACGAATAATCGATTATTCGGATTATGAATCATTACATTTCCAAATAACACTTACGTACCTATCAGCTTTTAAATTGAGCTTGAGGTTGTTTTACACATTTGCTGACAAACAATGACAATACAGATTAATAACATTCAGAAGTTCAGTTTTAACAAGTTTCAAAAGATAAATAAAACTCCAGTATATTTTTCCTGTCGAAATTTAAACCCAGTGATGTGAAAAGTAGTAGCAATAAAATATTAAACTAAATCAATTTTCCTTTAAGCAAGTAATGTGTATTTTGTGTATTCTGCTGTCTGTCTACACTCTGTTACAACTAAATTCTACAATCACAGTCTTTACTGAAACGGAGGGAAGTCAGCGTCTCTCCGTGCTCCTGGGAGAGTCTCGCTCTCCTCTGAGAGCAGATAATCCCTGCTGCAGAGGAGACGCGCTCTGATGGAGCGGATGGGAAAGTGGCGAACGTCTGTGGCGAACTTGTTCTCTATGAACAGTTAAATGAACGATTTTGTATAAACATCTAATTTCAGCCGTCACCCTTCGTCCAGCTGCCCTGTATGTTCGCGGAGAACCACCTCCTTAAACTGTTTGCAAGGGCAAACAATCGTGGAACGCAGAAAACTGTTTGCAAACGCTCTCCTGTGTTTGCTGAATTTGACCGCACCGGTGGCCTCGACGTTAAGACGATGATGCAGTGTTTGAAAAGTAAACGGGGTCGTTGTGAATAATAGTTACTCGCTTCTCTGCTCCAACACCATTAACAATTCGAGAGAGCATGCGTTCGAAATAGAAAATGTTACAGCTCAGCTCAGAACATGAAGTAGGACGGCTTTTAACATTATCTAACCAGCTCGCTAGCACAACTGTCGCCGCATCCCAAACCACACACTTCTGTACTTCACTCACTACACTAATGAGTGCACTTGTAATTGTATATGCGCTATTTTTACACACTATTTAGTGAGCTAGTATGCGGTTTGAGACGCGGCGTATCTTACCGAAAGGAATCGTCTCCATTCAGCGAGCCGTCGTGTTTCCTTCTCAGACGCTCCAGCATGGAGGATGTGCTCCCATGCCAGCTAAGGTCGGCTTTACAAACAGCACAACTGGCAACCTTTTTTTTCTAAGTTCAGCTCCACTCTTTTGAAGATGTTGTTCTTGAGGCTGCCATCGTGCTGTTGTTAACTCTCCAGGAAGCGGTAATGTCAAAACAATCCTAGTGAGCGTGAGGAAGACGCGTAATGATGTTACCAACTAATCGACTATTAAATTAGTTGCCAACTAATTTGGTTGTCGATTTTAGTCGACGAAGTCGAATAAGCGTTGCAAACCTAGTTAAGATTTGTCCAGCAGATGGTGCTGTAGCTTCACGTCTGATTTTTTTAAACTGTTTGGTGATCAAATCTTAACCAAATCCCAACATGCAGAGGATCTTTCCGGGGCCGAACTTTACCTGTAAAACAAAATTTAGGCAGAAAAATGTTTGTAGGTCCTGCAGGTCTCTCATATCCACCCTCCTGTGTTGCTGTGCTGTCTCTGCAGGTGGTCATCCCCATAACTGGAACGCCATCAGTAAGGAGTGTCTGGCTCTGCTGAATCAACTAACGCAGCGCCTCGTGGCTCACCATGACGCCGTGGCCTCCAACGGCAGAGCGAAACTTCCATCTGCCGGCAGTGATGCCAGATCCTCCTCAGAAAGCTCAGGTACAGCTGAGGCTGACTTTAACACGAGTCACAGAAGTGCCAGTGAAGCTTACAGTGAATGAAAGCTAGTTGGCAACAGTTAATACAGGGTTCTAAAGTGAGGGGGGTGGTGGATGACTGCCCTACCTAGCTTTAATGTGGCGAAGCCCCCGCCTCTGACTTTGAGGGTATGTGTTTCTCAGTTTCCTCTGCGGTGATGTCGGGGACGGAGGATTTGCCCCAGACTCCGCGCCCCAGCGCTCTGATGCGGACCCCCGGCTCAGCCTTCCTGAAGTCATCCAGCAGAAGCGTGAGCAGCCCCATGACTGCCCCCTTCACCCCAGACCTGGACAGTCCCTTCTCCACCCCCGCCTTGCGCCGCCTGGCCCCCCAGCCGGGCCCTCAGCAGGCCACTTGGTTCGGTTCCGTTCAGAGCCCACACATCATGAGGAGAGGCCCCAAACTCTGGAGCGCTTCCACAGGTCAGCATTCGTTCTGAAAAGTGAAAGACTTTTTTCAGTTAAAGCCGATCTGTATGATTCTGTAGAGCAGTTGTTGATATTTGAACTCGACAGCAAACAAATCCTTCACAAGCTCCGCCTCCCAAATTCATGGACTGTGCTGTTTTAGATCTTTGTGGCCATAAAACCCTTCGAAACGTTGTACAGACAAATCAGTACCGTGACACAACATTAGAGTGAACAACCAAACAGCAAGTAACGTAGCTAATGTTGCCCACCCGTGCAGCAGGAGCGACCTCCTCATCCGTTTTCATGCCTTTCAACTCTCGAAGCTTAAGTCAGCGTCTTTTTCGACAGCTTCTTGTTCGAATTTTCACGTTCCACCTTAAAAGGTGCAGCAGCTAGACTACATTCAGGCGGCTCAGCTTATTCTTCGAATTTTCCTGTTCCACCTTAAGTGATGCACACACAATGACGGTCACTGTCTGCGGAGGGCAAAACAAAACATGGGGAGGGCGACGTTTTCACAGATTGGGACTAACATGCATACGCGGTCAGACCGGCTATTAAACAAAAACAGAGAAGCTCAGATTACACACACACACACACACACACACACACACACACACACACACACACACACACACACACAGAGGGGGCGTGACTTCATTCTCTGCTTTGCTTGTTATCCTGTGCTGATGTCAGACTCTCAGGCCAATGGCAGTGCTACCGCGTCTCCTGCTCCCGCCCCCAGCTCTCCGCCTCCAGACCAGAAACCCAGCTTCATCGCTCAGTGGCTCCAGAACAGGAAGGAACAGGTAATGTCTCCATAGCAACGCACTGAACCCTCCCAAGGCTCCCAGGACATGTGACTTTGTGAAAGACTTTAGAGAGAGTCTGTCTTTCGTGATACAGTCAGATTTCAGATTCAGTTTTGGAGTACCACAGCACGCTGGACCGTTTCACCGGTCATTATTAGGCTGTTCATGAGGAGCTGGATTAGTTTCACCTGGACTGTTTCTGTAATTTAAGTGATGCAGTACGAATTTGCAGTGCGCATAATACTTGTAACAAGTTATTTTGATCAAGTACAAATCTTCAGTGTGTAGTTTTACGGTCTGACTGTAATAATTGTGGAGTGATTTTAATCCAGTATGAATCTGCAGTGTGTGTAGTTTTACAGTCTGACTGTAATAATTGTGGAGTGATTTTAATCCAGTATGAATCTGCAGTGTGTGTAGTTTTACAGTAATAATTGTGGAGCGATTTTAATCCAGTATGAATCTGCAGTGTGTGTAGTTTTACAGTCTGACAGTAATAATTGTGGAGTGATTTTAATCCAGTATGAATCTGCAGTGTGTGTAGTTTTACAGTAATAATTGTGGAGCGATTTTAATCCAGTATGAATCTGCAGTGTGTGTAGTTTTACAGGCTGACAGTAATAATTGAGGAGTGATTTTAATCCAGTATGAATCTGCAGTGTGTGTAGTTTTACAGGCTGACAGTAATAATTGTGGAGTGATTTTAATCCAGTATGAATCTGCAGTGTGTGTAGTTTTACAGTCTGACAGTAATAATTGTGGAGCGATTTTAATCCAGTATGAATCTGCAGTGTGTGTAGTTTTACAGTCTGACAGTAATAATTGTGGAGCGATTTTAATCCAGTATGAATCTGCAGTGTGTAGTTTTACAGTCTGACTGTAATAATTGTGGAGCGATTTTAATCCAGTATGAATCTGCAGTGTGTAGTTTTACAGTCTGACAGTAATAATTGAGGAGTGATTTTAATCCAGTATGAATCTGCAGTGTGTAGTTTTACAGTCTGACTGTAATAATTGTGGAGTGATTTTAATCCAGTATGAATCTGCAGTGTGTAGTTTTACAGTAATAATTGTGGAGCGATTTTAATTCAGTATGAATCTGCAGTGTGTGTAGTTTTACAGTCTGACAGTAATAATTGTGGAGTGATTTTAATCCAGTATGAATCTGCAGTGTGTGTAGTTTTACAGTAATAATTGTGGAGCGATTTTAATCCAGTATGAATCTGCAGTGTGTAGTTTTACAGTCTGACTGTAATAATTGTGGAGCGATTTTAATCCAGTATGAATCTGCAGTGTGTAGTTTTACAGTCTGACTGTAATAATTGTGGAGTGATTTTAATCCAGTATGAATCTGCAGTGTGTAGTTTTACAGTCTGACTGTAATAATTGTGGAGTGATTTTAATCCAGTATGAATCTGCAGTGTGTAGTTTTACAGTCTGACTGTAATAATTGTGGAGTGATTTTAATCCAGTATGAATCTGCAGTGTGTAGTTTTACAGTCTGACTGTAATAATTGTGGAGCGATTTTAATCCAGTATGAATCTGCAGTGTGTAGTTTTACAGTCTGACTGTAATAATTGTGGAGTGATTTTAATCCAGTATGAATCTGCAGTGTGTAGTTTTACAGTCTGACTGTAATAATTGTGGAGTGATTTTAATCCAGTATGAATCTGCAGTGTGTAGTTTTACAGTCTGACTGTAATAATTGTGGAGTGATTTTAATCCAGTATGAATCTGCAGTGTGTGTAGTTTTACAGTCTGACTGTAATAATTGTGGAGTGATTTTAATCCAGTATGAATCTGCAGTGTGTGTCGTGGAAGGTAATGGTACTCCAAAACTGAATTTGTGCAGTGCTGATTTAATTAATGCAGCATTATCTGGAAACATTCACACTCATGAACACAGAATCCTCTACAGTGTCTCTTGTGAAAGTCATTTGACTTTGACTGTCATCCTGTAAACCACCTCCTCCTGAAATGAACTGTTGGCTCTTGTCTTCCTGCTCTGAACTGCTGTGCTCAGGTGAAAGGGTTCTTGGCGAAGCGCGTGCTGGTAGTGTATTTGTTTAATAAGGTAAGGAGGTAAAGCCGTGCATGGTCGAGTTAAAGCAGCATGCTTTAACGGTGGTGGGTGGTGGAGGATTGATGTAGCACCCTGTCTCTGTAGCGTATAACACTTCAGCCTCTTCAGTTTCATTACGTCTCTGTTTGTTTGAGTAGCATGTAGGTGTTTTTCTCCAAGAGTTTCAAATAACTGTGTACATGCATTCAAACACAACTCTGTTTATATGTTAAACTCTGTAAGTAAGGAATCTCTGGTTTTTACAGTTTTTACTCCAGTTCAAGGACTGAAAAAAAGATTTTTGTTTTCTTCTGTGTTAGGGCTGGGACAATGATCAGATTTTTGAAAAATGAATAAATATATTTATATTTTAATTATTGATATTTTATGCACATTTCCTATTTGAGCTGTTATTTTTATTTTTTACTTTATTTAGTCCATCAAGGTACTTCTGAGTCAAAATAAAGGTTGATTGATTGATTGATTCCCACCTTCCTTCCTGCCTGCCTTCAATCCATCGATCCCTCCTGCCTGCCTTCCATCCATCCATCCCTCCCTCCATCCCTCCTGTCCACCCTCCATCCCTCCTGTCCGCCCTCTCTCCTTTCTGCCCACCCTCTCTCCTTCCTGCCTTCCTTCCTTCCTTCCATCCCTCCATCCATCCATCTATCCCTCCCTCCTTCCTTCCTGCCTTTCTTCCTTCCTTCCTTCCTTCCTTCCTTCCTTCATCCATCTATCCCTCCCTCCTGCCTTTCTTTCCCTCCCTCCCTCGGTGTATTACAGAGGAAGGTGACAAATCCAGAATCCTACCAATTGATTTGGCCGATTACTGCTGATTATTGATAAGTTCATAAATGTGCTCAGCCTTATTTTATTTTGTATTGTACATAGTTATTTGAGACTCTTATTATGAAGTGGAGTTCTTTTTCTTTGCTGTCCTAATCCTGTAGCGAAACACTTGTACTGTAGTTACCTTTCTGTGATCTTCTTTAGTCAGAAGTTGGGTGTGGGTGTGGGTGGGGGGGTGGTATTGGGTGTGGCTGTGGGGGGGGGGCGGTCCTGTAACAGCCCACAACTTGATCTTTTTTCCAAACCGTCTCAAGTTTGGAAAGCATGGATTCAGATGAAGTTGCTGTGTAAACAATGGTTTACAAGCATTTCTTGTGTTAATCACGTCACTGTATCCGTCTAAATAGTAATTTATTTATTAATAAGGTTATTTTAGTTAATTACTGTTTAGGTCAGCATTCTCCTGCCCTGCTTCTGGGTCAGATGATCTTGTGCTCCTTTTTATTTGAATCCATGTTTTTCAGCACTAATCACTGACAGTCATCAGCAGTTTGTAACTCATTTCTGTGTGTAATTAATTTTTTCGTCTTTAACAGCTGCCAGAAGCTTCGAGCCAAGCCCTGTTTGCTGACGGCCAAGCGCATATTTGGGCTCTGGAAGGTACGAGCAGCTGAAATGTCTGTACATTGTGTTTGATGTTATGACCTTATTTATGATCTGTGCACGCTCACCATCTACCCTGGGGGCAGACTTTAATCCGGTAAACAGGACAAACACAACGTATTGCTGACAGTACATTAAATAAAACAGGATGATCTCAGCAGGGTAGAGTCCTGTGTATAAATATTTCAGTTATTACAAATAATGCAATAAACCCTCACATATAACAAATCAATGAATATGACATCACAGATTTCTTTGTTTATGAACTGGTGGACTAATAAATAAATAAATAAATGTCTTGGAAAAACTTTAGAGTTGTTCCTCTTGTCGTTCAGCTTGTTCTGTATTGCCGAACTGATTTATAATGTTTTTATGAAAGGTTTGTCTCATCTGGTGGCTGCTTCCTTCTCTGAGGACAAGTACGGAGTGGTCCAGACTACATTACCCAGCATCCTCGGCAGCATGTTGTCTTTGCAAGAGGTAAACTCTGAAGTAGGCCTGAACGATTTGGGGAGAATATCTAATTGCGATTTTTCCCACTAATATTGCAGCTGCAATTTAAATTCCAATTTTTTTATAAATTGAGATTCAGGCCTGATTTATTTTGGCCAAGAAGTCCAGAATATCTGCCTTTTTCAGCTTGAGGCTCGACCCCTGGACACAGCGTGCCAAACTGCAAGTAAGTTGTGGTTGTGATGTCACAACACGTGGAGGTTTGGTTGCCTCTGATTGGTCTAACTCGTCTTCCCAAACTCTTATTAGGTTCTGTTTCCCCTTTTAGAACTTAAAACAACATGTGCACACTTACAAAAGATGGTTCTTCAAGGGTTCTTTAGTGAAGATAATGGTTCTATATAGAACCATAAACATTCAATGACTCATTGGCATGCTTAACAAGTTCTTTGCATGATGAAATATTTCTCTAAATTTTGGACATTTTGTTGTGTTGTGTTGTGTTGTGTTGTGGGTGTGTGTGTGTGTGTGTGTGTGTGTGTGTGTGTGTGTGTATGGTTCTATATAGCACCAAAATGTTCTTCTGTTGTTATAAGCTTGACATTGTAACAATAGCAGAACCCTGTTTGGTGCTGTATAGAACCATATACAACACATTTTCCTTCAATTCGGATGAAGGATTTCACCATGCGAAGAACCTCTTAAGCATGCAAGTGGGTCTTTGAGTGTTAATGGTTCTATATAAAATGATTGTCTTTACTGAAGAACCATCTTTTTTAAGAACCTTGAAGGACTGTCTTTTTTAAGAGTGTACGCTATAATTAAAAAAAAAAATCGCAGCTCTCGCGATCTGAAAATGGCACCGTCTTGAAATCAATGTTTTAGCCCTGCTCTAAAGATTAAACTACATGATGGAGTGTAAAAGTGCATTTTTCCAAAAGTGCAGTGATTTTTGAAACGTTATAACCAACACTGTACAACTGTTAGTTCATATGGCGCAATTAAATTTGTTCAGAAGCTTTTTTCCGTGTTATTTGTAATAATTGCATGTTTTGTTTTGTCTTTTTCACAATAAGTGTATCATTCCGCTGAGCACTGGTCGCCAAGCAACGACCTGTTTTAGGCTGCAGCCAAACATATACAGGGAGATTCACTCGAAAGAGGCCCCGAATATTCTGTTGTAACTTCAGTTAGGATGAAGCAATCTGAACCAAAAAAGTGCTCTACATACTAGGGATGCAACGATTATTCGCCTTGGTCGACTAAAATCGACAGCCAAATTAGTTGGCAACTAATTTAGTAGTCGATTAGTCGGTGACGTCGATTAGTCGGTGAACGCGCTCACTAGAGGCGTTTCGACATTACCGCTTACTGGAGAGTTAACAACAGCGCGATGGCAGAGGAGAGACGCTGACTTTACTCCGTTTCAATAAGGTTTAGTTTCAGCAGAGTGTAGACAGACAGCAGAGTGTACAGAGCACAGACTGCACTGTTTACATTTAACATTTAAATTTAGATAGATTTTTTTATTTACTTGATTAAAGGAAAACAACTTAGTGTTTATATTTATTGCTGCTGCTTTGCACATCCTTGGTTATAAATTTTGACAGGAAAAATACACGAGTTTTATTTATTTATCTTTTGTATTAGCAGGAAAGTTAATTAAAACAGTTAATTCTTGAATGTTATTCATCTTTATTGTCTTCACTGGTAGTTGTGCTCTGTACATTCTGCTCAAGCTAAATTTAAAAGCTAATAGCTACATAAAAGTTATTCGGTAATGCAGTGATTCATAATCCGAATAACCGATCATTCGTTTCAGTAATCGATCGATTATTTAACTATCAAATTGGTCGTTTGTTGCAGCCCTACTACATACCTTAACGTATGTGTAATTGATTGCATTACATGCGATGCTGGAAGTGATCTCCGTTTTCTGCCAGACACGTTTCGACGCGGTGCTCCATGTTCCTGAACGTATCGGCAAGCATATCGGGGGGAATAGCAGCAACTTCACGTTGGATTTTTTCCTTCAAATCTTCCACAGTGCGAGGCTCGTTCCCATAGACTTTTCCTTTGAGCATAACCCAAAGGAAGAAGTGTGGTGGTGTCAGATCCGGCGACCGAGGCGGCCGAAGCACCTTTGAAATGACCCTGTTGCCGAAGGAGGACTCAATTTCTGCCGTGCTCCTTGCCGATGTGTGACCCGTGGAAGTAACCTTTTGTTAACTCATGATCATCCAGTTGATTCACAAACTGTTCAAAAATGTCCAGGTGCACATCGTTGTTCACGGTGGTGTCAAAGAAAATGGGGCCTATGATGTGCAGCCTCACCGCTCCGACGCAGGGGCATCCCGGCTTGTTCGAAGCTCCATATACTGAGGAGCTCGTTGCGCGCTGTTTGGTTCAGATTGCTTCATCCTAGAGAGAGTTATTACAGAATATTCAGGGCCTCTTTCGAGTGAATCTCTCCCTGTATTTTAGCACATAGAAAAAATGAAAATGGACAAGGCCTAACTTCTATAAGATAATGTTTGACCTGCAGCCCGTTTGCTCAGATTCTGTAGAAGAGAGTGACCGCAGAGTGACCGTAATCCTAAGTGAGCTTTTTGATCGGCAGCTTGTGATGAACTGTAATCACTCAAACACAGAATACAACAAAATACAGTTCAGCAAATGAGATGGGCTGTGAAACACTTTACAGACTGACTGGAACAAAACCACACTCAGCTTCATATGGAAGACACTGAAAAAGCTGAGCTCAACCTGATATTCACACAGTTCTGTGGCCGTGTCTGTAACGCAAAAGGGGACTACTTTTTGTGGTGGAAGGAGTTTCCAATATTAAAGCCGCACTGTTTAAGATTTTGGGATTTGGAGACCTCTCTGGTGGAAGTGTGTAACTGCACACAACATGCAGAACAACATTCTGTTGCGTGGATTGTGCTTCGGTCTCATCAGAGCGGATGAATCTGGTGATTGAAAGAGTGAATTATCCACTATTGTCGTCACATCTTCATCAGTATGATGTTGATTTTGAGATCATTCGAGACCTAAACATCTAGCTGGGCCTTCTTTTTGAGTCTTATTTGATGTTAAGATGTAAAGATGTACGACGTGGTGTGAAAAACTCCCGACCCGACGCCTCTGACTGAAATGATTATTTCAGGCTTTACAGGGCGACTCAGCAGCTCACAATGTTTGCGGCTTCTTTGTGATACTCTGGTCTTTATTTTGCAGACCTGTTGTTGCTGTTGATCATATTTATGTGATGCCTTCTTTCAAAACTCTGCTCCTTGACCCTTCTTGTTTCTGGTTAAGGCTGTGGACAGGCACTTCAAGCTCCCTCATGCCTCCAGTAAGCCGGTGAAGACGAGCTGCAGCCTGGGAGACTCCACTTATAAAACTCTCCGCTTCGCCCTGAGGGCCTCCCTGAAGACCGCCATCTACAGGATAACCTCTACGTTTGGAGAGCACTTAAAGTAAGCCCTGCTTTCTTCCCTGCCTTCCGTTCAGCCTATCAAAAACAGTAACACACTGCACTCCCCGGCCACTTTATCAGAAACCCTTCCAGAAGTAGCTCCACCCTGCACAGTTGGAGACTGTAGCTCACCTGTTGGTGCACAGTGTGCTAAAGGCCTTTACACACCGAGCGTGATTTATTCAGACTAAATTTACAGACCTGTATTATTGATGATATCGTACACACCAAGCCCAATTTTTGGTTTTCAGCCTCTGTTTGATTTTGCAAAGTTCCACAGACAACTTGAACTCACTCGGCCAACCGATCGGCTGTGTCGATTTTAACAAACTTCACGAGGATTCGTTTATCTTCTGCTTTTCGCAGGTTGTGCCAGTGTCTACAAAATCAGCTCAAATTAGACTGTGGACATCTCAGATATTTCTAAAAGTGCACATAAGGTTTCAGCTCCTGAATAAGATGGTGAAACTCTCTCCTTTTGCAAAATGGAGAGTAGCCCACTGTCACCGTCTGCTGTTTTTTCAGGAGCGAAGGATGCAACACTGGAACTACGGAAAACGGGTGAAAAAAGTCAGAGAAAGGCTGTACGGACGAAAGGTTGACACCGTCGGTAACAATGGCCAATTAACGTTGACCTTTCCTGAACCGTTTCTCTTTCCATAGTTCCAGTGTTGCCGTTGATGTCTGCTCAGTGAGTCACGCCCGAGATTTTGAGTTGTGAAGGGAAACATGAATCGGTCTTTCGGGTTACCTAGTCATATGTTGAACATTATCAATCTTTGTTACAAGCTGAGCTCAGATTAACTGGGTTATGTGCAGTTGGTACAGACAGCTGGCAGATCGCAGCCTTGTGAGGTGGTGCTGGGGGTGTTCAGCTCAGCGTGAGTGTGGTTCTCTCCTCACTCTCGGCTCCTGTGCTTTCATATTAATGAGTGCGGTGCGAGTAGGGCGTCATCAGGGGGCGGTAACGTTGTTTGACTGATTTGCATACTGTGACGTGTCATTGTACTTTAGTACGAAGACACGTCATCTGCGCCTATAGCAGAGTTGAACCAGAGGGGGCGCTGCAGAGGCGGAACTGACAACTATAAAAATGATATTTTTATCGTTTGGAAAGATGTGTTTACATTTTAATCCAGGCTGGAGTTTATTATTATTACAGAGCAGAGCATTTCAGCTGTAGTTACTCTTTAATATAACCTAAAGCTTTTCAGACTTTGTTGTTCCGTTTGTTGTGTTTACACAATGTAAAAAAGGGTCAGATAGTTTTTAAATGAGTCGTGAAGTTTCATTATGACTAATGATTGATTTGCTGTGTGTTCTTTTTGTTTTCAGTGCTGTCTGTATATCAGCGGAGCATCAGAAGAGACTTCAGCAGTTCATGGAATTCAAGGAGTAACTACGTTATCTCTTATGCGGATGCACTTTGGGTGGATGGGGGTGTTTGTATGTGTGCGTGTGACCATCTCTCTAAAGGACCTGAGTATTTCAGTCATAAACGCAGGGTTTGGCACCTGATGGATCACTGAAAGCCTTATATCTATACGATCTGGTGCTGCACTGTGCTTCTCTTCATTTGCTGTGAAAATCATTTAGCTCCACATTTTTGCCACACTAACAGGTTAGTATTTCCTTTCAGAGGTTCTCTCTTCCCTTTTTGGGAGTGTAAGATCCGTAAACGGACCTGATGTGAAGATAGGAAGTCAAAAAGCATAAAGGTTATTTACAGAACTTAAAGGGGAGCTCCACTCGCCTTTTGAAATTTCAGCATAATTAACTGGTTAAGATGTAAACAGAGTCGTTCAGAGTGGTTTGGTGTGAAACGCTCTGTTCTAGAGAAACTTACCGAGTCAGAATTGTTCACAGTGGTGGTGATAGGAACCAGACGTCCACCTCTAAAAGCTCCCTCACAGAAAGTTCCTACATTTCTGTGAGTATGACTGCCTGCCTGATGTCTGAGACGCTGTTTGCTCAGAAGACTCGTGTAGGTTCACTGGTGGTTTTGGATAGTAAATAAAATGTCTATGTGTGTTGTTGTCATGGCGACCCCTGGTTCCTATCACCACCACTGTAAAGACATCTGAACCATTTCACACCCAACCACTCTGAATCTCTCTGATTACATTTAAACAGTTCAGTTATGTAGAAAATTTGAAAATTAGTGGAAATCACCCACCTTTAAAGGAAGGTTTTAAACTTCTGAAACAAAATCCATCCATAATTTTGGTATTTAACTGCAGTTTGTGTTGCTTTTAACTACATCTGCTTTTCCTTATTGCAAAATACTGAGATTGAGAGCTGCAAGTTAACTGTTTTCCACATGGTTTATTTTTGTTTTGTGGATCCAGCAAAGGAACCTGGTGAAAATTGTCATGTTAAAAGAATCATATTTAGATATTCTGGCTTTACTGAAAGTAAATAAAGGTTTGTACGTCTTCTGTATGCTGCCCCCTACAGTCTGCTCTTTCTGCTGTCTGCCTGCAGTTTGCACTGAAAGTCATCCAATAGGTTTAACTGCAGTTTGCCAGAATGAACAGCAGGTGTCGCTGTTGCTCTAATGATTTCAGGCCTTGTTGCACTTTTATTGCAGGTTTTAAGTGACGTTGTACTGACAATGTATTAAAAAGGTACAGTAATGTCTGTATTTTATGCTATTTAAATTCACACTTACACATAGCACATAAACAGAGCGGGTCGAGCCTAATTTCATTACCGCATTACGGAAAAACTACTGTAGATCCAGAAAGAAAACATCCTTATTCACATTCGTAGGAGAGATGTGCAGGTGAACAGGGTCATTTTTAAAAACAGTCGATATCACAGTGAATATTTGCCGGTTGTTTGCTGTGTCTGATCCACTCGTACCAGCACAACACACACTAACACAACACCACCACGTCAGTCTTACTGCAGTGCTGAGAATGATCCACCACCCAAATAGTACCTGCTCTGTGAAGGTCCATGGGGGTCCTGACCACTGAAGAACAGGGTAAAAGGGGGCTAACAAAGTATCAGAGAAACAGATGGACTACAGTCTGTAATTGTAGAACTACAAAGTGCACCTATATAGTAAGTGGAGCTGATAAAATGGACAATGAGTGTAGAAACAAGGAGGTGGTCAGAATGTTATGCCTGATCAGTGTAAATAATGTATACGGAGGTTCTTCTGACATGATATGGATTTTGGAAGTGCTGGACCTTCACTAAAGTTAATTTCTAATTCATTTTTTGTTTCATTAAAGTTAATCGCTGATTTCTGGAAAGTACAGTGAGATGCGAGTGGACGCATCGCAAAATGCAGTAGTATATTTCTGTTGATTTTAACATTTTAATGATTATAGTTCAAGAAAAGACTTGCTGTACATTCAGTTTATTCAGAAATCTTTTACATTGTTCCAAAATATACAATTTTTTTACAACTATTCAATCAATATCACGGGTCCAACTCAATCAAACTAAAAAACGTTCACCTAAACACCTGCTTTACTGCCAAAAACAATGTTGGGACACTAAAATGTGCAGATTGTCGTGTGTCTGCTCTATTTAAACTTGTCTCTCACAATTTCATTACCATTCTGAAAGAAAACATCGATACTGAGCTGAATTAATCTGTCTAAATAAATACTGCCTCTGTGTAACAAACTGTCAGTGAGAAAGTTTAGACACACTGAAAATTCACAAATCAAGGAAATAAATTGATAAACAAATACAGACCTAAATTAAACACTCAGTACTGACTAACATACAGGAAACATCTGTCCTGCGTATGTTTGAGTGATTTTCCTTAGTTTCCTGTTAATTATGCGGATCATTCTGAGTAGAAATGAGCAAACCTGGTCATTATTAGTGGTTACAGCTTCTTTGATGGCTTCAAATGAATAGATGAGAAAAGTACTTTATATATTCATTTTACCAAGACTGCTTTAGAGCACTGTGTTTAGTCCATTTTTAAATGCTGATCTGTAGACAGCCTGAGAAAAACATCTTTCAAAATGTCTTAAACTCAAAGGGGAACTCCACCAATTTTTCGCAATTTTTCCATGATTCAGTGTGCGAGGTGTAATCAGAGTGATTCAGAGTGGTTTGGTGTGAAATGGTTCAGATGTCTTTACAGTGGTGGTGATAGGAACCAGGGGTCGCCATGACTACAACACAAATATAGACATTTTATTTACTATCCAGAACCACCAGTGAACCTACACGGGTCTTCTGAGTTTTTGATGATGATAAAATAGTGAAGAATCTGAAATAATACGTTTTCTTAGGGGACTATTTTGCCTCACAACGCCCTGCATGTATCCCTCCACCATGAATGGATCTTAAGGCCAAAATCTTCTCAAAACTATCCTAAAACAGTGTCTCAGTCATCAGACAGTGAATTCATAACCATTTCATGTAGTAACTTTCTGTGAGGGAGCTTTTAGAGGTGGACGTCTGGTTCCTATCACCACCACTGTGAACTGTTCTGACTCTAGAACAGAGCGTTTCACACCAAACCACTCTGAACGACTCTGTTTACATCTTAACCGTTTCATTTTGAAGAAATTTTGAGGAATCGGTGGAGTCGCCCTTTAACCTTTACTTAACATCATCTCACTGTAACACAGCGCTGCATGCAAGACTGAAGGGAAATAAGAGAGGCAAAATATGACTAATATTTGCTGATCATTAAAACACATACAAAAATAAATTTACACCATAGTTTCTTAAAACTCGCTGTTTATTTAGTTATTTTCGCTTTTTACTCTAAGCTTTTACGGTGTTCTGTACAGATTGGCCGGCCCCGCCCCCTTCGCCGGGATTGGCTGGTAGTGTCCCGCCTCCTTCGCTGTGATTGGCGGGTGGTTCATACTCGAAGTACCGCGCAGTTCTAGAGCACTTCGACCTCATCGTTCTAAAACGGCGGATTCGTCTGTGTCCGAGTTCTAGAACGTACGGCGAAGCGTTCTATAACGGTAAATATGGACTAATAGCCAATCCTAGTGCGGGTGAGGGAGGTCGAATTACACTAGCCAATCGGAGCCCTGGGGGCGAGGCCGCACTAGCCAATCCGAGCGCAGGAGGGCGGGGTTTATCCATCTGCCGTTCTCCCAGCGTTTGAGTGAAGCAGCGGCGGCCTGAAGCGGAGCAGCGGGGTGAGTACTGTTACTATAGCAACCACAGTCATTTTTAGCGCTACGACAGTTTTAATAACGATATTTGCACTAATATTAACGATAACCGCGCTTTTAATGTTCAAAATAACGATTAATAACATCTTCAGCGTCTTTTAAACCTGTATTTGTTGTCCTGATTTAGCTATGTAGTTTATATCTCAGTGTCAGAAAAGACCAAAGCGATGAAAATAGTTTTCTAATAGGTGTTCATTCTAACATATAAAAGGCAAGTCCACCGAATTTTCCAAATTAAAGGGTTTAGCTGTAAACAGTCGTTCAGAGTGGTTTGGTGTGAAACGCTCTGTTCTAGAGAAACTTACTGAGTCAGAACTGTTCACAGTGGTGGTGATAGGAACCAGACGTCCACCTCTAAAAGCTCCCTCACAGAAAGTCATTACATTAAATGTAATACGTATTCAGCTTTAACAGTTATTTTCAATGTGCAAAGCAGGCTGAGGGGGGAGGTTCATCTGTATTAAAGTACACTAGATTAGTTGTGTATCTGAATGAAGGGCATTACATTGAAAATATGGAATTTGCTGGACTATAGTCTAAGCTGAGATGGTCACATAGCTGGGGGTTGAACTCTGCTTAAAGGGGAATTCCATCAGTTTTCCAAATTTTCCTCAGTGATTAAGTGGTTAAGACATAAACAGAGTCGTTCAGAGTGGTTTGGTGTGAAACGTTCTGTTCTAGAGAAACTTACCGAGTCAGAACTGTTCACAGTGGTGGTGATAGGAACCAGACGTCCACCTCTAAAAGCTCCCTCACAGAAAGTTCCTACATGAAATGGTTATGAATTCACTGCCTGATGACTGAGACACTGTTTTATGAAAGTTTTGAGAAGATTTTTCCACACTTGGTGGAGAGACACATGCAAGGTGAGGGAAAGTAGTCCCCAGAGAAAACCTAGGCTGTTTTTCCAGGTTTATGACTGTTTTACCATCATCAATCATCCATATAAACTCTCAGACACGTGTAGGTTCACTGGAGGATCTGGAAGGTAAATAAAATGGCTCAGTATATTGTTTAAATTGATTATGGTTCTGCGTTTAAAATACTTTGTGTATTTTCTGTTGTCATCAGTGTTATAAACTGAATCTGATGTTTGTGTGTCAGTCTGTAATTGTCTGCATTAATAGGATTATTAAGGAATTACAAAGAGGAGATCGTTTATCTGCATTAGTGAATGTACATTGTTAGAAGGACCCTGTCTAGAACCCTGTATGGAGTGGGAAAGCTTTTTGATTAGCTGGATAAAAGTAAAAGATAAATTATAGGCTGTTTTGAATAATTAAGCAGAAGCCTGGATTCATTACAAAGTGAGTATGACATATATATATGTGTGTGTGTGGATCATTCTCAGCACTGCAGTAACACTGACGTGGTGGTGGTGTGTTAGTGTGTGTTGTGCTGGTCTGAGTGGATCAGACACAGCAGTGCTGCTGGAGTTTTTAAACACCTCAGTGTCACTGCTGGACTGAGAATAGTCCACCAACCAAAAATATCCAGCCAACAGCGTCCTGTGGGCAGCGTCCTGTGACCACTGATGAAGGACTAGAGGATGACCAACACAAACTGTGCAGCAGCAGATGAGCTATCGTCTCTGACTTTACATCTACAAGGTGGACTGACAAGGTAGGAGTGTCTAATAGAGTGGACAGTGAGTGGACACAGTGTTTAAAAACTCCAGCAGCACTGCTGTGTCTGATCCACTCAGA